ATGCAGCCTGCAGCTAGCCTGCTAGCTACGCTCTGCTTTCATGTTTACAATCCTCAAGCTCGTAGAAGTATAGTCAATAAATTAAATTAGGAACACCTAGATACTTCGGATGATCTCAAAAATATTAACCCTAGAATAAACATTACATAGCGAAAAACGATATACAACACAAAATTTAGGAAAAACTAGGAGAAATACCATAAATTGAAAAATAAATAATGACATGTTATAGTGAAAAAATAGTTGTCAAAAGAAACAATAGGGCCAAGACTTTCTTTTGAGAAAAATCAACAACTCAAGTCTAGAGCCTAGATGCTTTTGAACTAAGGTTGCAAGCGGTTACCCGCGAAACCCACTAATAAACTAAACTAACCCGCAAACTCGTTTATTTTGACCTATAAGTGGGTTCGCGGGTGACCCACTTGCACCCCTATTTTGGGCGGGTCTTTGAAACTGGAGCTCAAAAAATAAATAGAGAAAACAATGGAAAATTAAAATGTAAAAAAAACAGATCTCTAAAATTGAAGCTTCAAAAAAAAACAAAAAAGATAACACAACTGAAAATCAAAATATGTAAAATAGGGAGCTAAAAAATAGAGAAACAAACCAAAATCCAAAATGTAAAATTTAACAGCGGAGCCTCCTCTACAATGTACCTTTTTAAAAAATTCAAAATGTAAAAGAAAAAGATTGACTATGATATCAGTTGCACTGTATCGCTCTGACGATTTCAGATGCTAGACATGGTCAATTGACTATGATAATAATTGAAAATCCAACAGCTCGCAAACAAAATTTTCCAATTTATGAAAGCTACACGTAATTTCTTACTGAACATGCATTTTTAAATAACAAGAAGGTAACATAATAAGGCATATATTACTATTGTACTTCCACTCTCAACCTTTGATAATTAAATTAATTATGTAAAGACTCGCAAAATTATTCTGATCATGTCACAGGCTATAAATTTTGAAGCACGCCAACTGGCGTGCTGATGATTTTCTAGTTACCTATTAATCTAGATATAAAATATCTAACTATAGTTACAAAATTTGAAAAATATTTAGGGGCTAAATGGAATACAGATGTAAGAACTTGAGCATAATTATGAAAACGTAAAGGTTTTAGTAGTAAAATAGTATAGCTCAGATGGGCTATTTTCATGTTCTTCTGTTGGGCCATCCGCTATGAATTGCAATGAGGCTTTTCAGTCTTTAAAAAAAAACGATGTTTACAAACCCAGTGGTTTGTGGAGCTGGCCCACAACAGAACATTTTTATTTAGTCCGGATCTGTTGTTGCTATGTACTTGCAATAAGTTTTTGCGTAACTGTCGACGAGTGATACTCGCGGACCGGATGAATAGAGTATTAGGGTATGTTGGAACAGGGGTCTACGTAGTACGACATCAAAACAGACAAAAGACAAGGATTATATAAGTTCAGGCCCCTTAGCATGTAATAGCCCTAATCCAGTTTATATGAGATTGATGATGATGAGAACAGATTACAAAGAGAGTAACCGAAACAAGCGATACCGACGAGATCGTAGTCGAGGGATTCGACGAGATCTCCTAGCGAGTTGGCTCCGTGAACTCCGGCTTCGTAAACTTTGGTGGGTGTGTTGGCGATTAGATGCGATGCCCTTTGCCTCTCCCTAGAGGTCCCTTTTATACCGTGGAATACCTTGACCCCCAAGTAAAACTTGGAGATATGTAAACCGACACGATATACTAAAGATTTTACCCTTTCCGAGTAGGACTTCGGCAATTCCTTAACTCATAGAGATATTTTCCATAATCTGAGGCAAATTTCTAACGATGTATACGGGAACCAACCGTATACGTGAAGGTATACCTTATCAGTATATCTCATAAGTCGTAGGATAGAGGGTATGCCTTATCCGTAACCCTGACAGTAACCAATTAGGAACTTATGTAAAAGAATAACCATTCACTTAGTCTGGATTTTCTACAACGGATAATCTAAACTCTAGTATATTGAAGTGTATACAGAAAACTACATATATAACTTGTGTTCTACAAACGCTAAATAAAGCAGCGGCCTGGTAAGAATTAATAAATTCCTGCCATGGCAGGTCCTTCGCCATTAGCGTAAACTATAACTATATTAACGTAAACTATGTGCAAGTAAACAAAATTGTCAATCTTCTCTAGCGATGGTTGGTGTTTTTCGCAGTGACCATATCGTCCGGCAGGATATGAGTAAACCGGCAATGGTCCTGGTTGGAGTGGTTTGTGTAAACCGTTGTGATGCAACCCTGTTAAAATGACGTTGATGTCCTTCTATCGAGTTTATGTGCAATGCATAAAGCCTTAATATGGTGGGAGGTGATACAGCCTCCCAGACGTCGGATGTGGACACGTGGCGACATCTGCTTACCTGACCGCATTTCAGAATGAACAAAATTTTTTATGCACTACAGAGATGCAATTGCAGCTGCCGTGTAACTTTTGTACTACTAATAGCACATTTATGTTGTGGAAAAGTGGGATCCATGTGTGGTGGCAACGTGGCATTCATCTAGGTGGTTTTCTTAGGAGCTAAGGATCAACGGACGGCTGATATTTGGCCTGAGTTAGGGTTCCGCCCTAAAGGGTATTTGTGATATTATCTTTGGGGATTTCAGACATCATGGGCTATAAATAGAGGGGTGGATGCTAGGGTGAGGGTGTCCCTTGTGCCTTTTTGTGAGAGATTTGTGAAAATTTGCCTTTAGGGCTTTTGGAGAGTTTAAATTCAAACGCATGTGAAGATATATGTTTGTTTGCCGTTGAGTGTTTTCTTTCAACACTTCTATAATTAATATTTTCTAAAGTTGTGGAATTTAATTTCAGTTCTTGCATCCTCTCTCCTTTCGCAATTTAAATCCTGTAATTTAGTATTTTTGTCTTGCCATGAAGAGAGAGGCAATCTCATTTGCTTTCGGACACGTAGAGAGGTTGAAATCCTTGAAAGATTTTGCTGAGTTCTTCTCAATTCCTTCTAGATTTGGCTAAGGCAATAGCTACGGTCTAAAGAGGGTATTGATGAAATATTTTTATGAGTATTTTAGGAAAGATTTTTAAGACCCTATATAGTGCAAGTGGATGAATACCGCAATATATATGTTGTAATTAATTTCTCATTGGACTCTGAAGAACATAAGGTTTTAAAAATATAGTTTTGTCCAACAAAATAATCATGCATGCCCTATTATAACTATCTGGTTGTTTAACTGAATTTAAAACCTAATATTTGGATGATATGTGACATTTTATATTTTATATTTTATACTCTTAAATTGAATTTAAACCCAATATATGAGTTGTATATATATCACATGTATATTATTATTGTTTGTAATATTAAATTACGCCTTTTGATATGCTAATTGCTCCAAACTACATATTGGTGCTTTTACACCAATTATGAATTGGTGAAGACTCTTGAGAGAACATGGTGAAATCCCTAGTATTACCTAGATTCCGCCTGTAAACTGCGAGATGAATTTATTAAGCCTAATTAATCCGTCATTAGCAAATGTTTACTGTAGCATCACATTGTCAAATCATGGCGTAATTAGGCTCAAAAGATTCGTCTCGCGATTTACATGCAAACTGTGCAATTGGTTTTTTTTCGTCCACATTTAATGCTCCATGCATGTGTCCAAACATTTGATGTGACGGAAAAGTTTGAAGTTTGAAGAAAAATTTTTGAATCTAAACACGCCTTAGTTCAGTAGTAGAATATAGTAACTATGTTGAGAACAATGTCTTCTAGCCTAAAAGGTATGAAGTTGTAACTTAGTTTAGTAGTAGAATATAGTAACTACTCCATCCGTTTTAGGTTATAAGACTTCCTAGCGTTGCTCACATTCATATAGATGTTAATGAATCTAGGCACATATATATGTTTAGATTCATTAACATATATATGAATGTGGACAATGCTAGAAAGTCTTATAATATAAAACAGAGAAAGTATATTATATGAGAACAATGTCTTTCGGCCTGAAAGGTAGGAAATCACTGTAACTTGTGATGAGATGTTATGTTAAATCTGAGACTAGATAAGCTATGTTTTGATATAGTCCCTTTGCTACTACATAGTTTGTTGGACTAGTGCTTGATCTGAACTTCTAAATATCCCTTTGCTACTACATGGTCTGTTGGACTAGTGCTTGATCTGAACTTTTGAATATCCATTGTCAACAGGACATAGCTTATTCCCAAGGCTGGAGATGACGGATCAAGTCAATCTCTGTCATACTCCCTCCGTCCCAAAAAAACAAATATAGAACTAGATGTGACATATTCTCAACGAATCTGGACAGAGCTATGTCCCGATTCGTTTTACTAGGATATGTCATATCCAGTACTAGCTTGGTTTTTATGGGACGGAGGGAGTAGATTACAATGAGGACATCCACACAGTCTGCCATATCCATTGTCAGCAGGACATAGCATATTCCCAAGGCTGGAGACGACGGATCAAATATATTTTATCAAGTCAATCTCTGTCATATTCCCTCCGTCCAAAAAAAAAAGGCAAACCCTAGGTTTACGTGTCCAACTTTGACTGTCCGTCTTATATGAAATTTTTTTATAATTCGTATTTTCATTGTTGTTAGATAATAAAACATGATTAATATTTTATGCATAACTTGTCTTTTTAATTTTTTTCAAAAATTTTTCAAATAAGACGGACGGTCAAATGTTGGGCACAGAAACCAGTGTTTGTCTTTTTTTTTTTGGACGGAGGGAGTAGATCACAACGAGGACATCCACACAGTCACACTCGACCGCAAAAATATGAATTGGCGTAATCACATGTTGTATAATGAAAATCGTTTCTACTGTCATGTGCGTGCATGACATGGTGCTTGAGGCGTTGTAGTCATTACTTGCTAACAAAATCAGGTAGTCATCAGCTAAGTTATACGGTTATCAATATTAGTTTCTTGCCTGCCCTGCACATTGAAACAAACAAGAAGCCGTGGACAAATTAGAACCAATGGATTATGATCTGACATTTTATCACGCAGATTATATGGGAATGTTAGATAATTACAGTCTATAGCTAGCTTTGCATTTACAGATAAAAGCACGTCTAGTAAAAGAAGAAAACTATCGAGCTATGTATGACGTTTTCATGATCTATATTTCCCATATTCGTGTGTCCTTAAGCTTAGAAGACATCTGGGGAGGGTCGAGAGAGTCGTTCATCTTCCAGTAGCTCATATGGATCAATGTATGGTGGAGGCGATACTGGTGTCTTGCTTGCATCGTGTACAAAACTTGGTCCAAAATACTGTAATTGGAAAGTGAGATCAGCCGTATTTTCAATTTGCTCATATGTAAAAAACTCAGAAGACACGAACTCTTTTGCTCAACATGTAACAGGTAGAACATATGATTTTGTTGAAGAACAATTAATAGGAACTGTAATTATTATTACTTCCTCCGTTTCACAATATAAGTCATTTTAGTATTTTCCACATTCATATTGATGTTAATGAATCTACATCAATATGAATGTGGAAAATACAAAAATGACTTACATTGTGAAACGGAGGGAGTATTTTTGCTTTATTTAGCTTCTCATATAGATTCAAGGGCAATATGCTAAACAAAATATCAATATAACAAGATCATAAGCAACTCTGATTTTCAAACGCTATAATATAGGAAAAAGTACGAATTACACCCCTGAACTATCGAGGTCGACCGAATTACACCCCCGAACTCAAAAACCGGACATTCTACACCCCCAACTATTAAAACCGGACAAATAACCCCCTGGCTCAATCCGGAGCGGTTTTAATCCTACATGGCCGCACACGTGGCACTGGCCCCCACATGTCAGCCTCCACCTCATCCTCCCTCTCTTAAAAAAATTAGTGGGACCCACTGTCAGATCCCACCCCTCTCTATCTCTCTCTACTCAATGTCTCCCCCTCTCTCTCTCTCTTCTCCCTCCCTTCACCATCTCACTAGCACGGCAGCTGAGACGAAGGCGGAGGGGGCGACCGGCGGCGGAGGCGGAGCTCCTCGGGCGGCGGGCGGCTGAGGCGGAGCTCCTCGAGCGGCGGGTGGCAAAGCGGGCAGCCGGGGCGGAGCTCCCCGGGCGGCAAGTGGCGGAGGCGGAGGCAGAGCAGGCGGCCGGCGGCGGGAATCGGTCAGTGGCGAGCGCGGATGGGAGTGCGCTCCAGGCGGTGGCGGGAGCGGCTCGGAGGGGGCGTGGCGGAGAGGAAGCTTCGGATGGTGGGCCGGCGGTTGGCGTGCACGGCGTTGCGCGGGGAGGTGGAGGGGATGGGGGAGAGGCGGGCACCGGCGGCCATGGTGGATAGGCGCGGATAAGGGGAACCGACCGCCGCCGCGGGCGAGGTCCGTGAGGAGGCAGTCGCGCGACAGCCTCAGCCTCCGCCTCCGTCGCCGCCCGCTCAGTCCGTCTTCGCCTCGGCCACCGCGAGCTCTGCCTCAGCCGACCGCCGCCTGGGCGAGCTCCGCTTCCGTGCGACCAGGGCATTCCCGATGCTCCCCACCATCATCGTCGCCGCGGGAATCTCTCGGAGGAGCATCGTCGTCGTCCCCTTGCTCGCCCCAGCGGCAAAGAGCTTGCGCTCGTGCTCCGCCTTGACCACCGCCGCCGCGGCCTCACGCTATCATCCTCAAGATGCTGCCGGCCGGCGCTCGCCTCCCCTCGCCGACGCTTCCGCCGGCACTCGCCTCTCCGCCATGGCGTGCCGGCATGCGCGGCGCTGCCCGCTGCTGACGACGAAGAGAGAGAAAGAGAGATGAAGAGAGAGTGGTATGACATGTGGGTCCCACCATTTAAAAAAAATAAAATGCTGACTGGACTGCCACGTAGACCAAAACCACCGTGGATTAGGTCGAGGGGGGTAATTCGTCCGGTTTTAATAGTTGGGGGTGTAGAATGTCCGGTTTTTGAGTTCGGGAGTGTAATTCGGTCGACCTCAATAGTTTGGGGGTGTAATTCGTACTTTTTCCTATAATATATGCATGTAATGTCACAATATGCTCCATGAAGTGGTACACGGGTAAAATAAGAGCAAGACACATGCTAGCTATTCATTTTGATTGAGAGGAGTGCATTATGCATTCCAAATAAAGCATCCTGAACACAAATTAATATAAATATTAAATTGTCAATTGGCTCCTCTAAACATTTCTTTTGGAGGGACCTCTCTAATTTTCTACTTCTTCCGTTTCATATTATAAGACTTTCTAACATTACCCATATTCATATAGATGTTAATGAATCTAGACATAACATCTATATGAATGTGGACAATGCTAGAAAGTTTTATAATATAGATGTTAATATGAAAGATATGTATGTATGTTTTGATATATATTATTTTTTGCTATGCATGTGAAATAGGAGCAAAGCACTTTCTGTCCTGCAAGAGCACGGGAAATAAATTAGAGAACTTACCACATAAAGAACAGCAAACAGAGAAACTGTAACAAGAATCAAAGGGGCAAATCCAAGAAAAAATGTACTGCCAAGTGACAATAGCAACTTTGCCCGTGGAACAAGACCCTGAAAAGAAATAAATTACTATGTTAAAGGCAACAGCTTGTTGATTATCTCATTCTCATATGTCACTGCGAATGGTTAAATAGCCCGGCGGCCAGCAGCCGTAAATCATGAGTGTTTACTATACAAATGTAAGTACGATTATTTGGAACACAAAATAAATCAATGCTACCAGTGAATCACCTATTACTTTTCAATTTAGGTATATCACCTGCATCACGCGACATTTAAATGTTTGACAAAATATTCATGCCAAAGAACAATTGAACAAAGACCAATTTCGATTGAGCCACAATTTATGTTCATAGCCTAGAGCCAAAGAAATATCATCCAGAAATTTAATGACCAGTATATCTCTCCCTTCCTGTTCCATTTTGACACTTGTGCTTGTCAACCTGATACGAAACCAGAATCATTTAGAGCTTTCCTCAATTACCATCTTCCTTGGTCAAATTATCCAAGCAACTATGACCAAAAGAGTCAAGCAAGATTCATCCTCAACTAGTTTCATTTCTTTTCTCCTCAGTGCTCCAAATACAGAAAAGAAAGCACTGTGCAATTTCCAGTCACGGAGTACTACCAAATTACCAGTCCACAGCTAGGACAACACTTCACCAACGATTTTCACTTGGGAGTAAACAAAATTAGAATGCATTTTCTGATCGCCAAATCAAGTATGGAATCCAGCAAGTTAATCGGTGTGTGTGTGTGAGAGAGAGAGAGAGAGAGAGATTGGGCGCGAACCTCGAGGCCCTCACTGTTGAGAGCCATGGACTTCGCCCGCTGCCCATCCGCCCCGGCGGCCGCCCGCTCGAACTCCGCCGCCGCCACCCGCTTCCTCCCGCCCTCCTCCGCCCCCACCTCCTTCTCCCCGGCGCCCGCCGCCGCCGCCCCCGACGCCATCCCCCTCCGCGTCAGCTCCTTCGCGAACAGCGACTCCGGCGCCTCCTCCCCCTCCCCCTCCCCCTCCCCTTCCCCACCCTCTCTCCCCACAGCGCGGCACCTCACCCGCATCCGCACCACACGCCCCCGCGTGCGCGTCCTTACGCTGCACCCCGACGACGCCGACGACGACGCGGCCGCCGGGATCGCCGGGAGCGCGAGGCGGATCACGGCCATGGTCGCCATTGGTGGTGGTGGAGGAGGAGGAGGTGGTGGGCTTCGTGGAGCTTCGAGATCGGAGGAGGTGGAGTGGACTTGATGATGGCCGGCGAGGCGGGGATCCGGCCGTCGGATCCGCGCGGAGATTCGTGCGGGGGAGGGATGGAGGGTGGGGATGTGGTGGAGGACTCGTGCGGCTGGGGAGAGCGGAGGAAGGAAGGAAGGAAGCGGGCGGGAGGGTGGACACGTGTATGGCTGTGGTTGGGCAGGGAGGGGGCGAGCGGGGCCCACCTGTAGAGTGTGCCGTTCGGCCACTCGAATGTGCAATGAATTAGGGAGTTTGGCATGGATTTATCGGTGTTTTTCACGGCACTCTAACGTGAGTGCTTGGATCTTTGCTGCTAGATCCACGGATTTTGGATACGTTGGGTTAAAATGCGACATATCTGACATTTTTCAGTCCAAGGATTTCTTTGAAACGCATAGATTATTTTATGGTTTTTTATGACTTTCAGTTCGTCTAAATTTCCTTCATTTTAGAGGCGCGGTTCCTTTAAAACGTATAGATTATTTTATGGTTTTTTATGACTTTCAGTTCGTCTAAATTTCCTTCATTTTAGAGGCGCGGATTTGGGATACGTTGAATTTTCAGCATCTAAATGTTTGGGAGGGATAGCAAGAAGAGAGTGTAAGTAGGGTGATATACTCAATCAACTAATTTCAGGAGGTGCTTGCTACCAATTGAAGAGTGTTTTAAAGTGAAAAGCTCTTGAACACGATGGATTACATTGTTACAAGCTTGCTTCTCTAACTTGCCTGAACTATTTGGCACTTGTGGTGAAGATAGCACCTGCTGTTGCTGCAAAAATTCTGAGGAAGACAACAAAAGCGGCTACATCGAGCTAGAAGAATAAGATGCTCCCTCCGGACAGAATTTTCTGTCGTTTCAGAGACTGAAAATGACCTCGAAAACGTCAAATTGTCCTAACCGGAGGGAGTAGCTGTGAATGCAAGATCTATCGTCTCTATAAACGATTTCGTTTTTGCATCGACCTGACACGATCTTGGAGCAGGTCGTAGTGGCCATCACTGCTGGAAATGCAAATAAAGGAAGTAAATTAGGAGAAATGCCTTCCTTGCAACAAGAAGAAACTGTCAAACTTAAGTTGAACAGATCAAACAGGTGAAAATTTCTCAGGGTATTTGTCTACTTGCACGAAAGCATCTAATGTTACAGATTATTATACATCAGAAGTTCAAACCTGCATTTCTCATCTATTGGCACTCGAAATCGAATACAACACGATATGTATGGTAATAGTGATGTAACCGCCAAAAAAGAATACATATATAGCACATACACATAATCTACAAAATCAAACCATTCCCATGACTCAACCTTGTATAAACACCTGGATGAAGCAGAGTGGCTCAAAGGGGAGATCGCTTTCCGCACCTGTTGTTGTCCATCCAAGTCAGAAAATTGTTCAAACCTTCTCTCCTGGATCTTATGAACTGTGTGACTGTATAAGACTGGTATTTGCTCCAGAAATTTGTGACTAGCTTCGTTGCACTGTTTGTTGAAGCGTTGGCCATGCAGCCTCCTCGTCATTACTGTATCCATTTACAAGAAAATCAGCGCAGTTCCTCCGGCATCCTCGACTGTAAGGATTCCTGAAGCGTCCGTCAGGCCCCCGAAGATATGCATAGCGTGACTGGTTTGCTGCTTCATTAGTTGTGAGATTGCGTGCTATCTGAAATGAAACGTTCCATGTAAATGGGTCAGACTTTTTTTTTTTTGAAAAGCTTGTTTATTCAGTCAGATGAAATATGCAGTTTAACTCTGTTACCATTTGCTCTTCCAAGAACTTACGCCATAGGGGAGTAATAGAAACATAGAATACTTTAAGCTACATGATATATGCAGTCAGATGCAAAAATAGCAGAGATTTAAATACTCTTGTGCTACATACTATAAAGACTTCAAGCAACAAAATAAAAATATTATGCTACTTTGCAATTAGTACTGTCTAAAATGTCCAGATAAAAATAAAAATTAGCATACAAATAAATTAAATTTCTCATTCATAATCAATGCATATTTATTCAAAACATGCAACATGGTGCATTGGAATGAGGCAGCTCAACAAATCAAACGATTGTACGGCCTAAACAACCACTCCATGTGACAATTTTACCTGTGTTGCTTGTGCTCCTGTCAGAATAAGCGCTCCAGTCAATAAAAAGACATCCATGAACATGAACAGTACAGCACCAGGATGGTTTGACAGCATGAAGTTAATCCATGACTCAGAAGATGAGAGTATAATGGGCTCTGTCCAAAGTCCTGTCATTAAATGTCCTCGTGAGTTTACCCTTTAATGAATAATTTATGAGTTTTATTTACTGGATCTCCTTACTGTGGAACCCAATCGCAGCGCCCAGAAATGCTGTAGTTGTTCCCATACAAAGGAACACAAAAAAGTCCCACTTATTTCTCTGCAAGCAAAGCGTATGTGGTTATAGGGAAACCCAGCAAATCTGTTTTCAGGATATAATTGAACATTAGATATTTATATCCATCATTTTTTAAGACCAAAACGAGGCAATTTAGATATATTCCCAATGTTTCAAAGCACTAAATGGTAAATAGAACGTACATATATAGGTATAATAAATTGTTCTGATTTCTTAATCATTTCCAGAGTCTAGGATTATCAATAAGCAGCATGTTCTTCCAGGGAGAAAAAAAAAATTTTCCCTCCTATTTATTAGGTGGATGGAATATTCAGAGGAAATTACTACAATGCTCCAGTCCATGAATAGAACTTTTGGTAGTAGTATGGCAAGAATAAAAGGTATGGCTACATAATCCCATTCGAAACTTAATCTGTAACAAATCACTGGAACAGGGCAGAGAGACATTATACCCATTGTGCTACAGTGGAATATGTTTCCTGTTTGTTAGCAGGATATGATAGGCTATGGTTATGTGACTTCTATTAAGCAATCGCTAGTTGGTAATACAGCTGCAACAGCACGGAAGAGAACTTTCTTCCAATGGAAGACAAGCTATATTGAAAACTTCAGGTGGAATTCCAAAATTGCTCCCGTCTTACCCTTCCAACACAATTTGATATCCAAGGACAGTGATGGTCAAACTGCTCAACACAGTGCTTACAAGTTGGACAATGTTTGGAGCGCATTGGGCGAATTATCTGGTAAGTCACAAAAAAAAGATGTAATTGGTATTTCTGACATACATAAGAATAGAAAAAAATAAATATCATATGCAGATATGGTCATTTCAGTATGAAGAAATACACAAAAATATGAAAGGAAAAAAGGAATTTGGAATTAAAAAGAATAAAAATAAAATAGGTTCTTACAATACCTTGCATGTGGGGCATAACTGAGACCAATTGCCTGTCCAAGCAGAAGAATTAAGGTCAATCTCCATAAGTGGTTCCTGTAAAGACAATATTAATAATCATCATTATGATAACACCAAAATCCTAATTATATGATATTACTGCTGGAGTACAAAGTTATCATTACAGATGATCGCATGAACAGCAACAAATTCAATCCAGATAACATTTATGTTCCTGAAGTAACAAATTTTAACTCTTTGTTCGAACATAATTTCCAGGGACGAGATGCTATACAAATGATAATGAGGGGCATTTTGTTGAAGTACATGTGGATGGAAAATTGTTTGAACAATACTTAAGGCGTTTTACCTTTGGATCAAGTCGCTTGGTATTGGCTTGGATGTAGCCTGGATTTTTTCTATCCAAAGACCATAAGAACACAAATTTAACCTCAATCAGGGTGTAGGCACAGAAAATATGCTTATAAGAAAATAAATTAACGTCTTCAAAATTAAGAAATGTAACTAAAAACTAAAAATGGAGAGTGCCACACCAATAAGCATAGTATTAAATAAGTTTCTCATCTCCTCATCATTATGCACTCACATAACCTACCTGCTTACTCTGTAGAACATCACCAATGAAGCAAAGGCAAGAGAAATAGCACCCCATGACCAAATACCAACAGCGGCAGTTATTCTAGAAAAATTCGGTGCTGGAAAATTTTTACAATCAAATCAGTTATTTGAATAAATGCTATACAAGTTCAAGTTTGAATACAAAAAATGAAAATCACAAGCAATGCTTACCAAAAATAATTGAGTTCAGAAAAAGGGTGATAAGGACAATAAGAAAGCAAAACAGGATAGAAGCATATCCAATCTTCCGCGATCTCCCTGAGCAGTACTTGTCTTCAAATGTTACTTTTGTAGCATTGGACTACAAGAGAAAGGACCATATTAGAACTTAATAACCAGCAACTGAATAAATATTGTGGAAATCCACACCATTTACAGCAGCCCACACCTAAATAGCCGCTGTAGTGTATGCAGACTCAATGGTAGCCCGTATTAGTTCGTGCTCAAACATGCAGCGAATATTTTCAAGAAAAGAAGGCTAGATCTTATAATTAATGCTGGAGGAACCTACAAGGATATAGGAAAGATGCCGATGACCTTTGTCGTTTGCAAGTTCCACAGGAGTAAACCCACCGCTATCCTTCAATGTGAGTTCCTCCTTGGTACCAGCATGTACAAGAACAGTGCACACCTCATAATTTCCTCTTATTGCTGCCCAGTGTAATGGAGTACAACCTACATGACATCACAACATATAGTTAATACAAATGTGACTTTTAAGAGCTTCCTCAAATAAATTACTAGCATGTAGCAACTACTGACATATATAATTTGGCTATTCCTAGAAAAAAATCAACATTTCCCATGCTCTAAACAAGAAGGAATATGACCAGTGAAACAAACAAAACCATGCAATTGTTTTATAACAAATATGTAACAAGAGACTAATTTTTCAACTAGAACACATGCTAAACAGAATTTAGGACCCATAGTTTTCACTTTTCAGTGACAAGAAAGAAAAATTTTATGTTCCACATTTCCAGCTGTCCATAGCTTTCACCAAAAATAAAACTAATAATTCTCTAACTACTCCTATAAATTACACAGGATGGAAAATATACATATGCATGAATAACGTAGATAGTGATCAGGAACACTAGTCAATATATTTTGCTCTTAGCACAGAGCTAACACATGTAACTAATATCACATAAAAGAAGAAGATTGTCATGTGAATGGTACCATTTTTGTCTTGCCTTACTTGATTAGCATCCATAAACAGCAGTAACCTAATTGTATCAGCATTTCCTTTGTAGGCAGCCCTGAATATGTTAGAATATACAGTTACACAACCAGATAAGATAGCTGAAAGAATACATAAAAGTATTCATATTATGGATGTCTTGAAAACAGAAATCAAGCTAACAATATATTACGATAAATTAATTAACTCTTCAGGACTGACATGGGCATTCAAACTTTATGTAAACATTTTTGTACTATAATTCTGGAATATTATAATAGCCGATGCATTTTTTGTCCAACAAAAATAGATTAAATCATTAAGAAGAGTGAAAACTCAGAAGACAACCGACAAATGATTTGTTGTGAAGTATATTACATAACAAGTAAATTGGTAACAGATTATTCACATTTTGGGGCTTGCTAATTCTTCAGTATGAGGGACAGGAGCAGAGCAAGATGAGTAACTCATGATGGCTGTTAAATTTAACTGATGATCATGCAAGATAGCCAACAAATCAGCACCAAATGATACAGATGTATCATTGATTCTTCTGCAGTTCTACTTCTCGAAGATATTTGCCATATCAATGATTCACTTGCATGAACAGTTTGAGACAAAATTTCAACCAGGATACGTTTCAAATCAACCATTTTCTTGTATGTTCTTCATGGGAAAGGCTTGTGAAACTAGGAGAAAACATGCATCTAAAAGGTAAAGAGTATCATCATAATCAAGTACCAGTGCAATGGACTCCTCCCATCATTGTCCAAACACTCAAAGTCTGCACCGTACTTTGAGATAATGTGGTGCAAGAATGCTGTTTGTCCATACTGAGCTGCAACATGAACTGCCTGACATAATGATCGAAACAAAGAAATGTGAACCATAAGATTTCACTCACACTACAAAACGCTAAAAATATAGATAGACGGGGTTATATTATCTCCAGCAGTGTGACTCCATAAAAGTTGAAAAGCTAATAACAAGACAGGTTATCCAGAAAAGTAAGCATGATTCAAGAAGTTTCCTCCCTGTACTCCTGTTAGCTGATAGAATTTTTTTTACAAACAGCTTTTCCAATGAATTAGATTTGCACAGCAGATGGCAAAAAGATTGATATATTTTGAAACTCAATGCAGGTGATTTTTCATTAGAGAAAAAAAAAAGACGTACAGCAAATTCTACAGTAGTTCCTTGAGCAATAACTTCAATCTTGATCAACCAGCAATCCATGTATTACCAAACTAAAAAACCATGATTGATTTAGTAAATCGCTGATCTCATTTCTATTTGCATAATGTAGCACTTATTAACAAGAGGTTAACTTATTGCAGCGGCGGGGACAGCTCCCGGACAGGTTAGGCGGCCACCCGGGCTCCACCGTTGCCGTCTCCATTGCCATTAGCCATCGACGTGTATAAAAATCAGTAGGTCACCAGAAAACGTTACTAGTCGCCCACTCGCCCAGGCTTTACGACGGTTCTGGCTCCGCCACTGGCTCATTGCTATCTGTTTCAGAACAATCTAAAGTCTAAAATCAACAAACATCCTACATTCTAATCTCCCAACTGATCTCCTAAGACCACCTAGAGTTTTCAGAGCAACAAAACGACTGCATTACCCGGTAGCCATTCACATCGGCCGCCTCGACCCTCGCACCGTTCTCCAGCAACACGTCCGCCGCAGCTATGGCTCCACGCACCGCCGCCCAGTGCAGGGCCGTCTGCTGCGCATTGTCCCCGGCGTTGACGTCGCCTCCATGCTGTTCATACCAAACCCCATCAGCCAAAAAAAAAAGGGAACAGAGCAAACACCCCAATCTGAGGGCAGCGAGGAGCCCAAACAGTAGAGCAGCTGGACCTCGATGATGTAGAGCGCGACGTGGGGGTAGTTGTTGAGCGTGGCCCACTGGAGCGCGTGGTAGCCGTTGCCGTCGGGCGCCGCGAGCGACGCGCCGCCGTCCCGCTCCACGAACCCGCGCAGACGCTCCAGGTCCCCGTACGCCGCGGCGGAGTACACGTCCACCACGGGGTCCCCCTCCCCGCCGTTCGCCCGCGCCTCCCTCACCTCCACCACCCCCTGCTTCACCCCTCCACCTCCGCCGCCGCCGCCGCCGTCGCCGACCACCTCGATCTCCGCCATCGAGGCGAGCTAGGTTTTCCTCTCTCTCTCTCTCTCTCTCTCTCTCTTTCTCTCTCTGTTTTTTTTTTTTTTTGCGCGCGCGAGGGGGAGGAGGTGAGGTTGGCTAGGTCAAGATTGCTTGGAGGCGAAGGCAAGGCGGCGGCGGCGGTGACCACCGACAAGTCTCCGAGAGGGGAGGCAGCCGCCGCCGGCCGGTGGGGGGTAGTTGGGGAAGAGGTGGTGGCGGGTGGAGGGGTGTGTGAGGGGAGATGCTCGGCGCCGGTGAGCCGTCCGATCCGGCCGGTGGCCGATCGGACGGCTGTGGTTGTGTTGCGCTGCAGACCAAGCGACGAACGGTTGTTTACCTAACTTTCTACTAATTTCTACTCACTCCGTTGTTTACTCTTTGATTATTTTTATAGACAGATTTTATTAAGTTTGATTAAGTTTATAACAAAATTTAGCAATATTAAAAATATTAAATTGATTTTATTAAATCTAATATTGAATATATTTTGATAAGGAGCAATAAGTTTGTTTTTTATTGAAAATACTATATATTTTTATAAACTTTGTCAAACTCAAATAATTTAACTAGAAAAAAAAGTCAAACGACTTATAATGTGAAACGAGGAAAGGAGTACATTGATAGACCTATCAATGTATTTAGTCCAATGATTAAATTTTGGTCAATTATGTTATTTGCCTTTAGGTATTGTTATTTTACTGGTTTGCCAAACTTTAGTGTAAAAGATATATGAAATAGCGTAATCTTTTGACGCCACATAATAGTTAGTCACAGTTGTGACACATCTCTAATACCGATTGCAAGGTGCTGATCCTAGCATGTTATTGGGCCACGTGGCAAGCTGGAAAAAGAGCTAACCATCTCTAAAATATTGCCACGTGTCAACTCTTAGTTTATCCTGTGTACATAATGAAAAAAAATGCCCCTTTAAGAAGCTGAAGAGGTGCCTCTTCACATCTCTAGAATAATCAAGAAACAACCTATTATCAAGCTATCATCTGTCATTATTATTGGAATTAAGGAAAAAAGGATGGTGTTATCAAGCTTGTAAGATATGCAGCAGTAAGATGCTATGGAATGGCACCATAATGAAGTGCAGGAGAGAGAAATGTCCATGTACCCAATATGATTACAAGTAAGTAAACTCACTGTTATGCTCTAAATTACTTGTCAATCTCATAGTTGGAGTCTGGATCAAAATGTTCATTGCATTTCTTTTACAATCTTAGAATACAAAACTATTGCCTATTGATTGATTTGTTATTTAAATGGTGAATTCCTCAAATGATTTAATTTGAGCACTTTTCAAGCTGACATTGATCATCTACTCTATCAATTACTACCAACAAAACACCAAATTTGACAATGATTTATCCAAGCATAGTATCTACTTGGAAGTTATGAGTTCAAATTCATGATATATAATTGATAATAGAAGATTCAATTAAAAACGTATTGATCTTAATTTTTTTTACTTTGGAGTATGTCCTTTATCTGTATAAGATATTTTCTCATGAAACTAATTTAATGATAAATTGCTGATTATTTTCACATAATGGACTATTTGCTCTTGAACGGGGGCTTATTGCTCAGACCGTTCAGTTTAGCACCAAGGGTGAACACAGTTAGTAGCACTATATTTGGAATTTTTTTTGAAAATAATTCGATTTTAATGGAAAATCGCTAAATATATGTCGGTTAGACGAAATCGCAAGTTTAGCACCTGTCGAACAACCGACAGGTGATAAAATAATTTTAAAAAAGATAGAAAAAATACTGTAGCATCATTGTAGCGTATAGCCGCGCCCCTATCGAACATGCAAAGTTCTATATGTCCCTGCCGGTACTGTGCAAGTACTTTTTTAATTTTTTTTCTTGGACCAACTAGCCTGTCGAAGAGCAGTGGTTCAATAGGTTCCCTGTCGACCCACGGTTGTTCGATAGGGTGCTAAATTTACGATTTCGCTTAACCGACCTATATTTTTGTGATTTTCCATTAAAATCAAATTTTTTTTAAAAAAAATTCCTATAATTGTCTTAATAGAAGTTTGCTTGCTTGATGGTATTAATAGAAGTCTGCATAATGTGTCTTACACAGAAAAATTCCTAATAGCTAGCTACGCGGCAAAGCCGCGTCTCTTTCTAGTTTTCTTTAAAAATAAGTTTATTACGTATCCATAAAAGGAGCAAAGTTTTATATTATATAAAGTTACTTCTAAGTGTGACACGTAACAAAATGAAATTTAAAGACTAACATAACACCCCCATATCTAACCTGCAAAAATGATCGAGACTTTTCTTTTCCTCTCCTCTCTTGTAGCCAAATACACAATGAAAAATCGACACAAAGAAAAAAATACACGATGATAAATTGTTTTTGCAGATGGGCTGATTGGGCCGGAGGCCGTCTGATTCCGGGCCTTCCGGCCCATCCAAACGAGCCTTTCATCTGCTTCGCCCGCTATCTCCCACAACTCCACCTCTCCACATCTTCTCGCCACCGCCGACGCCGCCGCGGCTCGCCTCCTCTCCTCCCCTCGCCGCCGCCACCGCCGCCGCAGAAGCTTGGCTCATCGCGGCGCGAGTGCCTGATGGCCGCGGCCTCCATCCCCGCGAGCTCCCAGCCCTTCAAGGTTCGGGGTCCAGCAGCAGCTCCGCCGATTAAATTAATCTGTTCTTTGTTTGAAGAGTTGAGCCTAATTTGATCTGTTCGTCTTGGCGACAACGGTGGTGGTGATTGCTATACTCGCTGTGGCTCGTCGCAGCTGATCCTGGGGTCATCGTCGGTGGCCAGGAAGCACATCCTCACCGAGATGGGGCTCGAGTTCGAAGTCATGGTGGGTTGCGGCGCTTTTCTCCCGTTCTGCATTTTCCCCCCTTTTTGGGGGGATTGCTTGCTTTCGGGAATGTTCTCTTGGGGATGAAATGATTTTTGTGGTTTCAGACTGCAGATATCGACGAGAAGAGCATCAGGAGGGAGAACCCTGACGAGCTAGTGACGGTTCTTGCGGAGGCCAAGGTGCGGCATTTTCTTCTTTTGTTTTTTTCCCCATTTCTTTGGATGTTTTTACAGCTTCAGCATTGGCGTCCCACTCCCACCGCTACAGTAGCAAATGTGTTGCCGACTCCATGTCTAGTGCCATGTATTACTATTACCTTGTGCAAAATTAGATGGTATTTATGGTGATGATTGGTCTGTACCGAGTGCTTGAATTTGAGAAAAGTGAAACCTTGGCAGCTCCAATGGGGCATTTGGATTGGACTAGACCGAGTAGGTTTTGATTTAGTTATAGACTTGAATTGTAACTCTAAATTAAAGAATGGAAGGCTCTGGTTCGTCTCTGGTTGTGTCTCAGTGGTACATTGCTGCTGAATTGGTCATAGAAGAAAGAGCATACCATGACTTCGTGTAGATCTGCATTGTGATATTGTTTCTTTGTTGTCGGTTTTTCCCCTATAAAGAAACTGACCACTTTGAGCATCTTTTTCAGGCTGATGCTATCATGTCCAGATTGAATATTTCTGATTACCAGAAAGAAGGCGACAGGCCAACACTCCTGATCACTTCTGACATAGTATGCCTTTATTTCCTTTGCTCTGCTATTTTACGTCGAACTTGGATGCTTTATTCATCACAAAATAATATGTTTGGAATATGACAATGCCTCAATTTCGGTTCTCCTTTGATTTTTTTTTTATAGTTAGGAGTTCCATGTACATCAATTTTAAGTATGACTATTTTTGTGCCATGTTTTTGTTATTACACATTTGTGTGGATAGGCCTTTTCGATGTCACCAAATCCAAATGTCATACAAATACGTTAATCGATTGGAATTGATCCTGAAAAAATAAATTTTAAATTCCTAAGATGTGCATTATCAATGCTGAATAGATCAATACTTTATCGTATTTAAGAATGAAGCTGGCCAGTCCCCGTGAATGACGAAATTAGGCGCCTTATAAACACCAGCAAGAGCAATGGCTGGATGAGTGCATGCTGTGCACACTGTGTTTTTTTTTTATTCAAGCAAGGACAGTGTGTAGCATGACAGCACTGCCCTGTCTAGCCAGATGGTCTCACGCTGTACACTCACCTTTACCATCTTGAATGGGTCACTTCGAAAACCGTACATCTCACGGATGGGATGGATGGTCATCACGGTCAAAACCTCTTGCTTAATCAATACAATGAAGGAGTAGATTTGGTTCCGTTAACAGGATAACCATAATGTTTGGTAATTATGCATAACGCAAGTCATTCCTGTTTTAACATTTTGTTGGTCATATTCTCTTTGTGGCTGAACGCTGAAGTTCATGAATATTTGGTTGAACATATCAGCTTTATTTACTAGAATGTTGTCATTCGCATTACTGTCATACTGAACTGTAGTTGACCTTGAGGTGGTCGTCCATGAAGGGATTATCAGAGAAAAGCCAACCACTAAGGAAGAAGCACGCCAATTCCTGAAAGGTGTGTCCACATGCCAAGACAACATGCATCTTATATTCTTGTTCTGCAATGTTTTATTGTATTATTTATTACTTGAACGTTTACTTTCTCCAGGTTATTCTGGCAGCCATGTCTCAACCGTGGGGTCTGTAGTCGTAACTAATCTGACAACTGGGAAGAGGCTTGAAAGCCTAGACAAAGCTGAGGTAATTTACTTTTGTAGTTACAGCACTTATTTGATAGAAGCTGTTTGTGTTCAAGTCAGATTTGGCAATGCGGGTGATCCCATTGATATGTGCGACCAAAGGCTATTGATCAACATCTTTGACAGAATATGATTCATCCAAGCCCTGTAAATGTGTAAAAAAAAGCAAAGGATTTCTTCACGATCCAGTGACTAATGACGATTGTAGTTTTCATACTTGTTTGTGTGGCGAACTTTGTTGTGGGCATCTAGCTAGATATAGTTGTTGCAGTTCTTGGTCCTCTTTTTGTTATATTAAATTAACAATAAAACGAGTTTCTTAGTGTGTGTGTGTGTTCAGGAGGAACTTTTGAAAGATGAGGCCATTCAAATTCTATTAATGCAAGAGATCTGACTGCAAAGCAACAATTTACTTTGTTCTCTGTTGTTAGTATGTAAGGCAACTAGCGCAAAAGTCAGTACATAATATTTGAATTCTGCCAGTAAAAAGGTAACTGAATTGTGTATGTATATCATGGAAAATTCAGTTAAGGTTGCCTTTTGTCATCATTTTGCAGGTGTACTTCCATGATATACCAGATGAGATCATCGAAAACCTGGTTGGTCTCATTTATTCTACTCTGTAATTTATTATCTGATTATTTGCCGAATCTAACATTTATAGTTGAAGCAGCAGTGCTGGTTAATTCCTAGATTATCATCATAGGATCCAATATTTTAAAAAATTGCATTGTTTTTATGCATCTGACCTGCTCTCTCTACCCCCTTGACTGTCAACAGATCGATGAGAGGGTAGTATTTAGGGTCGCTGGTGGCTTGTTGCTTGAACATCCATTGACATTACCATTTGTTGAAGCAGTGGTTAGTGCCTATCTCACCTTATTTTTCACAAGTCTTATGTATACATGACATTTCAAACTAATGCAAACTTGGTCTCCTTTTTATGCAGGTTGGTTCTAGTGACAGTGTAATGGGGATCTCGAAGGATCTTGCAAACAAATTAATTCAGGATGCATTGTCCGCTTAGCCTAGTAATATTTGGCGCTCTGATTATTTATCACATTATTACGATATTTATCAGTGAAAATTTGTCAGGGATATGGTGGTATACTGGTATCTCATAGCCATTTTTTTAGTTCAAAAGCTTTTGAAGGATTTCAGAACCCGACACACGAAGACGCATGGTGTGCAAGAACACTCGAGTCCCTCTATCTACTGTTTTGATGAGATTCTATCATTGTACTACTTACACGTTGACTGAATATACTGTCATTGTGAAGCGTTCAATCAATATCTCCATGGGGAATGAGAATGTTGCAAAAGAACTCGCAATTTTTACATATTAAATCGAAAAGACTTGTGTCCTGGTTACATTGTGTGAATCGAACTGTTTGTAGTGAACACTCTGCAACTGTTTGTTTCTCTCGGAACTACGTACCTAAAACTGGATGGCATACATCTTGTCTGCTGTGCTTGAGTTTTTCTCATATCTACCTAAAACTAAAACTAGATAGGACAAATTTAGATATTGGCTGTGTTTAGATCTAAACTTTGGATCCAAACTTCCAACTTTTTCCATCACATCAACCTGTCATATACACACAACTTTTCAGTCATATCGTACCAATTTCAACCCAAACTCAAACTTTCAACTTTGGAAGGAACTAAACACAACCATTGTCAAATGATGTATCTCGTCCTATACTAGATCGTTGTATTATGAGATGAAGGTAGTAGTATTCATTATAGCATACAAAATTTGAGGGCTGGATGACTAGGTATAAAATGGGGCGGGCTCAATTTTTGTTAATTTTTTTTATCTAAAAATAGTTAAGGGCTAGAGTTGTGAAAGAACCTGGTCTAACTAATTATCACCCCTACCTACAAAATTACGGTCTGATCTGAAATGCTGAATGTGACAGCTTCTAAAATTCTGCAAATTCCACGTGAAACAGTTCATTTTGCCCACAAGACAAACCTACCGGAACGAATAGTGGGCCGGGCCCAACTTCATATGGGCCCTCATGATGATGACACTACCGTTCCAGCCCAACATAATATAGGCCCGCTCTTCGGTGAAAATCCCTGTCCAGCCCAACATAATTTGGGCCCACCTGTAGGTGAAAATCCCGTTCTCGGCCCAACTTGATTTGGGCCCACACGTCGGTGACAATCTCGTTTCTTCTTCTTCTCCGCCGTGACACGCACACGGCGAAGCGGAGGCAGCCGCCGCCGGCGACCATCTCGCGTCGCTCCTCCGGCCATCTCTTCAGTTCCTCCACTCCCCGAAGCTTCCGCCCGCGCGATCCACCGAATGCGGCCGGCGGAGGAGGTGGCGAGGGCGGCGGCGCTGGCCGGCCCGCTCGGCGAGCTCCTCCCGCCGGTGGACTTCTGCTGCGCGTACGGCTCCACGCTCCTCCACGCCCGCCCCGACGCGTCCTCCATGGTCGACTACATCCTCGGCGTCCCCGACCCGCTCCAGTGGCACTCCGAGGTAGGGTGGGTGACTGAGCCCCCCCCCCCCCCTCTCCTGTTCTACTCTTCCAGATTATTCCATCCAATTGGTCCCCTTCTTGGTTTGATACTCTTTGATGCGATCTTGGTTCTTGGATGGTTTCTTGGTTGGTTAATTGGTGCAGAATTTGGAGAGGAACCCTGGTCACTACTCCGGATGGATGGCTCGCCTCGGCCCCGGCGCTGTAAGCTCCCATTTCCCACCCCAAATTCACACTCCTTTTACTTGGTTACCCCGGTTGATTGCTCCTCTGACTGTGTGATTGATTGGTTGTTGCTTGTGCCTTGTGGAAGTTCAGATTACTCGACTTGCGGATAACATCGGCGTTGGGGTGTACTTCAATCCATTTGTTGAGTGGAGGGACAAGGTTAGCATTTGCAATGAAGCCTCCTGAATTTTGTAGCCTGATGCTTTGTGTGCATTGTGGTTTACTTGTCTTCATGTATGTGCATTTAGTTCTGAGTGACAAAATTGTAGCTATGTGGATGCAGAGGATAAAGTACGGGGTGGTGAGGATGAAGGACCTGGCCATGGATGTCTTGACCTGGGACCGGTTCTACCTCAGCGGCCGACTACAGAAACCTGTATGTATGTCCTCTTATTGATATCGGTGGGAAGGAAGATGTGAGCACTGATGATCACCATTTATGTTTAGTTCAACCCCTGTTTTAATTTTAGTGCATGTATATGCCTGGTAGTCCAGATTTGACATCAGAGCTAGTATTTGTCTTTTGTATTCATGTAGGTTCATGTTCTTGTTGATCATTGGGATGTAAGGAAGATTAACACAATTAATCTGAAAATGGCAACATCAGCTTCTCTACTCCTTTTGCCAGCAGAATTCACTGAGGTTTAGTGTCACTGTATCAGCATTGTTGTTACAACCATGATATGGTTCTATGCTTGTTTTCACCTTCCCTTTTTATTCCTTTTGTACAGTATGACCTGTACGCCCAAATTTGCAGCCTATCATATATGGGTGATTTAAGAATGCTCTTTGCCGAAGACAAAAACAAGGTAAATTGATAAGATGTATACTATGTTGTTATTCTTAAATATTTTCATGTAATTTATTTCAGCTCAATTAACATCAGAAATAACATTTCCTTCCTCACAATAGTGACGCTGTCAATATGGATGTCTGAAAGCCAACTCTACTATACACCTTGAAAAATGAAATGGCGTGTTATTTTTTTTTAAAAAAAAGAAGTGGACCACAAAAGAATCAAATATTACATGGGATGCCTCTTAAAAAAAAACATGGGATGCATGGTACACAGTAGTTATTGTAATTCATTCCAAGTGTGGTGCATGTGATATGTCTAGTATGTCATCCTGCACATACATGCACCTATGGCATATAAAAGAGATGTACAATTTGGCTGGATTGAGCACATTAGTGAGTTACTGCTGTCTGCTGGGTTTTGTGGGAAGGACTGACAAGCAAATTGACTGTGTTTCTGTTGAAAGATCAATATATGGTTGTTATTCTTCATGCTTGTTTTTTTTTCCCATGACAATGGAACTTATGAATTGGTGCCAATTATACTCTGCTGTGAATCAGGTCAAGAAAATTGTTGAGGGTAGTTTCCCATCATTTCAATCGATGTACAGACCCCTGATACAAGAGTACATTGCTGAAGGACTACTGAAGACATCATCTTATGGACAACAAAAGGCTTTCCATCAGGTCTGTGTTTCCTTTTGCTCATACACACAGTTTGTTGAAACAGTGTTAAGTGTTTAGCCTCTCACTGAGATGCTTTCTTGCTATCACAAATGCATCATTGGTGGCCCACCAAGATGTTTAAACTTTTCTCGTAATGTTTATCATATTGGCGTGTTCTCGCAAATGTGGTATATTTATCTCCTTTGAAACTTATAAGATATTTTATTGGCACTCTATGAAAGTCTTTTTCTTTTGGAACTTCATAAACTAAAACTGATAAGAGTTTTATATTTGCAGGATTGTGGTGCATCTGCAACAAACGAACTGTTCTCTTATCTCCCATGGACAATCCAAAGGCGAACGCAAGGAAGATTTGCATCGAATTGCAAAGGTACTGTCGTCATTTGCGTCGAGATTAGTACCGTCGAATCTGTAACACATTCTGATAAATTGTTTAATTTCCAGAAATGCCAACTGGTGCCGCAGTTTCTTCAAAAAATGTAGCAGCAACCTGTGTCCGCAAGGCTTTGAGGCGCCGGGTAATGGTCTCAAGTGCACGTCAAGCGGTGTCTGGACTGCTTGCCTCTGGTGGCACTGTTGCTGCTAGATATCTGGGGAAGAAGATATCCAAAGCCTGGAAATCAAGAACAGTTTAAGTTGTTGCTGACACCTGATGCTTTATATACACCTTTGTTAGTTACGGATTTAGGGTAGGTTTTGCTCTTAGATCATCAGGATACATAGTCTTGAGAGATACTTGCTATTTCAGACATTTTATTCTTTACATGAATACACTTGCATGGTTTTGTTCTATGATTTTATTAGAGATATATGGTCCAACAATTGACCTATGAATAAGTTCAGACATGAGAACTCTGATAAAATGATTTTTTTTCCAGCATTGTAACTTGAGTTGATTTGTATTGCTAGAGCTCATTTATTACGTTTCATGTACTACCCTTTTACTTGTCATAATTTACTTACTGATTATATTGTTGGCATGACTCGTGCATGAATTGTCATGTTCATCAGCAAATCAATTCTTGGAACACAAATGTCTATTGAAGAGAAAATGCGATTAAAGCAGGACCTGAACTCTCTGGGAATGGATGATATATCTTCGTTTATGGAGTCGTTGCCTCCTGACTTTCTCACCATACTTCGAACAGAGTAAGCAATATTTTGTCAGAGTGCATAAGCATGTTGTCATTGCTTTCGTCTTACCCATTTTTGCTGCTTACACATTACTTGTGATACTTACTTCAGTGGACTATTGAGGTCAATTTTAGGTAATCTAGGTGCACCACGTCATGTGCGACTTCTTACCTATGCAAAATGCGCTTTGTATGGCCTTGAAGAACAGCCCAAATTGCAGTCAGGTGTGTTTCAGTTAACTTTGTTTATCGAAAATCTAAGCCTGATTCTGATATCTCCAATATCCTGAGCTGTTCTATTGCATTTAGGCTCAATCAAGCGTACGTTCTTGCAAGTCAAAATAAACATTAGCTATCTTCGTCTGAGGATACTTATCGGTAATTTACAATGGTGCCACCCTACAGTCCTTTTTATATCTATCCAGTTTGTATACTGTATGCTGATCTGCTAATTGACGTGAGAAATGGTTATACTCACATGATGATCCTGAAAAATTCGTTTGTATCCTTTTTTTTTCAGAATTAGCAGGGTTTTTAATGCAAATTAATGATCTTAGGCATAAGATCATGAGCAGATTCAGACGTATGATCCAGAACACTAGCTGAGCTTTCTCTTCTGATGTTACAGACCTCTTAACTCTTAAGTAATGTTCAAGTCGACCGAACAGGACAGGAAAGAGCCCATCGATACTTAAGCATTTCTAGAGTATAGTTTTAGCATCAATCAAACTGTACAATTAAAACTTAGAACCTGGGATCCTGATGCTGATGAATTGTAATCACACCTCAATTATATGTAAACACAAAATTTGGGCTCCGACTAATACTGATTTGCTATGAATGAAGTCTTCGGTTTCATGACAAATTTTCGGATGACAAACAAGATGGAAGAAAATTGTCATCATACTGTGTATGCCATGCATGGTCATCTGTGTCATTAACTCATTATGCTGAGTGATCCTACAAAACTTGCGGCTTAGCACAAGATGCTGACAATGACCAAGCTCCAACCTTGCTTCAAAGTCATCAACTTTACTCAAGTCAAATAATTTTATTAGATACAGAACACAGTCCGTGCAGGCTTTTTCAGTCAAAGAATAAATGGGTAAAGTACTATAGAATATGAATACATGCTCATCTTTTGCTGTTCTTTTTCTTCTTATTTCAAAGAATCCAATAATATCTGAATGACTGAAATGATTTTCCACATTTTTACAGTTTTGACAAGTACGCATCAGGCTTTGTTGGGAAAAGGTCATAAGCATGTACCTTTCGATAGTCCTCCCAGTGAATATTACGGGAAAGTACTTAGCATATTTGCCAACACCAAACTGTTCACCTAACTCCAGAATTTTTTGAGAATCCAACAATATCAACGCTTTCCACAGCTGACAATAGTCCAATCTGAACTTTTGGTCTAATTCTTTATAAATTCCATGATCAAGCAGCACTGCAAAAATATGGATCACTTAACCAACTAAAAATTATTTAAAGCTCACTTTATAAAATAGAATCTAATGACTGGAATATATTAAGTGTCTACTCTCTTCAAACCATGTGCTTCTCACCATACCGTACATTCTCAGAGCCCCATTGCTTTGCACAAATAAGCCAAAGCAAAAGCCAAAATTTAAATTTTCAAACTTAATTTTGAAGTTGATTTTAAGATATTTTAAACATAATTTCTTTTTCAGTATTGGCTTTTAAGTCGCTATGAACACATATATAAAAGTTTTACCTACAAATTAATTTTTGTTCCTTAATAAGCCATTTTAGCTTATTAAGAAATATGGGCAAGCGATGAGGACCTAATCCTACAATATAAATATATGCATATAGACATGTAGGAAATGCGATGTCTTGAAGCAAAAAAAAAGCACCTAATGAAAATTTCCCTTGGCCTTGAGGAGAAACTAATATATTTCCAGGATGAGGATCGCCATGAACAAAACCATGTACAAAAATCATTTCGCCAAACAATTCAATTAATGTTTCAGCTACCTAAAAGATAAGCATAGAAAGGTACCAAAAACAGAGAAAAATCAATTAGCTAGTCAGTGAATAAAATTTTAATATCAAGTATAACAAGCAAAATTAGAATAAATTAATATCCTTCTTTGTTCAGAACTTCAGATTCTGCAATCTCCTTAGGTAATACATAAACAAGTACCAATTATACTTCCTACAAGAATACACTTGTACAATCTGTGTTATATAAAAACATGTGGACCAAATAGTGAAAAATGCACAACATTTTCTAAACTAACCATGCCTCGGATCTGTCAGTAAGGTGTTAAGCAACAATTCCAAACTGTGAAGTCTAAAATGCTTACAAGTCATAAGACAAGAATTTTATATCAACAATACATTTGAATGACTTCCTAGCTAAAAGTCACCAAAAACTATGACACCAGATAAATAGAAGTGTAGCAATAGATCTTCCATGTCTTATACATGAACAATCTAAATCATTAAACCTTATTTGGGCTGGGCATGCCATATTACTTGTACCAATCTTATGTAGGTGCACACTTATGTGCTTGTCTGTTTGGAAACCCCTTCTATTTTTTGTCAAATCAACAATATGGATTCATGCAAGAAAATTTCTCAGGAAATCATTCAGGATAAACAAATGTTTGGTTCCAAGAACTAAAAAGAAACCTTTGTTGGACTGATATCTGCTTTCCTTAGGGAGTCCAAGTTATCAACCTGTCACAAAAGTAAGAAAGATGTTATATGTTCATCTATTTTTGCATTATAGAATTTTCAGATACAATAGCAACTGGAGGTAATGTCCTCCTTCCTATTCCTTTCTCTATGCAGCATTTCTCTCTTTCCTTTTCCATATCTTTATGGAGTTTACACTTTACAGAGTATGTTTCGATAATGGATGAGATCCAATTGATTGATGAATGAAGCTCCAATATAAACTTTATAAATATCACCAAGAAATAGCAATTTACCTTGTAGCCAGAACAAAATTCCATTGTCAAAACCTCCTTGCTTGTTAGTTCCTATAACAGCTTTAACTTTAGACAAAGTTATATACACAAACCAAAATTATTAGCACTGTATGCAGCAACAGATTAAAATGTGATATAACAACTGATGACCCAAAATATTAGCAATGAGTTGAATAAGTCTGTCAAAGAAAATTTTACTTCAGTAGCACAAAATTTATCCAATAGAAAAACTTTTCTTCAATAGCACAAAAGTTCAGCCAATGGAAAACATTTAGTATCACAAAAGTTCAACCGATAGATAGCATGGAAAACTGATAGAACTAATGATTCTTTTAATTTTCTTTTTGTTTCAGGCAGTCAACATGTTTTTTTATGGTAGCCAATTGCTTGTTCATTGTTTAATCCTACAAAGTATTAATTTACACTTCTCAAAATACAATCAAGCTGTTGTTCGAAGTTCAACATTGGATGATCATTTCTTGCATGATGTAGCAAGACATTAATTTCTTTGTTGTTCAATAGAAAACTAGGGTTGTAGTGAACAAATTTCTCTGAATGCACACATTCTTGACTTACTGGTTTTATAAGCTAGGTGCAAAATAAGCACTAGATGATGGCCAAAATAGTATTAGCTTGTAATCTCTCCCAAATAAGCACTAGATCATGTGAAGGGCTTTAGATATAACTGTTTTCATAAGCTAAGTACAACTGGTTGGAGATGCTCTAAGAATAAAGGTTGGACAGGCTCCATACCCAAAACACGCAAGGTACTTTGACAACATTATTTTTCCTGAAGCAGCTAGCTGTTCTCTCAGAATTCTTAGCCTCTTGGGTAAAATCTGCAATATAACACACTGTAAGTTCTATAAAATAGAAACAACAAATTGAGTGCATAGTGCAGCTATAGGGGTCCTCACTTTTTAAGTGTCTAAAATCAGCTACAGGGGCCCGGAAATATTTTCAGTGTCCAAAATCCACATACACAGATTAACCAAAGTTTGATGCTAGTAAAATGCACAGAAAAGTGCACAAAGGGGTGAGATACACCTGATGTTTTAACACATCGTGAATTATTTAAAGAAATTGAAAATAAAATGTATAATGAATTTAACTGATATAACTATGTCCATCGTGTTATATAGAGTACATTGAACTTTTCTTTTAAAAAAAAAGCATGTATTGATTGATTTGAACAAACACATGATCTGTACTATTGATCTTTGATTCCTTGAAAGGACCAGGCAAACTGATTAAAAAAAAAGACAACAGTAACTAGCTTTACTGAATGCAATACTATGGCTCAAGCAAAATAATAGATGGCTCTATACATCATGAAACCAGAACATCAAAGAAAATTATTTCAACTGATAATACATAAAAGTAACACAATATTTATTAGAAATAAAGAAACTTCCATGCATTTACCTAGTTCCATTGACATGGTTCTCTCAAACTCGGTCAATAACTTCTCAAACCTATAATCAGGAAAAATCTGCAAATAGAAAACCATCAAATTTTCAATTCCACCAATAAATTACTCTAATTTCTTAGATCTGAACTTCAATAAACATAAGGCATGAGAAAAGAAAATAAGAATAGTTTACCACACTGGAAAACTCAATTATTGTACCAATTGTAGTCAGTAAGTACTTTACTTTTTAAAGTTTTCCAATTATGGAAACTACCATAAAAGGCTAAACAGTGTCAAAAACAGAAGTAGCATCACGCTAATAAGAAATAAGTGGTTTGCTTTGCTTTGGATTTAAGAAATAACCCCAAATCAACTTTTCATTAATGATGCCACAAACTAAAACACTGATAACACTCCTTAAACATATCATGGCACATGTCAAGCTTTACAATCAATGAAAATTTTACGTTGTACGCTTATGAAAACTGCCACTTAAAACAGTTAGAGTCAAGCTAATCAACAAAAAAAACAATTGCTTGCTTAGGATTGCATACTCACTTTCTTTTTTACAAGGATTTTGCCAGAGACACTAGTGCTCCAAGAATGGTTTATTTTTAGAATTTTAGTAACAATCTTGATGTTAAAAAAGCTGACAGTTGACAATATAATTGAACTGTGCTCATTACCTGCTCTTCTTTCAGAATATTGTATAGACGATAGTAATAAATTGCATGGGTAAAAAATTGTTTTCATGTAAATGAGCTGCATGCACAAAATATTCAATTTGCAAATCAATGGAAATCGCAAAATTGATACATGTAACATACCCAAGAGACAGATTTTGACAAGAAAGACATAGTCATTATGTCTATCTTCATGCGCCGCTCAAGCCCAGGATATTGAACCTATATGACACAGTTAAGATGGAAATCCTCTAGATTAATATACATGCACACCAAGAAAGACAATGTTTGCAAGACATTATAGGGAAATGATGAAATGGCATTTCAAAATTGAATATAAAAGGATATCTCCAGTAAAGAGAGGGGAAATATTCGCTTCTGGCCATTTCCACAATTCTGCTAGCAAAATTATGATAAAACCATATCGCTATATTTTTTTTTTTAAAAAAAAAGGTGCAAGAGATCAGTTTATGCTATGCTCTGGGTCAAAAGAATTGAGATGAAAGATTCATGTTCACATCAATGGATATTGGATGGCTTAGCTGCTTCCATGTAAAATTAGTGTATAAAGATTTCATATGGCTAAGCTAAAGTTAGAAATTGTTGTAGCCTAAGTTAATAATCAAAAAAGTTTTCAGGTAATCCAACTTTCTCATTGGCTGTGAAATTTAGAAGAATACTCCAACTTGTAATTTGTGTAAAGAGTTGGATAAATAACGAAAGTTTGAAATTGGCAGTTGTCCATCCTTAAATTAAAAGTTTTGTTGACAAGCATCCATAAATTTGATAGATGTGCAAAGCTATAAGGTAGAACTGGGATGGCGGATATAAATTTGTTAGGTCCCTGTGCAAGTTATAACTTATAACTCTGGATGGTGGATTTCACATAAATGCAATCTCTCTGACTTTTGTCTTGAAACTGTGAGCATGCAGTGTGATGATATCAAGCTGGACATATTTTCAATGGTTTACATAAATGTATTGCAGAGCACAGGACATTACACCCTGCTTCATTTGAATGGTGAAGACATAACAGCATAGGATCAAACAATCACTAAAATATCTTTGAGAACAATAATGGGACAGGTAAGAGATACGTGTTCACAGCAACCAACCTTCACAGCTACTTCCTGATTATTATTCAACCGACCTCGATGAACCTGAGCAATTGATGCAGCAGCAATCGGATGTTCATCAAATTCCAGGAATCTGATACTCAAGTATTAAATCTTAAACACTTATTGCCTGAATTTGGAAACTATGCAACTAATCAACAAAAAATTTCAATAAAATTATGAGCTATTTGTACAGCTGACAAGAGCTATCAACTTTTAAATATACAGCCCTGGGTAAGTCCTGCTTGCAAGAACACATGCATTCACCCCCACTCAGCCTAAAAGTTTAATCTTAGTTGATACAGGTGGTCCATGAAAGTTCGAATGCAGCTAGAGCTAACCATGGGAAACTCAACCCACCACTACTAGCTAAACGTGAACAAATTGGTCCAACAGTGTTATAAAGTCAGTGCATTCATATAGCCATTGCTTAATGCAAATGGCAAGGAGATGACACTAGCACTAATGTCAACCAACCTTAGCTAAGCATCCTAGCAGCCAATTGCGAAGGTACACAAGCTATCAAGGACACACGTCACAGGCTGACAAAGGGTAAAAAAGTAAACCGAAGAGCCCATGGCATGTCTAGACTGAACCAGCTAAAAAGTAAACTCATGCACAATCTACTCTGACGACAATGATCCACACCAGAGTAACCATCAGGTACATCACAGGTTATATGATAATTTTATGCAATGAAAAGCATGCAAACTCTACTTTTCAGCACCCTGCATACAGTAGAGAACAAGTTTATGATACCCTTTTTTAGCTATACCTAAGGACGATTTGATGTTGAACTTAGATAATCTTTTAAGAGACCATAAAATGACAACATAAAGACATATGACACCTTTTTTTTTTGAAAAGAAACAAAATGGAGAAAATCTCACTTCCTATAACCAGTGATGGAGTTTGAGTGAACTATCAATGGGGGACCAAAAAGTTAACGGTATTCATTAACACACTATTAAAATACCAAATTTAGTACTAAAAATACACTACGAATCTATTACACACTAATATCAGGCCTAACTGCCACATGCTTAATGGACATTGCTTTCACAGATCCAGTTACTTCTTTCCACGGTGTGTAGCTCTCTCGTCAGTCACCACACAAGAAACAAAGATAAGCAGCAGTGAGCAATTAATATGGCAAGTCCATCAAAATTCAGGAACTAAGCCTAACTGTTGCTGCTATGCTGCATACTACTAGCTACCACACATGGGCTTGTGTGCCAATTGCTGCTGCATAGTAGCTAAAGGAAAATTTTCTGGGGGACCACAACCCTGTTAAGTCCACACTATCCTCCGACCCTGCCTATAACCACAGCTCTGCATACTACAGATAACATAATCAAGTTTAAACAATCATGAACCTTTAATACTTACATGCTATGTAAATCCTTGCCAAGTTTCTGCTCTATCACTATTTTGATATCTTGAAAGTTACATGGAGTTGCCTGAATTATTACAAAAATGTTAAATAAACAAAAACTAATGAGGCTATGCAGTGTACACTAACATTAAGATAGAAATTAACTAGTAAACCTGATCTTGCAGACAAGAGAGTGTTGATGAGTATTCTTTTGGTACTTGTCTTATTGTACTTGCGTTTAGGCATTATTGTACTTGCATGGTTATGCACTCCCGTTAATCTTAGTGCTACTTTTGAAGTTTGGATATTTGATCTGCTTGTATGCTATCAAGGAAAAACAAATCTTGTATTGAGCCCTTATTTGTTTCTTTCTTTATGCCAAATCTGTTGTTCAGATATGCTCCAGCCACACAACTTTGGAGAGGCAGCATATCATGTGATGGGTAGCATATCTGAACAAGCCCAGATATCTGAACTTTGGAGATAGGCATAAACTTTGGAGAGGTAGCATACAAAGTTGTGATGGGTGGCAGCAAAGAGGATAGGCATGAACCTGAGCTTGAACATTGGAGCATTGCAGTAAAGGATGGGAAAGCCCTGGAAAACGAGTGGATGAGTGAGATACCAATCCCACGTCGCGGCCCTCATAGATCTATAACTTCCCCTCCCCATGATTTCTATTGTTGCCATTTTTGTTGGAAAGTAATGTTGCTATACACCTAAATGTCTTGATGTTTAGCATCTGTTATATTCAGACTTTTATGGTGCTCCCCACAATATGTATGCTTCTAGGCTATTTCTTTGATCAAGTATCTAGATTAAAATTAGTTCTGGGCCAGAAATCTGTTTGCATGCCATACAAAGTTCTTGTGGCATATAAGTATATAACCTGTTCCCGAGAATGGTCCTGTCATTAACAAGCAGCTTAATCATGATTTTTCTCTTTTGCTACCAGGGCTTTTGTTGTTGCTAATGATAAGCTACTTGTTATTGGTGGCCAACAAGGAGATTTTATGGCGATACCTGGATCTCCTATATTTAAATGTGTTAGAAGTGAGGTATGCTGATCTGTAGCTCAATCACTATATATGCTACTTTCTGCAGATTGTATAGGAATTTGTTTTGTACATTTTGAAGTTTGACAAGGATCACTTTTGAGTTTTGACAATGAATAGTGGAAAGTCTGGTTCCACTGAAGGCACAAAATGTATGATGTATTACCCAGTAGATGGTGATTTAACTTTTGAGCTGTCCGCTTAGCCTGTTTTAGCACTTCGTGTGATTTTACACCTCCTAGAGACCTATGTTCATTGTTTTCTTATAATAACTTTTAAGAAATGTTCTATAGTCATTTTGATCTTCTGCCTATGCAGGTGGTCTACAGCAATGTATACATGCTTGATGATGGAATGAGATGGAAAGAACTTCCACCTATGCCAAAGCCAGATTCACATATAGAGTTTGCTTTGGGTGAATGTTAACAATTCTCATTATTGCTGGGGGAACCACTGAAAAGCACCCAATAACCAAAAAAAAGGTTTTAGTTGGTGAAGTGTTTCTGTTCAACTTGAACACACTGGTACACACCTTTCCTTGCTCCTTATTTTAGATAAAACACTTAAAAGTGATAAGAAATGATGGATTATGACATGAAAGGTATGAAACATTACCTATCAACTGCCTGTTGTTTGTTTCATCTCGCAGTGGTCGCGCAGATGGCTCCCCGCGGGGCCGAACCCTAACCCCGGCTGCTAGGGCCCCTCCAGATCACTAGAGGTTGTGGACGACGACCTGTACAGTATACAATCAGGTGATTGATCGATCCACCTGATTGTTAATGATTTCGTGTAAGCAGTTGTAAACTTGAAAATTTTGTTACTTTTTTAAGAAAATAATTGGTGGTGTCAACTAGCAATGCAGTCGGTTTTCAATTTTTCTTCTGTATTTACCAGGGAGCAAGCTGTTAGCTGTTTTGTGAATCACTTCTAATTTACTGTTTATTAATGCTTGTTCTGTGATATATGGATGCTGGATGCGCTGAGAATGGAATGGTACTTGGTACTTGTCGTTGTGAGTGTGCGCCCATTGGGAATGAACCCTGTGCTCTATTGGGACAATTTTTTACAAAACCGCCCGCTTCCTCATCAGTAATTTCGCGAATAACCCCCCGAGCTTCCTTACCTTCTCTTGCATCTGGACTCATGCCGCTCGTCGTCCCCAAAGGAAGCTTCATCTCCATCTCCGTCCGGCAAGACGATGGTAGCTCCAAATCAATGCTATCTGCCAATCGACTACTGCTTGCTAGACGGAGGCCCTATATAGCACATACATAAAGCTGCAATATACTAATTTATACGCGAATAATCCTTAATACATCGAGTATCATGGATTCAACATCAGCAGCTCTGAAAATTGAGATTCTTGTAGCATAACTGATCCCTCCCAAGTCCCAGGTCCCTCAAACTCGCTGAGAGTGAATCACTATATTACAATCAGAAAACTCAGTTCAATCTGCCAATGTCTGAGAACCAAAAAAAATCAGAAAATCCAACAAAACAATTTCTCAGAGAAATTGGGGGTTCTACCAAGAGAGACACAAAGCTAGCAAGAAAGATTGAGTCCTGCCTTTGTGCAGGTTTAGTCAAAAACATTGAAGTCCCCCGCAAGAGTGACGGATTTTTTTATGGTTGGATTTGAGGACTCAAGGTGCATGGACAGGAGGAAAATGGATAAAACGGAACTTGACTCGTCGACTAGCCTCTCCACTCCGTCTCCAGTCTCCATGGAGCATGGTTTTCGGGGGATTAGATCCGCCGTCGCCCACTGGTTGAGAGACGAGGTTTCGGGGACGATTAGGAGCGCCAGCAGCCTCAGGGGGTTATTTGCGAAATCACCAGTGAAAAAGCAGGCGGTTTTGTGAAAAAAATTTCCCCATTGGTTCTAAACCTTCCGATTAAGATCCTAGGGTGGGTGCACAGTCACTGAGTGCATGAGTGCCTTAAGATGTACCAGAGAGCTTAACCATTCAAAAGCAAAGCAAAGCAAACATAAAGCACTTCAAAACAGCACTTCAAAACAGAGTGCAACTAGTCTCTTCTTAGGCCAGAGGTTCTCATAATATATGATGACTAGGTTATCATAATACATGATGACTAAACAGATTCTGATACCACTACTTACTGGTAGCTGAGAGAACATCTTTAAACAGATTGTTACCAATACTTACTGGTCGCTGAGAGAACATCTTTAAACAAATTCTGTTACCACTACTTACTGGCAGCTGAGAACATCTTGGCACTACGGTATCATATTCCTACTCAAAATATCTTCCCATCCGGACTCAAAAGATTTTCCACACTACTTCTGGATATTCACACTACTAATCTTTTCAGGCAGTCTTAATCACTTGATTCGTACCCCTCATGATGTGGCACATAGTCATCATCACTTTCATCTGGAACAAAATCATCATCCGAAGAATGAGACTCCTCTTCATCTGGAACATAGTCATCATCTTCGGTAGACCGATACTCATCATCATCGACAAATCCATAAAGGGCTGGAAGAACCACCTCGTCCCCTACCTCCACAGCCACCTCAAGAACCTCCTCCCCTACCTCTACAGCAGCTTCACCGTCCAACTGCCCCTCCCCTCCTACAGCAGCTTCACCATCCAAGTGCCCCTCCCCTCCATCTGCTGGCTCAGGCAAGAGAAGAGCAGCCCACTGTTCAGGGTCTAGATCATGTCCTTCAGGACCGGCAATGGCTGCAAAGTGTTGGGCCCGAGCATCTATGGCTAGTTCTTCGAGAGCTTCACCATGAGCAAGGCCTGACAGAATGCTAGCCCTAACGGTGGCTCTAACGTTTGGTAGGAATTTGTACTGCAGGAAATGATATATTACCCCATCTTCTTCCATAAGCACCGGCGGCAAGACGACACGGCGTCTGAATCGAATCCCACCATTGATCTCGAAAGTAGGCAATGCAATGCCATTAGGCAAGACAAGCGATTGCACATTGTTCTCTGGTGTCCTGGTCAAATCGTCATCAGTATAGAAACGCCAACCAGTTGCATCAGCTCCATTGTTGATCATCATCACATTTAGCACCTAGGAAGATAAAAAAGCAAAATTTAAAAGGAATCCTAGGCATCTGCCATGTGATATTTTGATAAAAAAAATCATCCAACAGGCTGAAAAAAAATACCGAACAGACAGCAAAAAGAAATTAAATTCATCATGCACAACATCAAAAATCAGGTCAAGTATGATTACCGCATCATCATGCACAACATCAAAAATCAGGTCAAGTATGATTACCGCATCAGAGACTACGATATTTTCAAACTCTTTGTGGTCCTCGGAGTCCAATGGGGGATCAGCAACTGCATATCTTGCTCCGTTCATTAGTTTGGCACATACTTCAGTAGCAAAAGAGAACCTAGAACCCGCATTTGCCATAGAATATTCCAAAGCGCCAGCAGAATCAAAGCAATGAAATAATACTCCACGCCACTGCATAAAAAATGAAAAAAGGAAAGATGAGCCGGATACACGTTATATCACCCAGATACAAGCACAACTAAGTACTATTCACAGATTAGCTATCACTATGATGACAAGGAATTCAGACATCACAAAATAACTGTGAACAAAAAGACATTCAATCTGTACCTCATCATTGGCAGCACCAGCCATCATGAAGTCGCGTACTGGCCTTGGAAGTAAAAACCTGTTAGCAAACAACATGTGCAATTAAACCCAAGAATAAGTGGAGCAAGAACAATCTATGAACTGGATACGAAACCCTAGCAGAACAAAAAAGTATATAGGATTTTGTATTTTTGGGATCTACATAGAAAAATATATCCTAAGCTACCACAGAAGGGAGATACAGATAAAAATAAAGTGGAAAACATGAAATCAACTTCAAGAAGCAGCATGAATCATAGTGGATCCCGTGAGCTCAAGGAACAAATACAAACGAATCTAGCGGCCATAAAGCGATCAAACAATAGGCATCTGGAATTCAAATAAATTTCTATAAACTCATGCATTCGCATTCGTTGCAAGCGAATGATAACTGATATCATACAAAGCAGATATACGACAGGAATATGAACACGTTGCATATGAATAAATGAGGAGAGGAGATCAAGGGGGATCATGGCATACTAACAAATTGCATATCAGAAAACTAAGAATAGAAGATTAACAAATTGGAGACCAGAAAACTAAAAAATAGATAGGGAATCATGTCTATGAACAGATCACAATTGCACATAGGAAAACTAAGAATAGACAGGGAACCATGGCTATGAACGGAACGCAATTGTAGATCACAAAACAAGAATAGATATGAACATGTCGCAATTGCAGATCACAAAACAAGAATAGAGAATCATGGCTATGAACGGATCGCGGCACACATCGATGTTAGGGAATCATGGATATGAACAGATCGCAGCATCAGAGGAGAAAACGAGGATCACGGCACACATCGATGCTAGGGAATCATGGATATGAACAGATCGCAGCATCAGAAATCAGAAGAGAAAACGAGAAGAGAAGGGGAGGGATCGAGATGCACTTACAGTACTTGCGGCGGCGAAGTCAGGTTGAAAAAGTGGAGAAGTGGGTATTTATATAGAAAGATTGTGAGCTAGGGCATCGTGCTTATCCGTCGGATCCTCGACGGACGGACAGATTTCTCTCGTGGAGATTATGGGAAGTGGGCCACGGATCCAGCCCACTAGGAGCTCGTCGGCCGTGTGTGTGGGCCGAACGGTTCAGAAACAGAAAGTTCAGTTGAGGTCCCTCATCTTGTCACCCATAGATTTATAAAATCATCCTTAAACCAAAATACGAAATCTTATAAAACGGGATTAAATTTCCTTCGGCAGTATACATGCCCGGTTTGGCTGACGTGGATATTTGACCTGATCCACTCGTGCTGATTGGGCACTTGCATGATAAAAATAAAAAGTAGGTCCCACGTGTCATACTTAGGGCCCCTTTGAATCACAGGAATGAAAAAACGAAGGAATATTAAAACATAGGATTCTGATAGAAATACGAGTGTAAAACAGAGGATTGTAAAACATAGGAAAAATATAAAAATGACCGTTTGATTGAGCCGTAGGAAAAATACAGGAATTTGAAAAGAGAGATAAAAACTCAAAGGATTCTTACCATGAGGTAGAACCTCATGCTAAATTTCCTCCAAAACTTGCATAGAAAGAGACATTTCATAGGAATTTCATGGGATTACATAGGATTCATTCCTCTAATTCAAAGGCCGATATAGAAAAAATTTCTATAGGAATGAAATCCTTTAAAATTCCTATGAATTTTCTTTGAATCAAAAGGAAGCCTTACTCTATTCCATTCCTCTCGCTCTCTTCCGTTTCTCTTTCCATCTCTCGAGCGAGAGACGGGCGACCGCAAAGGGACAACAGGCGCGGGTGGTCTAGGCGTTTGGCAGCGAGGGCCCTCGTCGGCGGGCTTGGCGGCGCTGCGTCGTCGAGGTTGTTGGGACGTCTCCGGAGCCCGAGGTCGGTGTAGCATCGAGGGACGGAGGTCGCCACGTTTGGTCGGTCCAGCATATTCTTTGCTTGAAGAGAAGAACTGTTAATGCAAATTAGATATCCCAAAACAAACAAACCCACAATAAATAAGATACGTAATAAAAAAAATACCGATTCTATTTAGCTCTACAATACAAACACTGAATGAATCAAAATGCCAGTGAGCACATGGACACGCACACGCCAGGCATCAATGAAAACAGACATCACAGGTTTCATCTCAGTTGAGCGTAACATCCATGAATGTCTCTCTTTTTGTCTTCGAAGAAAAAAGAAAAAATAACAACAGTAATAAACTCTCTTTTTAGGCTTCATAGTTTAACTGCTTTTGCTGAATGAATATAGATTTAATTGGCAGATTTAGATCGATTTGTAGTCCCCGTGGAAGCCAGTTTGGCGGCACAACATCAAAATATTTCAGGGTGCTTTACAACTGTCGCGGCCTTCGATGGATACGAGTACATTTGATCTTTTAACAGTGACTGCCACGGCTCAACCAACAACTAACTGCTGCCGAATCTAATTCAAGTTGGCCCATTAGCTGCTTCTGCGGTGGTGAGGTCAGCTGCTTTAGATTGAACTTTGCGAGCACTGTGTACCTCTCGATCACTCCAACCATACATATAATCTGTCCAGAAATCAAACAAGTCCATCAGAATCTGAAGTGAAACCAACTTAGCAAAGCTTCAAAGCGTAACCAGATGTGCAATTCAAACAACGTAATGTACTAGAGTTCACACTTCAAATTTTGAAAAGGAAAAATGCAGGAATAAAAATTAGATGAGATAATCATATCGAATGGAGTAGCAAACTGAAAAGGAGATGCAACTAGAATGAACCAAGAGTATGCTCTTAGATTCACTGAGATTGGGAGTCATTTACTTTGCAGCTGGTACATCAATCATGAGCCATGGAATGGGTTGGCAGGCACGATATTTATGACAAACAAGTACTACCTCCGTTTCACAATGTAAGTCATTCTAGCATTTCTCACATTCATATTGATGTTAATGAATCTAGACATATATATCTATCTAGATTCATTCACATCAATATGAATGTGGGAAATACTAGAATGACTTACATTGTGAAACGAAGTAGTCATGAACTTGAATGGGATGGCAAATCATTTAGAAGAACAATACAAGAACATCAGTTTGGATCATGACATGTACATGTGTTTTCACTCACAATGTACCAATGTCATGGACTTGGCAGAGTTAAACAAAAGGTGGAAAGCAAAAGCATCATAAACAACGTTTTTATAAGTCCATTTTGTTTATCCAATGTCGGTGCCATCAGGATGCCAAAATGGAATCAAGCCGAAAAGATGATGGGCCCTAAATTATATAATCATGTTTATAACCCTAGGTGATCATATCTGTCTTATCTAATGCTCCATTATTAGAATAAATTTGCAGGTGTGCCTGGCTTCTAGTACATAGAGAGATCATGGAGCAGTATATGTTCCTTCACTCCTGAACTATATAATGCCAACTAATCATTATGGCATAATTTGCAGGCATGGCTGCTGCCTAGATAGAGATCATGGAGAAGTTACTTCTCTCCTGAACAATAAAATGCCAACTAATCATTATGGCACATTTCCCAGACTAGTTAAAAACTGCTCCAGTAACTGCATGATCCTTTTCAGCCGGTTTCAGTATTGGTTAACTTAACCACAGAGCAGTACGCAAAAGAACATGTCATCATATTTTATTAAATTGAGCAGTCAACAAGAACTTCTGAGTTGCAAAGTAGAGCGTCTTCAGCTTGTTCAAAAAGTGGTTAGGATAACAATAAAGAAAGAAAAAGGACCTCAATCAATGTAAGATGCTTCCCCTGTCTATTGGGCATTGAAAACACTACAACTACAAGAGTGTATTATTACTTATTAAATGCGATCAAGGGGGGTATTCTTCTGCAAAATCTGTGTGACTAAAAATAGCTTTCAGTACAATTACATGAAATGTGACAGCAACTAATTCAAAAGCTTCATGAAAGCGGTTCTTACAGCATTAAATTCTGAAGTTACAAAGCTTTAACCGCCCATGTGCTTGAGTCATGGATCAGGCCTTGGAGCTATATAAATTGTTTGCCAGAAATCAAACTCTAAATTCCAAACATGTTGTATTCATTTGAATAAACAACTGTTCCAATAGGTTCTGGGTGAAAATGATAGGATATATGATTAGTTTAATAACAAAACATTATGTGGATTATGGACCATTACACTAGAAATCCACAAACAATCAAAATGCATTAAAGATCAACGAAAATTTACCTTCTCAATCTGCACAATAATAATCCTGTTTGGACTGTTAAGGTCAACCTTGTGAGGTTGAGGAACAGATTTGGATACTGCATTGATAATTTTCATCCTATTGATTCTTGTATTCGACCTTGCTTCATAAAACACACCAAAACTGCAAAGATTAAAATATCCAAGTAAAGAAGCATAATTTTAGCAAAATAACATGGGGAAAACTCAATTCACATTTTCTTAGTACTACAGTCAGCTCTTGCAACTTCCTGTATTTACTTGGCAATCGTGGTGTATGTCGCATATATTTTTGTATTGGGTGGATAAGGGGCATAAAATATTGTTTGGTCACCTCTACTCCCTCTGTTCCCAAATATAAACATTTCTAGGTTTTTAGCAGAGATTAAGGTTAAGGAGAAAAGACTATGGTGCCCTCCTAACTGAGAATAGGAGGGTGGTTGGGGTAAGATTGGAAGAAATTTGACTGAGTGGTGGTTGGTGGGAATAGTACTCTAGGAATGCTTTATATTTGTATACACCAGTACCATATTCCAAGGCTCATTATGTTTGAACTTCAAATGGAGAACAATGTAATGAAATTAGGAAACCAAACTTATAGGGAAATTAAATTGAAGCATATGAGCCCACAGACAAATCAATGTACCATACTCAAAAAGGAAAATAGATCGAATGTACATACCAGTCAACCTACACAGCAATAGAAAAGGACGTTGACCCATTTGGCACAAACACCATTGTCTGAGATTTTCATTAGTAGCCCAATTCCTATCAATATGCCAAATCAAGGCCAAAAGCATGAATGCATCAAGAGTTTAGTGGTAGAAAAAACTATATGTAGTTCTTTCCACCACACTTTATAATTTAGGTGTGAGCTGAGCTAAGATAATTAAAATAATACAGGCAAGTGGTGCTATTTGTAGTATTATCAAAAGTCAGTAAAGCAAAGTGTCAACAGGCGAGAAATATTCACCCAGGGAGAAGAAAACCATATGTTGAATAACCAGGCCTTTGCAGTGGTGTTCTACCAAGGTAGCAATGGTACATTAGCAACGAAGTTATCGGTATAGCTAGCCCAATAAGGCAGTCATAGAAATATTTTCCCATTTAAATCAGCTATTGCAATATAGAAAACTTGCATTAGCTTTTTTTTTCTCCCTAACCAGGATTATTGGCAATTGCTCTGGCATCCCAACTAATAAATCATGCTATAATTCTACCACTAAACTATATGTAATTACATCTACCATATGATTTGCAAGAAAACAGGGCGATGGATTTTGCCTGGTGTTGCCAATGCTGAAGCTTGTCAGTGTGGGTATCCTGGTCAAATGTCAGCTGCTGATTTTGCTCCCCATTGCCACCGATTTTGGTCCCCATTGTCGCTAATTCAAAATCCTTGACACCAGTGCAGCCCAAAACAGAGCAAGTTCTGTGGGAGTGAACACACATTAGTTTTGGTTCCTGGAGGTTTAAGTTCCCTTAAAAGACAGTACATGTTCTGGATTTTTTATTCAGTAATATGTGTTTCAGCATTAACACCTTAATCTATTCTCCCCCCATACATGCTACTAAAAAGTGCAATTATTAGTGGTGACATATCCTGTAAAGATGTAGAAGTATATGCGATCACAATACCCAAGTCACCAGGCAATAATGCCTCAGAGCTAGGGAGACCAACCTGCATGCACTGCTTTGAATTGTGTCCAAACAACCCACAAACAAAGCAAGGCTTCTTCCGCCTTTTCATTGGATAGCTCACAACTACATGATCCTCCCTCCTCAGCAAGGTATCTCCCAGGATCAAAATATCTTGGTATGCCCTGATCATGAGCAGAAGCAACTAACTATTATCTTGTGCAGCTTGTACATATATACAAGGAAATTCACTTTGAACTTACAGTACTGTCAAATAAAGGGGCATCAGGCCCATCTTCAGTGAGCACTGACTCTACGGTGCTGGTTTTTGCCTCCTGAATAATCCATTCCCAACAAAGAAACATCTGACGTCAATTCCAACTCACAAACATAAATCAGTTCCCTATATGTAAGGTTTCCATACCATAATAAATTCACAATTAGTTCAATACGCATATTTTCTAAGAGATAACAACATAAGACATTATTTTTAACTTGGATTCTACAGAACTGAAAGAGCCTTTCCATTAAAAAAAACATTGCATTGTCTTTCAGCCATTTTCAAAGACAGATATTACTCAGTATAGCTCACAATCCAAGTCGATTCTGGCTGCGTTTGTTTAAATAAGGCCTCCGATTTTCTTAGTCATCCATGAATCACAGATTTGCTTGCTGAACTAAATGCATAAATAGTACATGAACAAGATCAAGGGAAAAGACCTACTCGTACCTACTCCTCGATGGCGGCCGGTTCAGCCTCGGGTGCCTCCTTCCGCGCTGCTTCTGCTCCTCCTCCTCCTTGCGCCCGGCCTCCACGGGCACGGCGCAACCGGGCCCGCCGGAATCGCGCGGTAGGCGGCGGCCTAGCGGTGGTCTAGTCACGGCCATGGAAAAGAGAGGAGTGACGGACGACGGACTGCCGTGCGAGGTCGGGGAGAAGGGCGGTCGGATCTTGGAGTGTTCTGCGACGAGGGCGAGTCCTGCGATCGGCTGCAGCGGCTGAACGGAGCGGCGACGACGACGGAGGTGATCGGGATCGGCGACGAGCCGCGGCGCTAGGGTTAGAGCGGGGGAGGGGCGGAGCAGTGTCAGCGCGTCCTCTCGATGATGGTGAGGAGTTCAGTGTTTTGTGTACATTTTCTTTGTGCATTTAAGAAAGAAATGAACGGCTTCGTTTTATATTAAAAAAATAGAAACATTATATTAGCATAGATAAACAAAGAACAATAGCAGTTAGTATACCCACGTTACTACATTCGTCCCAAAATATAACAATCGAATATAGGATGTGACATAAACAAATAATTATAGTGACAAAATAGGTAGAAAAATTCAACTCAACTGTGCGGTCAAATTTATCAGTTGGTTTTATAACTCTTAATCACTATCTGACACTTGATGTGTATGGAGTGCTTGGGCGAGCCGGCCAAGCCCGATGAACACAGCGGCGCTGCCCGGGTACAGCGTGATGGCCTGGTCGTACTGTCGCAGCGCACTCGCCGTAATTGTCCTTGTACCGCTCGTTCCCAGCCCCGGGTCACCTCCTCCTGAAGACTCACTCCCTTTGCTGCATTGATGGGGCAGGTCAACTCGCCGGAGACCTTGAGTAGCTGCCGTGGTACGGACTAGCTCCCACCACAAAAAAGAAGCAGCTCTTCCACGACTCTGTCACCATTGACTCTATTTATTATTATGGTAAATCATTGTATCAAGATGTCAATCTTAGATCTTATTCCAGTTCGATACATCCACCTACGATTGGTAAGGGGGTCGACGATTCCATAGCTTCTCGAATAGTGAGATTCAGTTTTAAGGGAGGAAGGAAATTAAAAGGAAGGAGAGTTGGGAACCAATGGCAAAAAAAGTAGAGAGAATTCTTTATATGCCACTGAAAATTGGTCTGATCCCTTATATGCCATTGAAAATTGGCTCTTCCTTTATATGCCATTGATCCAAATTTGCACACCCTCTCATGCCACTCCCGTCGGTTGACCGTGTGTTGACCGTTAATTCTCAAGGAAAAAAGACGTATTTACCCTTCTGAGTATAGGGCATGCCCAACAACTCAGAGAGGGCAAATATGTCTTTTTTACTTGAGAGTTAACGGTCAACACACGGTCAACTAACTAACGGTAGTGGCATGAGAGGGTGCGCAAATTTGGATCAATGGCATATAAGGGAAGAGCCAATTTTCAGTGGCATATAAGGGATCAGACCAATTTTCAGTAGCATATAAGGGATTATCTCAAAAAAGTATCATGTTGCTCCTCGGAAAACGCGTATAGTAGTCTCATTGGCCTTCGTCGATGGGATGTGTATTTTCATATTAAGAGTTCTTAAAAGTTATCAACTCAAAGCCCAAACGCTACAATGTTCGAAATTCTCAACTTAACACTAGCGTCAATGCTGCTTCTTGTGCACGGAGTTCCTAACGTAAAGTCAGAGAGATGTGGGAGCCACTTCCCTTCTTGGGAGCCACACTGTCCCTCACTAGACCATTCACAATGCTTTCATGTGACATTCAGCAGAAGCAGAGGGAAACAAATATTCGCTGCCACCTCCTCCACCAGCGGAGCTTTGCCAAGACTATGTAGCTCAAGTTTGCCACCGGTTCCTCGTCAGTTTTTGCAGGAGTGGCCTACGCTAGCACTCCGTGCTACCGAAGGAGAAAGAGAGAAGAGGAGAGAGATGTGTCGTCGTCCCCATGCTCCACGTCGCTGAGCTCGTCGCGAAGGGGAGGAGGGTGACCGGGCACCGTCCTCGCCGGAGAAGTTCGCCGGCTCGATGGGGAAAGCGACGGCCGCGGTGAAGGTCGATTTGGCGCCGGTGAACTCAAGAAAGAGGGGAGATCCGGCGAGTCGTCGCCATCGCCGCCCGAGGCTAGATCCGGCAAGCACAAGCCGAATATGCCTGCCCCGCCGCCACTCCGCCTGGCGCCATCGCTGCTCTACTCAGCTCCGCGAGGACCACCACGCCGCTACTCCACTCGGCTCCGCGAAACGTTGCTGCCGCTGTCGTCGTTGGGGAAGGACGAGAGTCCATCGGTAGTGAGGAAAAGAGGGGGGGGTGGGGAGAGAGAGGAAGAGGAGCTCGAGACTGAGACGACGAGGTGGAGCCCCATTCCATGCTGCTCGTCGCCACCACTCTGCTTGCCGCCACTCGGGCCGCTCGAGGAAGGGGAGATGAGGCAGCCGGAGGAGGGGAGGCGTGCGATTAGTGGGGGAGGAGTGGCGCTGAGAGGATAAGGAGAGAGAAAATTACATTTTTTATTTGTGTGGACCTCACTTAAAGTTACAAAGCACTGTTAAACTTGTGGCAAACATTATTCTTAGGTGTTATTGAACCTACGTGTCACATGAGGTTCGGCAAAACATGAAGCCGCACTGCTAATACCCTTATGCTAACATGGTCATAGTCCCCCTCGCCGGATCCAAGGCTGGCGCGTCGCTATGAAACAAAAGGAAAGCATTCTAGGTGCGATATGACATGGCTGGAATGCTACGAAACTCTGCTATCCTTTTGTTGCATGCATTGCAAGTTGTGCAATATGCTTGCAATGGGAAATCTGAGCTTAATTTTATATGAGTTTGCATTTTCATATGTTCATTGTTGTGTTTGCTGGTTAAATTGCGTTGAATATGTCGCTATATTTTTTTATGAACTTATAATGTGACTTGTGGTTTTTCTTAGAAATTTGACTTAACATAAATCCAAACTGACTTGTAATGTGAATAATGTGCAACAAAAGAAGTAGCAAACACTAAGTCCGTCCTAAAATATAAGAAATTTTGTATGGATATAACGCATAAGAGATTTTAGATGGATATAACACTTCCCTTGTCCAGGTTTATTGTATATCTTGGGGCGGAGGGAATATACATACATACATTCGATGCTATATAACCAATTTTATCCATATATAAAATCTTGCATAGCCAACAATGGTTGAATTTGATAACTTAAAGTAGTAATCCATATGTCAACAAGATACACCACTTTACACAAACACTTATGTTGCTGGTGAGAATTCAACCCCCAAAAAAAAAACACTAACTGGACCGCATGTTTTTCTTATCACGCTACATCATCATCAATCAATAACTCCCCTAACCCCACCGTTTTTCTTATTTTTTTGAATTTTTTTAGGCTTTCTCGTTGTTTTACACGTAGCTGCTAACCCCTCCTGCTCCTCGCGCGCGTGGGGGCAACCGCCCATAAGAGGTGCGCCGGTTAATCAAAATTTGGTCGCTGTGGTGGTGTGCATACGTCGTTGAGAAAATGGGGATTATACCATCCTCAAAACAGGGCTTCGCTGAAATGCCATCCTATAATTGGGATTCGCCCAAATACCACTTTCAACTGAGCCCAACCCGCTGAAATGCCATCCCAAATCATTTTCATCAAAAATAAAAGATTTTACTCTACTTTTCACATGAGTTGATGAAATTACCCCTCAGTCAATTTCATCCTTAGAAATCAATCGGCTGGGAGAGCGAGACGCATAGGGTTAGGGTTTCGTCCGCGGCGCCGATCTGGGTGCCGCCGCGCAACCTCCCTAGCGCCGCCGCGCCGCCCTGCCCTTCCCTCCAGCCACCGCTCCGTCGTGCCCTCCCCTCGCACCGACGCCTCCCCTCGCGACGACGCGGCGCGCCTCCCCTCGCGCCGCCGCTCCGTGTCGTCGTCCTTCACCAGCGCCACCGCGCCGCGTTGCGGCCGTCCCGTGGCGCCGACGAGGTCGCCGCCCTCCCCTCACGCCGCGGCTCTCCCCTGGCGCCGACGAGGTCTCCCCTCACGCCGCGGCTCTCCCCTGGCGCCGACGAGGTCTCCCCTCACGCCGCGGCTCGGCCGGCGCCCTCCCCTCGCGCCGACGCTTGGCCGGCGCGCCCTCCCCTCGCACCACGGCTCGGCTGGCGCCCTCCCCTAGCGTCGCGGCTCGGCCGGCGGCCTCCCCTCACGCCGTCCTACGCTCGGCTGTACTGCGGCCCCTCTCCACGCCGGTCTGTCGCCGTCCCGGATCTACTTGCAGGAGTGATGCAGATGGATTCCAATGTTTATGATATATGAACTCAGTTTGAGTGATTATGCATTTTGTGGTTGGGAGTGATTTGCGAATAATCTGGGAAGCATGCTCTTAATGATGCTTAACTGGTGTTGTTTGAATGCTGTTAATGATGCTTAATGAGTGATGCTTACGTGGTGTTGTTTGAGGCACGCTCGGTGTGGTAGTTCCTAGGATGTAAAGGTCCTTTTTTCATATGTTCATCACATCCTGTGTATATGGTACTCTATATCCTCTAAATCGAATGAACCAGGGGTATTTTGGTCATCAAAGTTGTGAGAAAAGAGAGAAAATGATTTTGATTTACTACAAAGGAAGAGAATGACATTTCAGCGGGTTGGGCTCAGTTGAAAGTGGTATTTGGACGAATCCCAATTGTAGGATGACATTTCCGCGAAGCCCTGTTTTGAGGATGGTATAATCCCCATTTTCTCTACGTCGTTGGGTGGAGGGGCTGCTCCCGGTGGGAGCCTGGGAGGACCGGGTATTTTTGTAAAAAAATCCTCGTGTTTGCACGGAATATCACATACGTCCTCGGACAGCCTGACATCCCGTTTTATTTCTTGCATATAACCCCTCGTCTTCCAAGAAAATACAATGTGAAGAAGAGAAAATTCCGTTTCTAGGGATAACGCTGTAAACATAAAAACCATAGGGGGTTTTCTGAAAAACGTCCTACACTAACCCCCAATCCCGAAACCCTCCGCCGTTCTCTCCCTCCCCTCCCCTCCCCTCTCACCTCTCCTCTCTCGGCGCGGGTTCCGGCCGGAGCTGCCGCCGGAGGGCGGTGGCGGCAGCGGCCCTCCCCTCCGGATCTGGCGAGACGGCTACGTCCGCGGCTAGATCCGGCACCGCCGCCGTCGGATCTGGCGACCTGAGAAGGCGGCACGGAGGGTGGAGGCGGCGGCGGCCCTCTCCTCCGTCGTCGTCGCCGTGGTGCGACTTCCCACTGTTCCCGACCCCCTAGATTGGATAAGGAGGGGAGGAGGGCGGAGGGGAGGGTGAAGGAAGTTTTGGAGGGTGGCTACGCCGGGAGGGGGATGGCGGTGGCCACCGCGGCCCCTACCCCAGCCGCGGCCTCCCATCCACCTGCGCCCGCGCCGTACGGAAGCGACGGCAACGGCGTGCTCCGGCGCTCGCCCTCCCCCTCTTCCCACCACCCTCTCCTCCTCGGCCGCGCCTCCTGCCAACGTCCCCACCTCGCGCAGATTGGGGGAAGTGGATTCGGCAGGGAGGCATGCCCACATGGAGGTCGTCGACGCGGAGGAGCTCGCGGCCCTCGACGGCAACGCCTACAGTGCGGAGTTTGCCGGCGCGGGGAGCAGCAGGGCGGCGACTGCCGTCCTCCCCGCCTCGCACAGCCCTCCGCCTGCTCCGCTCTTCCCTCCTCGCCGAACCGATGGCGCCGGCTGTCGTCCCCTACCTCACGGACGGCAGGGCACCGGGAAGGACTGATCGTGCCGATCCGACCTCTCCGACGGGAAGGGAGGGGCCATATGGCTGGGCTGCAGTCGATTCGTGGGAACGACGGCGAGGCCGGAGGTAGTGCTATCGAGCGGGTGGACGGTCGCCGCGGCTACCGCAGCTCGCGTCATCGGCGGATCCGGTGCCGTTGACCACCCTCCCCCCAGCCTCGCTCCACCTGTCGGCGTCGTTACTCCCGGCGCTCTTCCTCCGTCCGCGCCCTCCTCCTCCACTGTCGAGTTTGGTTGTTGGTGCCGGCCTCGCCGTCCTTCTGAGCCGGCCGGCGCGTTGGTTGGGCGTTGCGGGCGAGACGATGCGTTCGTCTGACATGCTGCGCACTGCCTCGCTGTCCACACCATCGGCCCCGGTCTCACGTTGCTCAATCCTCGTCCTGGATGGACGCTCTCGGGGTCACTGCCCCCGTTGTTTGGGTCTGCGCGGTGGTCGTCACCATTTTTTTTCGGGCTGCGCGTGGTCCTCACCGAAGCTCCTGGAACACGTCGTCGACTCAAGTGCCTTGCCTTCACCCACCACCAATGCAGTTTGGTTTCAGCCTGAGCCTTCTCTTCTTTTTCTTTCGTTTTTTCTATGTTTCTATATCATTCACTCTTTGAGCTGTCACTGGACAGTAATGGTTTGTGTATTCTTCTCGCTGCCAAAAAGTCACTGACGATTTGCATTCTGCATTGAAGAACCAAAGCAGGAAAGTGTGTGCATCATTTCTACATTACTGCTACTGAAGATTTAGATAACCATTACAGTATGTTACTGCACTGCTGCTTTTAAGTGAATTCATTCCGGTGAAAGAAGATGTGGATTCCTTTTAGTTGTTACAGGATTCTGCTTTTAAAGAACTGCTTGCTGCTACAGGATTACCGTTTCAGTGCTGTGTATATTTATCTGGTTTTACTTGCTGCAGATCTTGAGGTTGAAGATGATAGTTGAGGAATACTGGTTGCCAATCCTGTCACTGCTGTATGGCTCTTCCTCAACCTGCGTTGGTGGAAGAATGCAGTTTTGGATGCATGAAGTAACCAATTGTTACCTTAATAAGTATTGTGGTTTGATGAAGAAAATTTACTCACAGCTCACCCCCTTTTTTTTTTCTCTTGGCTTTTATTCTTGTGGTGATGTTTTTACTGGATGCTCGTCAGTGAGGCATGTGGTTTCCGAATTTGTTGGCAGAAATATAGTTTTGCTCCTTGATGTTCAACTTTTAATCATCTATTAATATTGTCAAAATGAATCTGTCTATCTTATTAGGCAAAAGGATAAGGTAATGACACATTTTTTGTTTCAATTTTCCAAATAAGTATCAAGTTGTTGATGTTTAAAGAACTCTTGTTCGGTATTTTGACAAATCATGAATAATTCCAGTCCTTGCATTAGTGAACGATTCTGAAGCTACGCCAAAAGGATCTCTAATTGGCGAGAAGATCCCAACCAACTTTCCTATTGACCTTCTTGAGTGTATTGTTCCATTGCATTTGTATGTAATACTGCAGAATTTTGGACAGAAAATCATGTAGCATGTTGGCACCTTGGAATACACGACAAATGAGCAGGAGCAGTCAGCAGACATTTTGTTATTGCTTTCATTTGTGACCTCTTTCTTTATCAAGAAGAAGACAAATCAGTTACTCTGTCCAGTCGTATTTGGAGTCTGAAAATATGGACACCGATCCTTGAATGCCGTTGCTGTAGATGACCATACAACATAATGTAACTCACTGTTTTTTTTTCAAGTTGTGTAATGCAATTCACTGTATGGTAGTATATTACAAGTTGTGTACATGACATAATTACACGTCTACTTGTGCAATTAAGAGTAATTAAAGAGAAACTCTCTTAACAAGATTCCGATTATTTATATAATGTTTGTGATCATGGTATTAACCTTTTTAGGTCCACATAGAATGCTTTTGCTGTTAACCAGCCCAATAATGTTTACAAGTTTTTTCACTTGAAGTTCATCGCTACTTGAATAATAAGTTATGTATATAATATGTTGTGAGATTACCTGTTTAGGTTAAATGAAATGAAGGAAAACTTCTAATCAGTAGCAACTAATTTGTGTTTGATAGAATCTCTGGCAGCTTAAACCACCTTTGTTTTGGGGTCTGGCTAAACCGTATGGTCAAACTGACCTTAATTACGTATACTTTTACCTATGTAAGTGTTAGGGTGCGCGGCGTGGCGCCGCGCTCACATTTCTAGTCCATCAATAACACCCCTACCCGTACCAATTTTCTCCGTGTTTTGGAATTTTTTTCGGCTCCTCGGGAAGGGTTAAGCGTGATTTGCAATTTTGTAAAAGGCTCCTTGTGTTTGCACAGAATATCGCATATGTCCTCTGACCGCCTGACATTCCATTGTGTTTCTTACGTATAACCCCTCGTATTCTAGAAAAATATAACGCGAAGAAGAGAAAATTCCATTTCTAAGGCTAGCGCTGTAAACACGAAAACCATAGGGGGTTTTCTACAAAACATACCCTCCCCATTTCCCTCACCTCAGTGCCGCCGCCACACTCGCCCAGCGGCGGATCCGGCCGCGCACGGACGCCGCGCCATCGCCGCCCGTCAGAGCCAGCGGGGAGAGGCTGGCCGTGCGAAGGAAGGAAGGATGGGGAGGGAAGGCAGGGGGTGGGGCAGTGGTGGTGATGCCGCCGCCGCCACACCCGCCATGACCTCCCCATCTACTCCGTCCGTGCTCTTCCCAGCGCCGCCGTCCGCCTCCCCCCTCCACGGCTGTGTGCCATCTCCTGCCGCCGCCGTGCGCCATCCTCCCGCCGTTGCCGCCTCCCCCTATCGTCACATCGCCGGGCGCCGCCCTCCTCGCCGGCGGATCCGTCCTCCGCTGGCGGCCGCGTGCACCGGCCGTCGTCCACCGTGCGGATGGCGCTGCGGGAGGACGGGCCATCCGTGGCCATCGTGGGCGCAACGAGCGTTGTCGGCCAGGACTTCCTCCGCGTGCCGTCCGCCCGCCCCCAGTCGCTGCCGTCGTCGTCCACCCTCCATCCGCCGCCGCCTACCTCGTCCGCCCTCCCCCCGCTCTCCTCTACGGCGAGACGTCCGCGCTGCTCGACGCGTGGCGCCTCCTCCGCACCGCAGACTGGCGCGCCTGCGCGGCCGCCGTCACCGTCCGCCGCGCCGCCGCTGGGCGCGCGCCGCGCACCGTCGACCAGTGCAAGAATCGCTTGGATTACCTCAAGAAGCGCCTCAAGGCCGAGCGCTCCAGGTCCAAGGGGACCCCGGCCCCGCCGCCACCGCCTCCCTCGGTCGACCGCCTCCGTGCGCTCCTCCGCCTCGCCCCCTCCATTCTCCCTGGATTCACTCCCCGGGGCGGCGCCATACCAAAGGTGGGAGAGGATGCCCCGTTCCTGGCCGTCGGTGCTGAAGCGGCCGAGGACGGCGGTGGCGTTGCTACCGTTGAGCTCCTCCACGGGGCATCAGCACGGAGACGGAAGGACATCGTGCACGGAGGTGGCGGCGGCGCTGGATAGGCTCGCCGGAACATACGAGCGGGTGGAGGTGGCGAAGCAGGAGGTGACGCGGCTGGAGGAGCGACGCCTGGAGGCCATGCCCGACCTCGAGATCGAGCGCATGCGGATTCTCGTCCGCGTCGCCATCTCCGCCTCCGCCGTGGCCGACGCCGCCACTGCCACGGCGGCGTCCTCTAATTGGTATATGCCGTGAGTCATTTCATTCCGTATTTTTCGTGTGTGTGCATCTGTACATTGTGCAGCAGCTCGTTGGGTGGTCATAACAAGCAACCATGTTTGAAGATTCGTGATTCTGGTTGGAATTTAAGCACAACATGGCTGGAAAATTTGCACTTCGCTGATACCAAAAGCTTATCATGATAATGTAATAATCAAATTTGGTCAGACAATAATCCATCATATTAACAGGCAATGCTGATATTTCTGAAACTACTCACGTGCAAAAACTGCTTTCTTGTGATGCTCTGCTCAATCTGATTTTAGTAGAATCCCAATTGCAATGTTCATGTCCAATGAGCATGAAGTGTACTGTCAATCAATGATCTTTTGATCACCTTGATGGACTTGTCATTTGTTATTCACGATGCCATTGCTGCTTTGTACTCCTACAATCTGTGGAGGACACAATCCCCTGATACTTTTGTTTGTCATCTGTTTCTTGCCAGAGGAACTAGGACAGTAGACTGGCCATGGTAGCCATCCAGATTCCAGTCTACTTTTTTCAAGAGACAATTGTAGTGTGGAGAAGGCAATTGACGTGATGCCCCGGCCAAAATTTACATCGGTTTAGATTACAGGGAAAGGTTAGCCAGATATAAGACAATACATGGTGAGATTTTTTTTTTCTTTTTAGTTCACTGATAGCAGGTTAGCAGCAATGCAAGATGAGAGACTTGATTTCCTGAACTGAACATATCATCTGATTTAGAGTCAGTTAATGGTTAGCTATTGCTGTAATCCCCTCTTGTATTGAATACAACAGCATGCCCCAAAGCATAAGCAAGCCGCTCTGAAAAGGGCAAACTGCAAGCGTTCTGCAATGCCTCCAAAACCAGAATCTGCATATCCAAATGGTGCCCAGACCAAGCCACCAGTTAGGTTGACAACTGGTGCACTCCTCTGACCATAACTGAACTCGAGTAGATGATATCATGATATTGCTGATTAAAAACAGTGGCACTCTCAATTGTGGCTAGGAACAATAAAGGTACTTATACTAGCATAGAAACTTATGTAAATATATTGATTTTTGAGTAAATCATCAATAAAAAAAACTCCTACTGATACCATTTTTGTTGGCGGCAACGATGAGCAAGGTTGGCGGATGGGAGCAGGACCACTGGATGTGTTTCGTGTGGACTCCGGCCCCACGCTCGCCCTCCCTCCTGCACTTTCCTCTCCTCCTCTCCTCTCTGGCGGCAGAAACAGCTCAGGATGGCGCGGCTCGAGGCGACGACAGTAGAGCGGTGGGGCTGCACGCGTCTACAAGTTATGAAATGGCCGTATCTTTTTTTAAGGAAAGCAAGAAAGGTCCATTCAAAGAAACAAAATATCATTTTCATGCTAATTAGAGTTTATGTTTTTGGGGAGTTTAATTATTTATTTTCAATAGCAATGTTAAATCATAGTTGGATGTGCAACATGTAGGCGAGGTATCGTGAGTCTTGTGGTAGATACATATATATTTAAGGGTTAATTTAATACATGCCATTAAAAATTTGCCGGTTTCAAAATATACCACTAACATTCATATATTTGGAAATATACCATTATAATTTTACACATTCAAAAGATACCACAACTTACTCCTTGGATACATTTCCAAAAAAAAAAAAAAGAACCAAACTACCCCTTTTCCCCTCTTCTTCCTTCTTCCCCTTTCTCCTTCCTCCTATCTTCCTTCTCAGCGGCGGTGAGTGGCGGAGCGAGTGGTGCGTCGGTGGAGCAAGTGGCATGGCGGCAGAGCAAGAAGCAACGGGAAGAGAGAGGTAGAAGATAAGGGTATTCTCGTCCAATACATGCGAAATACATATCTTAGTGACACCATTGAGATTACAAACAAGTAGCAGTGGCATCGTTACAAATACGCAAATAGTAATGGTATATTTTTAAACCAACAAAATCTTAATGGCATAGATCTAATTAACCCTATATTTAACCGTAATGCTTTGCTTATAAAGCTATTATAAAACCATATTTATTGATTTGTAATCTGAGTTAGTAATTGGTTTCCATGCCAATTCATCCCCTCACAAACAATAAGTTGGGTTTGATACTCTTGGTTCAGGCTTACAATGGTTGTGGCTGCGCGTGTCGTGTCACGGCGCATTGACATTACTGAGAGATCAATGAGTAAATGATAGTTGTTGCCGTTCCACATTGAGCAAGGTGGTGTTTTTTTTTTCCAGTTAAGAATTGGAAAGAATGCTCCATTTAAGCAAGATTATGCTCTTTTAGTTTGAGAATTGGAAAGAATGTGATCTTTGGTTCACATTTAATTATGCTACGTAGCCTTCACTAAGCTCATGCAAAACATTGTCGTGCGCGGCGTGGCGCCGCGCATATCCTTCTAGTATCTATAATAGATGTGTAGCATACTGTTAAAGATGGGGCAACAAAGGTCCGTCAAACAGCCAAGAAGAAGGCATCAAAGGTCCATGCACTAATTGGACGATTAATCCAGGGAAGAAGGCATCAAAGGTCCATACACTAATTGGACGATTGATCCAGGGACTTTCAATAGAGAACACATCGACTCTGTTCGGCGGCATCGCTGCCGCAGCAGTTTTGAACTGCTGCAGCCGCAGCCGCTGCTGTAAAATGCCCCCTCCGAACACACCCATAGTTTATTTGCTCCTCTAGATATTCTGGAGGAAAAGACCTCAGCGGAAACAAGAGCCCATCAAGCCTACAAAAAGGGTACAAAATGAATTGCAACAGCCAATATACAAACAAAACCAATATGTTCAGAACTAAAAGAAAAGGATGTGTATGCTAACACAAAATAAATGTATCACATTGAACAGTTAAACATATTCAAAACCTTCCCACAGCTGTCATTTTTATCATAAGTAAAAATTCTATTGCATGACCAGGTCATCACATGAACACAGCACCCTGAGGAAGATGTGTCAACAATTAACCTACAACTGCCTTTTATCATAAGTAAAAATTAGCCAGGTGAACACAGCACCCTGAGAAAGATGTGTCAACAATTAACCTACAACTGCCTTTTATCATAAGTAAAAATTAACCAGGTGAACACAGCACCCTGAGAAATATGTGTCAACAATTAACCTACAACTTCCGAACAAAAGGTGGACACCACAAGAGATCTTACTGAAATTGAATACCTGACTTTACGCTCTATATCTTTTTACCCAATATACATACAAAAGATATAAATTTTATATCATCTTTATTAGTGACTCTTGTTGGGTTTCATCTCTAGCCTACCAAAACTTGTTTGGGACATATAGGCTTTTATTTTCATCATGGTTGTAATTATGCGCTTTTGCACCACAAAAGAGTGGACGACATGATTTTTGTGATTAACACAACCATGCGATTGTTAATTTTAAACTATTAGTAATTGTGATGCACAAAGCTATAAAGTGCACAATAATCATACATCTAGCAAATAACAAAGCTAAATGCAGAAGGATATTTCTAAATTTCTCAAGACAATAAACTATATACATAATGCTAGGTTGTAATTGCATAGGAAATACCAGCATAAACCCATCTTGATGCTGAAAAATTTGACATCTTAAGCCAATATTGTTGCTATAGCATCAGTACATCACAGTTACAGTTCATCCAAACCAAACACCGTCTAACAGCACTAGTTACTAATGTTAACTGAGTTTGGAACCAAACAGCACAAACTTGTATGACACCTGAATACTACTCCATCCATTTCATATTATAAGTTATTAATGTTAACTGAGTTTGGAACCAAACAGCACAAAATTGTATGATGCCTGAATACTACTCCCTCCGTTTCACATTATAAGTTACTAATGTTAACTGAGTTTGGAACCAAACAGCACAAAATTGTATGACGCCTGAATACTACTCCCTCCGTCTCAGTCAAACTTATTTATGTTTGGCCAAGTTTATAGAAAATATATTAACATTTTCAATACAAAACAAACATATTATCAAAATATATTCAATGTTAAATTTAATGAAACTAATTTGATATTGTAGATGTTGCTAATTTTTTATATAAACTTAGTCAAACCTAGAGAGTTTTGACTAAGAAAAGGTCAAAACGACTTGTAATATGAAATGGAGGGAGTACGTAACAAGCAAAAGTATGACAATTGATTATATGAGAAAAAAGAGACAGTGACACATAACTTACCCCAAACCGCAGTTCTTGCTTCACCAACCAAATAGGCTGTCTTTTACTGCAATACATGATTCCTTTATTCCTACAGGACGAGAAGGATTCATGTTCATCAACTCCTCGAAAAAATCTCTGGGAGCTAAACAAATATGCAGAGTTGAGGGCTCGACTTACCAATATCTGCGATTGCAGCAAGTAAAGATATGATGGATAAGTGTATGGGGACTCGGTGGTGGTTTATGGAAAATGTCTCCGTCACTAGCTGGAGCCCAGGTACCAGTACCTAGGTCATATTGCTCAAAACGAAATATATCTAGTGAACTAGGATCGACCTGCAAACTATGCATGCAAATGATAGAGTTAGACAAATCGGAGGGAAGGATCTTACTCCCCTCCTTGTTATTTGAGAGTGAGACACAGAGACAACGTTCATCAAGGAACAAGGCGTGGTCTCCAATGGTCGTTACTGGCTCAATCCTTCCACTGACAAGGTCAGCAAGTCTGTATACTAGCAGCTTTGAACGAGAAACACCATTATAGGCAACCAGCAAGAGCTCTGAACCACATTCAGCAAAGTTGAGCAGGTATAGAAATTTGTCCATTGGGCATTCAGCAATCTTCACTGGCAATGGCAGATGAAGCAATCCCTTGTCGTTATCTTGGCATGGTGGATTAAACTGGTAGATGTATACCTTATGTATGTCGTAAGATGAGAGCTGCAAAGCATAGAGTTTGCCTTGGAAAGATACGGGTTTGACAAAAGGTTTGAGCGTCCAGGCAGAGAGAGTCCACCGTTGGTCACCGGGAGTGGCGTAGGCTACGCGGTGCAGGATTTCAAGGGCCAGCATGACGGTGATGGTGCCAGTGGAGGTGACGGTAACAGATGCGCAAACTTTCATTAGTCTGCTGTGCTTGCTTCGCTGGCTGCGGTCGCGGCTCTCGGATTCCATCTGTGGCAGGAGGGAAGCCAGCGGCGGGAGGTCGGCGACATCGCCGGTGAAGGGGTGGAGGAGGCGGATGGCTGTGTCGTGGTCGCGGTGCAGGAGCAGGAGGCCGTCGACCGAGTCGATGATGACGTGGTCGCGTAGGAGCGGTAGATGGACACGGACCAAGGCGGCGGTGGAGAGGTTGAAGAAGCGGACGTAGCCGCGGAGGTCGGGATGGCCGGGGTAGAGGCCGTGGCCCTCCGGTAGCATCATCCACCGCCGCGGGTGGAAACGCCGGTCGGTGACGCCGCGGCCGAGTGGGCGGACGGTGCTTGCGCTCCAGTGAGAGCAGACGGCGCGGAACCGGACGTAGTCCCGCATGTCGTCGCCGGCAAGCACCCGCCCCCCGATCAGCCCCACCAGATCCTGGTCAAGCGAAGCCCAATCCGGCGACATCTTGCCGGCGTCGCTGGGGATGGGCGTCAGGCGGCGGCGCTTGCTGCTCCGAATCATAGGCGGCGGCAAAAACTGCAATCAACGATAACGGCGGATCGAACACGATTAACGAAACCCCCCTCTCTGTTGTTCTCTAGCAGATACTCCTATCCTATATAGAGAGTTTGGATCAGATCTAAACGGAAGAAATATCGGTTCGGAAAACACTTACGAGACAGACTCTCCAAATATCCGTCCGCTGTCGAATCGCATCAGAATTAGTCTCCCGGCCTGGAACTACCAGCCGCCCCAAACTCCATCGATCTACACGGAATCAATCTAAAATGGATTGCTAGGGTAAACGCAAAGGGATGAGGAGGAGAGGGGATGGATATATCAGCCGCCATCGCCCCCCGTCTTCAGAGAGGTTGGGGAAGAGGATACTTCACAGCCTGGGCCTACTTGGGCCGTGTGGCTCACCGACATGGGAAGCCCCTATCAGTTCACTTTGGGTCCCTCTATTTGTCACCCCGTCCGAATTTGAATTTTGTCCCTCCATCGCAAAATCGAGTACGACGATTTTTTTTTCCCTTCAACCTATGAAACCGTTTAAATAAGGGCCCTAGGCAGTATTGTGCTTGGTTTTGTCTAAGGTGGCGCCTACATGGCTCATGTTGACTAGGTTGTCCAACGTGTCATTGTCGTGGCGCTTACGTGGCAATTAGATCCGCAAAAAATAACAAAACCTGTGGGGCCCACAAGTCAGTTGCACACACAATTTATAAATAATATTGGGCCCATGTGGACCCACACGTCGTCCTCACTATCCTCTACTCTCTATCCCCCCCTCTCTCTCCCTCTTCTCACTCTCCAACCGGCGGAGCGGGGTGGGTAGTGGCCGAAGTGGGCGACAGCGGTGGAGCGGCAGCCGGAGTGGGTGACAGGCGGGGCAGAGCGGCGGCGGACGGAGCAAAGAGGTGGAGTGGGGCAAAGCAGAGGGGCGGAGTGGCGACGACCGGAGTAGGCCGGCGGAGCGGAGCGGACCGTCGTCTTCAACCACGTCACTCACCACGTCCAGCTCGAATGGTGAGGCCGAGGCCTCCTCGTCGGCGTCAATCGTGCTGCTGCTGACGGCGTCGTCGTCGCTCGTGGCAGACGGCTCACCACGCGGACCTCACACACCAACCGCACCGCGCACATCTATCGCACTCGCCGGTGACCGCTCGAGCAGGCCGGAGCGAGGCGAGCGGATCTATGTCGTCGCGGCCATCGACCTTGCCGGGGAGAGGAGCGACGGAGCCGGGCGGGAGAGGAGACGCGAGCGCAGGAGCAGACGATTCGATGGCGACGACAACGACATTGAAGCCAGTGTGCGCACATGAAGCACTCCAGCTACTCAACAGTGCGGCCGACTCGAGTTACTTCACTCTGGTCATCGGCCGCTCCACCCCGTTCGTAGCCCGCTTCAGTCGCCGCCCACTCCGTCGGAGAGCAAGAGGAGGGGGAAGAGAGGATAGAGAGAAGAGAGCAGTGATGATGGCACGTAGGTCCACATGGGCCCACCATTTTTTATTATTTGTGTGTGCAACTGACACGTGGGGCCCACAAGTTTTATTATTTTTTGCTGATCTAAATGCCACGCAAGCACCACGTCAATGACACGTTGGACAAAGACCTAATCAAAAAGAGCCACGTATGCGCCACTTTAGCCAAAACCGAACACAATACTGCCGAGAGACCTTACTTAAACGGTTTCGTAAGTTGGAAGACCCGTTGTACCCGGTTTTGCGACCAAGGGACGAAAATCGGACTGGGCGACAAATAGAGGGACCCAAAGTGAATTTATTCCTAGGTGGAATAAGTCCACTTGGATAGGTGAAGCATCTAAGCCCCCGGTGTTAATTTTGGTAATTAATGACAAGCGCTAATTGTGGACTAACCGTTGTCTTTGAGCTATACATTTTAAGTTAGGTCCACGTCATATGTGCGCATGGATGATTATCGATGGATTAAAATTGACGGCGCAAAGCAAAGGGAAAGAAGACGGTAAAACTAGCGCTTTAATTTAGAATTGATCGAGGTGTAGGGCGATCAAATTTGCTAGTTTATTTTTAGTTTCGCCGTACTATTAAGAGGGGTAATGACCTAGCAAAAAGATGATTATAATTGCCACATTAGGTCATTGCATTTTCATTTGTGCTCTCTTTTTTATCACACACACATTCACTTGCAAATTCACTGGGTTCGGCCTGACCAGGGGCGGTCAGACCGGCCACATAGTGGCGGTCTGACCGGCGTGCCCTGGCCGGTCTGACCGGCCGCAAGAAGGCGGTCTGACCGGAGCATAAGGCCGGTCTGACCGGCGGCACTTGCGCGGTCAGACTGGCCCCCTGGAGGCCGAGATGGTGCTGCTCGGGATGGCCGATACAGAGCCGACGAAGCCGTATTCGGTCAGACCGAGCCGATGGCGGTCTGACCGAGCCGAGGCCGGTCTGACCGGCCACCCCATGCCGGTCTGACCGGCCAGGCCGATGGGGTCCTCTGACAGGGCTACAACGACTAGTTTTCTAGCCGTTGCAGAGTAGCACGGTCTGACCGGCTACATACCTCCGGTCAGACCGGCAGAGCACAGAGTTGGGGGATTTCGCCCCCAACGGCTAGTTTTGGTGGGTGGGAGTATAAATATACTCCCCCACCAGCAGCAAGGGGGTTCTCTTGGCACCCAATTCAATTGCATATACTCCTTGCACCTCTCTCACACTCACTTGAGCTTTGTGTTCATCCATCTAGTGTGTTAGAGGGTTGTTTAGCCAAGAGTCAAGTGCATTTGCTTCCATTGTAGAGCTAGTGTGGCACTTGATCATCTCCACACCGAGTCATTGCTTGTTACTCTTGGAGGTTGCCGCCTCCTAGACGGCTTGTAGAGGAGTTGCTCGGTGACCTCTCCGTGAAGATTGTGGAGGAGGCCCGGCGCCGGTTTGTGAGTGGTTTGGAGTTCACCACCTTCGGAGTGAAGGAAGAACTACCCCGAGTGATCGAGACTTGGGTAGTCCTCTCCGTGGGCCGGCTCCCGTCTTGCCCACCCCTTGACGAAGGGGGCGTGCGGTGGCTTCGTGGTTGAGCGGTGGAGTTGGGCTCGCCTCAACGGGGAGTAGGAAACCGGCGAGTTTCCGAACCTCGGTGAAAAATCTCTTGTCTCATTGTCTCATTTGATTGTCGCATTTACATTTGTGCAATTTATATTTCTAGAGACATACTTGAGATCATATCACCCTAGGATTGCAAAACATTGACATAGGAGTGTGATTTACTTTCCTAGAGATATAATTGAGCCACTATCATCCTAGGTTTGCAAAACATAACTTAGTTGCTTAGTTAGAGTTCACCCTCACCAAGCCTAGCAACTTAGGTTAGATTTGATTAGGTGTTATTTAGTTTTTAAATCGCCTATTCAGCCCTCCCCCTCTAGTCGACATCTCGATCCTACAATAGAGAAAAAGTACACCGAAGGTCCCTCAACTTGTCATCGAGTTACAAAATCATTCCTCAACTACAAAACTAGATATATGACATCCGTTAACTTACAAAACCGTTCACTTTAGGCCCTTCAGAGGTTTTGACTCTGGTTTTATCCAACATAGTGGCTGAGTCTGCGTGAGACCCACTTGGACCCATCATTATGTCCACGTCACCACCTACTCTCTTTCCCCTCTTCTCTTTCTCTGTTTCTCTCCTTCCTTCCTTCCTCTCGCTCTCTGCTCTTGCATGGGCATAGGGATGCCGGTGCTAGGGCTGGCGCCCATGGTGGTGCGGCCGGCGATGACGGCTCCTGGGGGGTCTTAGCTTCCCCAAGGTGGTGGCGCGCGGGCTCGAGACAGCGCGAGCTCGCTGGCCTCCCCGTCCCCCTCGTGCGGGCCGGCCGGCGAGGCGAGGCAAGCACGCGGTCCTGCCCTCGCCTGCGACAATCGTCGCCGGGTGCGACGCGGGGATCACGATCACTGACTCCTCACTGACCTGCACCATCACCTTCTGGTACCTTCTCACCTTCTCGCTGTGCTCCTCCTCTTCCTGTTCATTCTCTCTGCCCCACTCATCCCTTCTCCTTCCGTGCTGGTGAGGTTGGAGAAGGACGACCTCTTGCCGGTGAGGCTGGACAGCTTGATTTCCCACTCAGAACCCGAGCCGTCGCCGCCGTGGGAGCACGACTTGCTTAGCTCCCGTGTCTGCTCCTCTAGCGCCATCGCGATCTCGTCACCCTCCCACTGCCTTTGGATCACCTTCTCCAATTCTTCCCGACGAATCTAATCCAAACAAGAAATCCAAGAACACAAATGAAATCAATCAAGAATGTTCTAGAAGAGCCATGGTGATGAGCACCGACGTACGTTGAACGCCGCCTCCTCCGCGTCGTCGTCCTCCTCCTCGCCGCTGAACATCACCGAGATGGCCGAGCTGAATAGCTGATGCGCCGGTCGCAGGAAAAGGTCTGCCTAGAGCTCGCCGACCACAACAGGGTAATCGAGGACAGCCTCCCAAACATTTGACCAACGCTTATTATAATATAAATTAAATTTTATTTGCTAAAAATATATCATTGAATTGACATTTGAATTTACTTTCATATGGTTATAATTTTTCTACCGCAGACTTATAATATATGATAAAGTATAAGACAAAGATTAGTTTTTGAGACCGTGCCAAGTTTAACCGTGCCTTATATCATGGAACTGAGAGAGTATTTACTTTGAAAACTATTGTTTTTTCTATATTTATATTTTTTTGAAAAAAAATTAACTTATCAAAGTTTAAATATAAACAGTGGTTGGTGACATGTATTTGGAAGTGGATAGAGTAATTCCTTGTTGTTAGTAAGGACTATTTTTTTTTCATACAAAGCAAATGGGATTTTCCTCTTAAAACTGTACTACCTCTAATTTTTTTTATAACGCTTGACTATTTATCTTATTTAATTTTTTTTCATAAATATGTAAACGTATAATTTAATGTTAGAGTAATGATAAAACAAGTCATAATAAAAATATATACTACCTCCGTTTCAAGTTATAAGACTTTCTAGCATTGCATATATATATATATATATATATATATATATATATATATATATATATATATACACACAAACACGTGGGCAATGCTAGAAAGTCTAATAATATGAAACGGAAGAAATAGCATTTATATAAATCTTTTTACTAAGACAAATAATCAAAACGAATGGCATAATATATTGCTTCCTCCGTTTCATATTTTAAGTCGTTTGACTTTTTTTTCTAATTAAGTTTGACTAAGTTTATAGAAAAATATATTAGTATTTCCAACACACAACAAACGTATCATCAAAATATATTCAATGTTAGATTTTATGAAACTAGTTTGGCGTTTTAAATATTGCTAAATTTTTCTATTAGATTGGCCAAACTTGAATAGGAAAAAAGTCAAACTACTTGTAACGTGAAACGGAGGAGTAAAAAAATGGAGGGAGTATAACTTTTCCATTTCTTATTGTCAATTAATTTTTTTTATCGATTTTGCTATATATTTGTCGACAAATTTTTCCCCCAAAATTTGACAGATGTAATTACAGTACAATCGTAGTGTAATTACACTGTAACTTGCATGTAGTTACACTGTAACTATAGTGTAACTTGTATGTAACTTTCAAAAATCTCTCCGTTACATGTTATTTCGGTAAAATGGAGGTCGTGGGAACAAATTCTTTCACATATGTGTGTGCTATGATTTGTTTTCTTCCTCACCAAAACAAATCTTGTAATAAATCCAACGATTCAAAATTATGTGAAACTTACATATAAGTTACACTGTAGTTACATGTAAGTTACAGTGTAATTACATATAAGTTACAGTGTAATTACACTACGATTGTACTATAATTACATCTGTCAAATTTTTGGGGAAAAATTTGTCGACAAATGTATAGGTAGTCCCTTTTTTTATTAATCCGAGAAATAAACAAGCACTTGAAATGGTTTTCGCAGATGGGCTAATTGGGCCGGTGGCCCGGCTGATTCCGACCCATCCAAGCATCTCCTCTCCTCCGAATCTCCTCCACCTCTCCCACACATCTCCTCTCCTCCCCTCGCCGCCGTCGACGCAGAGGCTTGGCTCATCGCGGCGCCAGTGACTGATCGATGGCCGCGGCCTCCATCCCCGCGAGCTCCCAGCCCTTCAAGGTTTGCTCCCGGGAGCAGCTCCGCCGATTAATCTCTTCTTGTTTGAGGAGCGACCGAGCGAGTCTAATCAATCCGTTCTTGCTACTTTTGCTGTGGCTTCGTCGCAGCTGATCCTGGGGTCATCGTCGGTGGCCAGGAAGCATATACTCGCCGAGATGGGGCTCGAATTCGAAGTCATGGTGGGTTTGCGCCGCTTTTCTCTTGCCTCTTGCCCACTCCCGTTCTGCATTTTCGCCCCCCTTTTTTGGTGGGGATTTCTTGCTTTCGGGACTGTCTCTTGGGGGATGAACTGATTCTGTGGTTTCAGACTGCAGATATCGACGAGAAGAGCATCAGGAGGGAGAACCCCGACGAGCTAGTGACGATCCTTGCGGAGGCCAAGGTGCGGCCTTTTCTCTCTTTTTCCCCCCATTTCTTTGGAAGTTTTTACAGCTTCAGCATTGGCGTCCCATTCCCATCGCTACAGTAGCAAATGCGTCGCCGAGTGCCATGTATTAATATTACTTGTGCATAATATTAGATGGTATTTATGGTGATATTTGGTCTGTACCAAGTGCTTGAATTTCTGAGAAATGAAACCTTGGCAGCTTCAATGGGACATTTGGATCGGACTTGACCGAGTAGGTTTCGATTTAGTTATGGACTTGAATTGTAACTCTAAATTAAAGAATGGAAGGCACTGGTTCATCTCTGGTTGTTTCTATTGCTGCTGAATTGGTCCTAGAAGAAAGAGCATACCATGACTTCGTGTTGATCTCCTGCATTGTGATGCTGTTTCTATGTTGTCAATTTTTTCCCCTTGTAACAAAAACTGACCACTTTGACATCTTTCAGGCTGATGCTATCATGTCCAGATTGAATATTTCTGATTACCAGAAAGAAGGCGACAGGCCAACACTCCTGATCACTTCTGACATAGTATGCCTTGATTTCCTTTGCTATGCTATTTTACGTGGAACTTGGATGCTTTATTAATCACAAAATACTATGTTTGAAATTTGACCATGCCTCAATTTCAGTTCTCCTTTGATGTTTTTTTCTTAGCTAGGAGTTCCATGGATTGTACATCAATTTAAGTATGACTATTTTGGTGCCATGTTTTTGTTATTACACATTTGTGTAGATAGGCCTTTTCGATATCACCAAATCCAAATGTCATACAGATAAATTAGTCAATTGGAATCAATCCTGAATATGAAATTTTAAATTCCTGAGATGTGCATTGTCAATGCTGAATAGATCAATACATTCGCTTATTTAAGAATGATGTCCTGTGTGAACCATAAGTTTGGTAATGATGCATAGCGCAAGTCATTCCTGTTTCAACTTTTTGTTCGGCATGTTCTCTTCGTTCTAGAGTTCATGGGCATGTGGTTGAACATATCTGCTTTAGGACCCCCATCATTTGCATTATCCGGGGAATAAGCCAAACGTCATATTTGCAAACAAAAAATAATTTGTGAATAAAACTTTTATATACATGTTCTTACGATCTAAAAGCAAAGGCTGAAAAATAAACTTTGATGAAAAAAACCCTAAAATCAACTCCAAATTTGAGGTTGGAAATTCAAATTTTGGTTGATAAGCATAAGCATAAGCGAAAAGATGAGGTTGTTATTTACTAGAATGTTGTCATTCGCATTACTGTCATACTGAACTGAAGTTGACCTTGAGGTGGTCGTCCATGAAGGGATTATCAGAGAAAAGCCAACCACGAAGGAAGAAGCACGCCAATTCCTGAAAGGTGTGCCCACATGTCGAGGCAACATGCATCTTATATTCTTGTTCTCCAATATTTTATTGTATTATTTATTACTTGAACTTTTACTTTCTCCAGGTTATTCTGGCAGCCATGTCGCAACCGTGGGGTCTGTAGTCGTAACTAATCTGACAACTGGGAAGAGGCTTGGAAGCCTAGACAAAGCTGAGGTAATTTACTTTTGTAGTTCAGCACTTATTTGATGAGAAAATTCCTTTGATAGAAGCTGTTTGTATTCAAGTCAGATTTGGCAATGCGGGTGATCCCATTGATATGTGCGCCCAAAGGCTATTGATCAACATCTTTGACAGAACATAATTCACCCAAGCTCTGCAAATGTGTAAAAACACCAAAGGATATTTTCACCATCCAGTGACTAATGACAATTGTAGTTTTCAGACTTGTTTGTGTGGCAAGCTTTGTTGTGTGCATCTAGCTAGATATAGCTACTACGGTTCTTGGTCATCTTTTTGTTATATTAAATCAACAATAAAAAGTTTGTCTCTTTGAGTTTCTTATCGTGTGTTCAGGAGGAACTATTAAAAGATGATGTCATTCAAATTCTATTACTGCAAAGCAACAATTTAGTTTGTTCTCTAATGTTAGTATTTAGGACAATTATGGGAAAATTCAGTAGATAATATTTAATTTCTGCCAGTCAAAAAGTAACTGGATTGTGTATGTATATCATGGAAAATTTAGTTAAGGTTGCCTTTTGTCGTCATTTTGCAGGTGTACTTCCATGATATACCAGATGAGGTCATTGAAAACCTGGTTGGCCTCGTTTATTCCACTCTATGTAATATATTAATTGATTATTTGCTAAATCTAACATTTATAATTGTAGCAACAGTGCCAGTTAGAATACTATCATCATAGGATCCAATCTTTAAAAAATTGCAAATGTTTTTATGCCACTGACCTGCTCTCTCTACCCGTTTGAATGTCAACAGATCGATGAGGGGGTAGTATTTAGGGTCGCAGGTGGCCTGTTGCTTGAACATCCATTGACATTACCATTTGTTGAAGCAGTGGTTAGTGTCTATCTCACCTTATTTTTCACAAGTCTTATATATACACGGCATTTTAAACTAATGCAAACTTGGTCTCCTTTTCATGTAGGTTGGTTCTAGTGACAGTGTAATGGGGATCTCGAAGGATCTTGCAAACAAATTAATCCAGGATGCATTGTAGCCTAGCAATATTTGGTGCTCTGTTCATTCATCACATTTATTACTGCTCCCAAAGAGATACTACCTATCGGTGAAAATATGTCAGGGACATGGTGGTATACTGGTATCTCATAGTCATTTTTGTAGCTCAAAAGCTTTTGAAGGATTTCAGAACCTGACACACGAAGACGCATGGCGTTCAAGAACACTTCAGTTCCTCTGTCTACTGTTTTGATGAGATTTTTATCATTGTACTTACACCTTTACTGAATATATACACTGTCATTGTGAAGCGTTCAGTCGATACCTTAATGGAAAACGAGGATGTTGCCAAAGAATTCGCAATTTAAATGTTAAATCGAGAAAGACTTGTGTCATGTTTGCAATGTGTGAATTGAACTGTTTGCAGTGAACATTTTGCAACCATTACCTTGATGCCTGGGTATAAAATGGGCTGGGTTCGATTTTTATTAATTTTTGGCCTAAAAATATTTAAGGGCTAGAGTTGTGAAAGAACCCATGCATGGCCTAACCCATTACCACCCCTACCTACAAAATTACAGTCTGATCTTATTGTATACGATCTGAGTGTGACAATACAGGAAGTACTCTCCAGCTTCCAAAATTCTGCAAATTCCACGTGAAACAGTTCATTTATATGGGCCCAGCCCAACTTTATATGGGCCCACATGTAGATTACACTACCGTTCCAGACCAACATAATATGGGCCTGCACCTCGGTGACAATCCCTTTACGGCCCAACGTAATTTGGGACCACATGTGGGTGAAATCCCGTCTCGGCCCAACTTGGTTTGGGCCCGCAAAGAGGTGACCATCCGGTTTCGTCTCCGTTTCGTCTTCTTCTTCTTCTTCTTCTTCGGTGACAATCTCCGTTTCGTCTTCTTCTTCTTCTTCTCCGCCGTGACACGCACACGGCGAAGCGGAGGCAGCCGCCGCCGGCGACCATCTCGCGTCGCTCCTCCGGCCATCTCTTCAGCTCCTCCACTCCCCGAAGCTGCCGCCCGCGCGATCCACCGAATGAGGCCGGCGGAGGAGGCGGCGAGGGCGGCGGCGCTGGCCGGCCCGCTCGGCGAGCTCCTCCCGCCGGTGGACTTCTGCTGCGCGTACGGCTCCACGCTCCTCCACGCCCGCCCCGAAGCGTCCTCCATGGTCGACTACATCCTCGGCGTCCCCGACCCGCTCCAGTGGCACTCCGAGGTAGGGTGGGTGACTGAGCCCCCCCCCCCCCTTTCCTGTTTTACTCTTCCAGATTATTTCCTCCAATTGGTCCCCTTCTTGGTTTGATACTCTTTGATGCGATCTTGGTTCTTGGATGGTTTCTTGGTTGGTTAATTGGTGCAGAATTTGGAGAGGAACCCTGATCACTACTCCGGATGGATGGCTCGCCTCGGCCCCGGCGCTGTAAGCTCCCATTTCCCACCCCAAATTCACACTCCTTTTACTTGGTTACCCCGGTTGATTGCTCCTCTGACTGTGTGATTGATTGGTTGTTGCTTGTGCCTTGTGGAAGTTCAGATTACTCGACTTGCGGATAACATCGGCGTTGGGGTGTACTTCAATCCATTTGTTGAGTGGAGGGACAAGGTTAGCATTTGCAATGAAGCCTCCTGAATTTTGTAGCCTGATGCTTTGTGTGCATTGTGGTTTACTTGTCTTCATGTATGTGCATTTAGTTCTGAGTGACAAAATTGTAGCTATGTGGATGCAGAGGATAAAGTACGGGGTGGTGAGGATGAAGGACCTGGCCATGGATGTCTTGACCTGGGACCGGTTCTACCTCAGTGGCCGGCTACAGAAACCTGTATGTATGCCCTCTTGTTGATATCTGTGGGAAGGAAGATGCGAGCACTGATAATCTTGTTTTGCCACTGTAGTGGTTCCTGATCCAGGGTGTATCACCATTCATGTTTAGTTCAACCCCTGTTTTAATTTTAGTGCATGTATATGCCTGGTAGTGCAGATTTGACATCAGAGCTAGTATTTGTCTTTTGTATTCATGTAGGTTCATGTTCTTGTTGATAATTGGGATATAAGGAAGATTAACACAATTAATCTGAAAATGGCAACATCAGCTTCTCTACTCCTTTTGCCAGCAGAATTCACTGAGGTTTAGTGTCACTGTATCAGCATTGTTGTTACAACCATGATATGGTTCTATGCTTGTTTTCACCTTCCCTTTTTATTCCTTTTGTGCAGTATGACCTGTACGCCCAAATTTGCAGCCTATCATATATGGGTGATTTAAGAATGCTCTTCGCCGAAGACAAAAACAAGGTAAATTGATAAGATGTATACTACGTTGTTATTCTTAAATATTTTCCTGTAATTTATTTCAGCTCAATTAACATCAGAAATAACATTCCTTCCTCACAATAGTGACGCTGTCAATATGGATGTCTGAAAGCCAACTCTACTATACACCTTGAAAAATGAAATGGCGTGTTATTTTTTTTTTTTAAAAAAGAAGTGGACCACAAAAAAAATCAAATATTACATGGGACGCTTCTTATAAAAAAAGCATGGGATGCATGGTACACAGTAGTTCGTGTAATTCATTCTAAGTGTGATGCATGTCATTATCTAAAAAAAAGTGTGATTTATGTGATATGTTTAGTATGTCATCCTGCACATACATGCACCTATGGCATATAAAAAAAGATGTACAATTTGGCTGTATTGAGCACATTAGTGAGTTACTGCTGTTTGCTGGGTTTTGTGGGAAGGACTGACAAGCAAATTGACTGTGTTTCTGTTGGAAGATTATTTATAGTGTCTATTGCTGTTGTTAGTCTGCTGTATGGTTGAAAGATCAATATATGGTTGTTATTCTTCATGCTGTTTTTTTTTTCCCATGACAATGGAACTTATGAATTGGTGCCAATTATACTCTGCTGTGAATCAGGTCAAGAAAATTGTTGAGGGTAGTTTCCCATCATTTCAATCGATGTACAGAACCCTGATACAAGAGTACATTGCTGAAGGACTACTGAAGACATCATCTTATGGACAACAGAAGGCTTTCCATCAGGCCTGTGTTTCCTTTTGCTCATGCATACAGTTTGTTGAAACAGTGTTAAATGTTTAGCCTCTCACTGAGATGCTTTCTTACTATCACAAATGCATCATTGGTGGCCCACCAAGATGTTTAAACTTTTCTCGTAATGTTTATCGTATTGGCGTGTTCTCGCAAATGTGGTATATTTATCTCCTTTGAAACTTATAAGATATTTTATTGGTACTCTACGAAAATCTTTTTCTTTTGGAACTTCATAAACTAAAACTGATAAGAGTTCTATATTTGCAGGATTGTGGTGCATCTGCAACAAACGAACTGTTCTCTTATCTCCCATGGACAATCCAAAGGCGATTGCAAGGAAGATTTGCATCGAATTGCGAAGGTACTAACGTCATTCGAGATTAGTACCGTCGAATCTATAACACATTCTGATAAATTGTTTAATTTCCAGAAATGCCAACTCGTGCCTCAGTTTCTTCAAAAGATGTAGCAGCAACCTGTGTCCGCAAGGCTTTGAGGCGCCGGGTAATGGTCTCAAGTGCACGTCAAGCGATGTCTGGACTGCTGGCCTCAGGTGGCGCTGTTGCTGCTAGATATCTGGGGAAGAAGATATCCAAAGCCTGGAAATCAAGAACAGTTTAAGTTGTTGCTGACACCTGATGCTTTATATACACCTTTGTTAGTTACGGATTTTGGGTAGGTTTTGCTCTTAGATCAACAGGATACATAGTCTTGAGAGTAAAAAGTTCATGACTTGGAAGCAAGGTTGGAGCTTGGTCGAAGCAAATTCATGACTCAGCATCTTGTGCTAAGTCGCAAATTTTGTAGGATCACTCAGTATAATAAGTTAATGACACAGATGACCATGCATGGCATATACAGTATGATGACCACTTTCTTCCATCTTGTTTGTCATCCGAAAAATTGTCATGAAACTGAAGATTTCATTCATAGCAAATCAGTATTAGTCGGAGCCCAAATTTTGTGTTTACATATAATTGAGGTGTGATTACAATTCATCAGCATCAGGATCCAAGGTTCTAAGTTTTAGCTGTACAGTTTGATTGATGTAGCTAAAACTATACCCTAGAAATGCTTAAGTATCGATGGGCTCTTTCCTGTCCTGTTCGGTCGACTTGAACATTACTTAAGAGTTAAGAGGTCTGTAACATCAGAAGAGAAAGCTCAGCTAGTGTTCTGGAGGATACGTCTGAATCTGCTCATGATCTTATGCCTAAGATCATTAATTTGCATTAAAAACCCTGCTAATTCTGAAAAAAAAGGATACAAAGGAATTTTTCAGGATCAACATGTGAGTATAACCAATTTTCACGTCAATTAGCAGATCAGTATGTATACAAACTGGATAGATAAAAAGGACTGTAAAGTGGCACCATTGTAAATTACCGATAAGTATCCTCAGACGAAGATAGCTAATGTTTATTTTGACTTGCAAGAATGTACGCTTGATTGAGCCTAAATGCAATAGAACAGCTCAGGATATTGGAGATATCAGAATCAGACTTATATTGAAGCTAAGATATAAGGTCTAAACTATTTTCGATAAATGAAGTTAACTGAAACACACCTGACTGTGATTTGGGCTGTTCTTCAAGGCCGTACAAAGCGCATTTTGCATAGGTAAGAAGTCGCACATGGCGTGGTGCACCTAGATTACCTAAAATTGACCTCAGTAGTCCACTGAAGTAAATATCACAAGTGTAAGCAGCAAAAATGGGTAAAGACGAAAGCAGTGTAACATGCTTATGCACTGACAAAAATATTGCTTACTCTGTTCGAAGTATGGTGAGAAAGTCAGGAGGCAAGGACTCCATAAACGAAGATATATCATCCATTCCCAGAGAGTTCAGGTCCTGCTTTAAACGCGTTTTCTCTTCAATAGACATTTGTGTTCCAAGAATTGATTTGCTGATGAACATGACAATCATGCACGGGTTATGCCGACAATATAATCAGTAAGTAAATTATGACAAGTAAAAGGGTAGTACATGAAACGTAATTGAGCTCTAGCGATACGAATCAACTCAAGTTACAATGCTGGAAAAAAATCATTTTATCAGAGTTCTCATGTCTGAACTTATTCATAGGTCAATTGTTGGACCATATATCTCTAATAAAATCATAGAACAAAACCATGCAAGTGTATTCATGTAAAGAATAAAATGTCTGAAATAGCAAGCATTATGAGCAAATAATTTTATTAGATACAGAACACAGTCCATGCAGGCTTTTTCAGTCAAAGAATAAATGGGTAAAGTACTATAGAATATGAATACATGTTCATCTTTTGTTGTTCCTTTTCTTCTTATTTCAAAGAATCCAATAATATCTGAATGACTGAAAATATTTTTTCACATTTTTACAGTTTTGACAAGTACGCATCAGGCTTTGTTGGGAAAAGGTCATAAGCATGTACCTTTCGATAGTCCTCCCAGTGAATATTACGGGAAAGTACTTAGCATATTTGCCAACACCAAAGTGTTCACCTAACTCCAGAATTTTTTGAGAATCCAACAATATCAACGCTTTCCACAGCTGACAATAGTCCAATCTGAACTTTTGGTCTAATTCTTTATAAATTCCATGATCAAGCAGCACTGCAAAAATATGGATCACTTAACCAACTAAAAATAATTTAAAGCTCACTTTACAAAATAGAATCTAATGACTGGAATATATTAAGTGTCTACTCTCTTCAAACCATGTGCTTCTCACCATACCGTACATTCTTAGAGCCCCATTGCTTTGCACTAATAAGCCAAAGCAAAAGCCAAAATTTGATTTTTCAAACTTAATTTTGAAGTTGATTTTAAGATATTTTAAACATAGTTTCTTTTTCAGATGGCTTTTAAGTCGATATGAACACATATATAAAAGTTTTACCTACAAATTAATTTTTGTTCCCTAATAAGCCATTTTAGCTTATTAAGAAATATGGGCAAACGATGAGGACCTAATCCTACAATATAAATATATGCATATAGACATGCAGGAAATGCCATGTTTTTAAGCAAAAAAGAGCACCTAATGAAAATTTCCCTTGGCCTTGAGGAGAAACTAATATATTTCCAGGATGAGGATCGCCATGAACAAAACCATGTACAAAAATCATTTCGCCAAACAGTTCAATTAATGCTTTAGCTACCTGAATGATAAGCATAGAAAGGTACCAAAAACAGAGAAAAATCAATTAGCTAGTCAGTGAATAAAATTTTAATATCAAGTATAACAAGCAAAATTAGAATAAATTAATATCCTTCTTTGTTCAGAACTTCAGATTCTGCAATCTCCTTAGGTAATACATAAACAAGTACCAATTATACTTCCGACAAGAATACACTTGTACAATCTGTGTTATATAAAAATATGTGGACCAAATAGTGAAAAATGCACAGCATTTTCTAAACTAACCATGCCACAGATCTGTCTGTAAGGTGTTAAGCAACAATTTCAAATTGTGAAATCTAAAATGCTTACAAGTCATAAGACAAGAATATTATATCAACAATTCTCTACACATTTGAATGACTTCCTAGCTAAAGGTGACCAAAAACTATGACACCAGATAAATAGAAGTGTAGCAATAGATCTTCCATGTCTTATGCATGAACAATCCAAATCATTAAACCTTATTTGGGCTGGGCATGCCATATTACTTGTACCAATCTTATGTAGGTACACACTTATGTGCTTGTCTATTTGGAAACCCTTTCTAATTTTTGTCAAATCAACAATATGGATTCATGCAAGAAAATTTCTCAGGAAATCATTCAGGATAAAGTGATAAACAAATGTTTGGTGCCAAGAACTAAAAAGAAACCTTTGTTGGACTGATATCTGCTTTCCTTAGGGAGTTCAAGTTATCAACCTGTCACAAAAGTAAGAAAGATGTAATATGTTCCATCTATTTTTGCATTACAGAATTTTCAGATACAATAGCAACTGGAGGTAATGTCCTCCACCTCCTTCCTATTCCTTTCTCTATGCAGAATTTCTCTCTTTCCTTTTCCATATCTTTATGGAGTTTACACTTAACAGAGTATGTTTCGATAATGGATGAGATCCAATTGATTGATGAATGAAGCTCCAATATAAACTTTATAAATATCACCAAGAAATAGCAATTTACCTTGTAGCCAGAACAAAATTCCATTGTCAAAACCTCCTTGCTTGTTAGTTCCTATAACAGCTTTAACTTTAGTCAAAGTTATATACACAAACCAAAATTATTAGCACTGTATGCAGCAACAGATTAAAATGTGATATAACAACTGATGACCCAAAATATTAGCAATGAGTTGAATAAGTCTGTCAAAGAAAATTTTACTTCAGTAGCACAAAATTTATCCAATAGAAAACTTCTCTTCAATAGCACAAAAGTTTAGCCAATGGAAAACATTTAGTATCACAAAAGTTCAACCGATAGATAGCATGGAAAACTGATAGAACTAAATGATTCTTTTAATTTTCTTTTGGTTTCAGGCAGTCATTTTTTTTTATGGTAGCCAATTGCTTGTTCATTGTTTAATCCTATAAAGTATTAATTTACACTTCTCAAAATGCAATCAAGCTGTTGTTCGAAGTTCAACATTGGATGCTCATTTCTTGCATGATGTAGCAAGACATTAATTTCTTTGTTGTTCAATAGAAAACTAGGGTTCTAGTGAACAAATTTCTCTGAATGCACACATTCTTGGCTTACTGGTTTTATAAGCTAGGTGCAAAATAAGCACTAGATGATGGCCAAAATAGTACTAGCTTGTAATCTCTCTCAAATAAGCACTAGATCATGTGAAGGGCTTTAGATATAACTGTTTTCATAAGCTAAGTACAACTGGTTGGAGATGCTCTAAGAATAAAGGTTGGACAGGCTCCATACCCAAAACACGCAAGGTACTTTGACAACATTATTTTTCCTGAAGCAGCTAGCTGTTCTCTCAGAATTCTTAGCCTCTTGGATAAAATCTGCAATACAACAACTGTAAGTTCTATACAATAGAAACAACAAATTGAGTGCACAGTGCAGCTATAGGGGTCCTCACTTTTTAAGTGCCTAAAATCAGCTACAGGGGCCCGGAAATATTTTCAGTGTCCAAAATCCACATACACAGATTAACCAAAGTTTGATGCTAGTAAAATGCACAGAGAAGTGCACAAAGGGGTGAGATACACCTGATGTTTTAACACATCATGAATTATTTAAAGAAATTGAAAAGAAAACGTATAATGAATTTAACTGATATAACTATGTCCAATCGTGTTATATAGAGTACATTGAACTTTTCTTTTAAAAAAAGCATGTATTGATTGATTTGAACAAACACGAGATCTGTACTGTTGATCTTTGATTCCTTGAAAGGAGCAGGCAAACTGATTAAAAAAAAAAAAGACAACAGCAACTAGCTTTACTGAATGCAATACTATGGCTCGAGCAAAATAATAGATGGCTCTATACATCATGAAACCAGAACATCAAAGAAAATTATTTCAACTGATAATACATAAAAGTAACACAATATTTATTAGAAATAAAGAAACTTCCATGCATTTACCTAGTTCCATTGACATGGTTCTCTCAAACTCAGTCAATAACTTCTCAAACCTATAATCAGGAAAAATCTGCAAATAGAAAACCATCAAATTTTCAATTCCACCAATAAATTACTCTAATTTCTTAGATCTGAACTTCAATAAACATAAGGCATGAGAAAAGAAAATAAGAATAGTTTACCACACTGGAAAAGTCAATTATTGTACCAATTGTAGTCAGTAAGTACTTTACTTTTTAAAGTTATCCAATTATGGCAACTACCATAAAAGGCTAAACAGTGTCAAAAACAGAAGTAGCATCACGCTAATAAGAAATCAGTGGTTTGCTTTGGATTTAAGAAATAACCCCAAATCAACTTTTCATTAATGATGCCACAAACTAAAACACTGATAACATTCCTTAAACATATCATGGCACATGTCAAGCTTTACAATCAATGAAAATTTTACGTTGTACATTTATGGCAACTGCCACTTAAAACAGTTAAGAGTCAAGCTAATCAACAAAAAAAAACAATTGCTTGCTTAGGATTGCATACTCTCTTTTTTACAAAAATTTTGCCAGGGACACTAGTGCTTCAAGAATGGTTTATTTTTAGAATTTTAGTAACAATCTTGATGTTAAAAAAGCTGACAGTTGACAATATAATTGAACTGTGCTCATTACCTGCTCTTCTTTCAGAATATTGTGTAGATGATAGTAATAAATTACATGGGTAAAAAATAGTTTTCATGTAAAATGAGCTACATGCACAAAATACAATTTTGCAAATCAATGGAAATCGCAAAATTGAAACATGTAACATACCCAAGAGAGAGATTTTGACAAGAAAGACATAGTCATTATGTCTATCTTCATGCGCCGCTCAAGCCCAGGATATTGAACCTATATGACACAGTTAAGATGGAGGTCCTCTAGATTAATATACATGCACACCAAGAAAGACAATGTAGCAAGACATTATAGGGAAATAATGAAATGGCATTTCAAATTGAATATAAAAGGATATCTCCAGTAAAGAGAGGGGAAATATTCACTTCTGTCCGTTTCCACAATTCTGCTAGCAAAATTATGATAAAACCATATCGCTATATTTTTTTTTAAAAAAAAAGGTGCAAGAGATCAGTTTATGCTATGCTCTGAGTCAAAAGAATTGAGATGAAAAATTCATGTTCACATCAATGGATATTGGATGGCTTAGCTGCTTCCATGTAAAATTAGTGTATAAACATTTCATATGGCTAAGCTAAAGTTAGAAATTGTTGTAGCCTAAGTTAATAATCAAAAAATTTTTCAGGTAATCCAACTTTCTCATTGGCTGTGAAATTTAGAAGAATACTCCAACTTGTAATTTGTGTAAAGAGTTGGATAAATTACTAAAGTTTGAAATTGGCAGTTGTCCATCCTTAAATTAAAAGTTCTGTTGACAAGCATCCATAAATTTGATAGATGTGCAAAGCTATAAGGTAGAACTGGGATGGTGGATATAAATTTGTTAGGTCCCTGTGCAAGTTATAACTCTGGATGGTGGATTTCACATAAATGCAATCTCTCTGACTTCTGTCTTGAAACTGTGAGCATGCAGTGTGATGATATCAAGCTGGACATATTTTCAATGGTTTACATAAATGTATTGCAGAGCACAGGACATTACACCCTGCTTCATTTGAATGGTGAAGACATAACAGTATAGGATCAAACAATCACTAAAATATCTTTGAGAACAATAATGGGACAGGTAAGAGATACATGTTCACAGCAACCAACCTTCACAGCTACTTCCTGATTATTATTCAACCGACCTCGATGAACCTGAGCAATTGATGCAGCAGCAATCGGATGTTCATCAAATTCCAGGAATCTGATACTCAAGTATTAAATCTTAAACACTTTTTGCCTGAATTTGGAAACTATGCAACTAATCAACAGAAAATTTCAATAAAATTACGAGCTATTTGTACAGCTGACAAGAGCTATCAACTTTTAAATATACAGCCCTGGGTAAGTCCTGCTTGCAAGAACACATGCATTCACCCCCACTCAGCCTAAAAGTTTAATCTTAGTTGATACAGGTGGTCCATGAAAGTTCGAATGCAGCTAGAGCTAACCATGGGAAACTCAACCCACCACTACTAGCTAAACGTGAACAAATTGGTCCAACAGTGTTATAAAGTCAGTGCATTCATATAGCCATTGCTTAATGCAAATGGCAAGGAGATGACACTAGCACTAATGTCAACCAACCTTAGCTAAGCATCCTAGCAGCCAATTGCGATGGTACACAAGCTATCAAGGACACACATCACAGGCTGACAAAGGGTAAAAAAGTAAACCGAAGAGCCCATGGCATGTCTAGATTGAACCAGCTAAGAAGCAAACTCATGCACAATCTACTCTGACGACAATGAACCACACCAGAGTAACCATCAGGTACATCACAGGTTATATGATAGTTTTATGCAATGAAAAGCATGCAAACTCTACTTTTCAGCACTCTGCATACAGTAGAGAACAAGTTTATGATACCCTTTTTTAGCTATACCTAAGGAAGATTTGATGTTGAACTTAGATAATCTTTTAAGAGACCATAAAATGCCAACATAAAGACATATGACACAGATTTTTTTTTAAAAGAAACAAAATGGAGAAAACCTCACTTCCTATAACCAGTGATGGAGTTTGAGTGAACTACCAATGGGGGACCAAAAAGTTAATGGTATTCATTAACACACTATTAAAATACCAAATTTAGTACTAAAAATACACTACGAATCTATTACACACTAATATCAGGCCTAACTGCCACATGCTTAATGGACATTGCTCTCACAGATCCTGTTACTTCTTTCCACGGTGTGTAGCTCTCTCATCAGTCACCACACAAGAAACAAAGATAAGCAGCAGTGAGCAATTAATATGGCAAGTCCATCAAAATTCACGAACTAAGCCTAACTGTTGAGTAGCTGGTCCGAGAGGATGATCAGCCACACTGGGACTGAGACACGGCCCAGCTGCTATGCTGCATACTACTAGCTACCACACATGGGCTTGTGTGCCAATTGCTGCTGCATAGTAGCTAAAGGAAAATTTTCTGGGGGACCACAACCCTGTTAAGTCCACGCTATCCTCCGAACCTGCCTATAACCACAGCTCTGCATACTACAGATAACACAATCAAGTTTAAAAAATCATGAACCTTTAATACTTACATGCTATGTAAATCCTTGCCAAGTTTCTGCTCTATCACTATTTTGATATCTTGAAAGTTGCATGGAGTTGCCTGAATTATTACAAAAATGTTAAATAAAAAAAAACTAATGAGGCTATACAGTGTACACTAACATTAAGATAGAAATTAACTAGTAAACCTGATCTTGCAGACAAGAGAGTGTTGATGAGTATTCTTTTGGTACTTGTCTTATTGACGAAACAAATTGACCAGCCTTTACATAAAACCCTCTGTTCGCTTCACATAGTTTGAGTATCTTTTTTGCTGAACGCAAATGAACCTACAATATACAAGTAAACATTAAGGATTTACAGATCTATAACCATCTGGAGCTCTTGCTATTTGTAACTGCATTCGAAATGCCGCATGTTTAATCAAGTTATGCTAACTCTGATGGAACTCCTGGAAACATAATCTATTCAAATGAGCATCAGAGCACCCACATTGTGCAACTTTGTTTCCATCAAAATACGAAGACATGGGAAAAGCTTGAGATATCTGATTGATGGCCTTCTAAAGTAAAATATCAAATGAAACGAAAAACTAAAATTATGTCAAGGAAGCTGTCCAACTAAAAGTGTTGAGTTCTAAAAGAAGCAATAGCTATCAATGACGCTGTTTGGTACCAAACCACGATGTTGAATTCATAATTAGAATAGATAAGGCTGTTAACAACGGTTGGTTTGATGCCGTACAGGAAAAAAAAAAGAAATTGTGAGACAGCTTCTCCTATCCCCAAAGTTCCTCATATCCGTTCTTCCTTTGCCAACTGAAACAGTGTTAGGAGGCCAGGAGCAATAGGTCACATGGTCACATGTATCAAAATAAATCCTTCTTCCCACAATCCTACAAGTTCATTTTCCACATTGAAGAAATCAATGACTTCATTCCTACCTACCTAATAATCCATGAGAGAGAAACAAAAAAACAAATTACAGTTTTCCATCGCCATTAACCAGCTTACGCGTGCAATCCGCAAACCGCCAGCGCAACCATACAAACCTCGGAGAGCTTATCCCGGTAATCCGCCGACCCATGAGCCAGCCCACGGAGCGAGTACTTGTAGTCCACTACCACGAAGCCAATCTGGAACAACCAAATCCGCAGCAATGAGCACGAGAAGCATCCGAATTACCCACCCACCCACCCACACACACACACACAGAGATAGAGGTTAGCGTCTCTCAAATTTGGGGGCGAACCGTGTAGACGGCGCGGGAGGAGCGGGCGACGGCGTGGAGCACGGAGGGGGCTGCGCCGCGGCCTTCTCCGGAGGGGAGCGCAGCCGCCACGGCGCCCGCCGCGGCGGCGGCGGCGGCGGCGAGGAGGAGCGGGCCGCGGCGGCGGCGGAGCATTGCAGCGAGGGGTAGGGGTTTGGGGTTTAGAGAGAGGATGGAGGAACAGTCGAGCAGTAGCAGAGTAGTGCTATGTTCGAGAAAAAAAATTCTATCGAGAAGACGATTGAAATTAGGAATTTGTGAAAAATTGGGGATTTGCAACCCGTTATCTTAAAAAGGAATAAAAAGAACAATTTGTTAAACCGGAATATGTGTGTAGATGAAATGATCACTGATGATAATATGATATGCTCCTATGTCTAAAAATAATCAAATCCTGAATGGACATACACTATCTCCAGATAATATATGTTCATATTCACTTCTAGGGTTGAGTTTTTTATGGGACAGAGAGTGTATGTCTTCCAGTTCCACGTAATTGTCAAAAATAATATTCACGTAACTGATTCAAATAAGTGATGAGGCAGGTGAAATAGGACTATGGACGGTAAGACTCATTCGTGTATTTTCTCTAATGGCAGCGAAGAGATGTTAATGGTGGTCCAATCTCCAGCAACCTTGATAGAATAGGTCGCCAGTTAGAGGAGGGGATGGTTTAAGAGAAATGTCTGGGACAAAAGCCCGACAATGGACGGCAGCTATGGTGAAACGGTGAGGCAGTTGTGGTGCGGCCTCGGACAACAGTGATGCTTGAAGTCATTAGGAGTCATAAGCCATACAGTGAGAAGAAAAGGTAGGACAGGGAAGATTTCTTGACTTGAGAAATAGAGGAGACAACAACGGTGTTGGTGGTGGTAGAGAAGGAGAAGGAAGATGAAGATATGAGATGGGTCAGCCAACGGGGCTTGACGGCTCCGATGAAGTGGAGGGCTCATTCGACAGGTGCTTAGCAACAACAACAGGAGATGGTGGTATACTTGGTAAATGGTGATTGATTGAGATTGATCAAGACTAGGATGAGAGGGGTATATTCTTCATGGAGCAATCTTGCCCTTTCCAGAAGTGACATTTTTTTTAAAAAAACAAACAATTGATCATCTTTATGGGACTACAGTCACCTAAAAATACACACAAATTTCAGTCACTATTGGATGGTCCAGATTGTGCCAAGATTTGTATAGCAACCTTATGTTCTCCCTCCCCTTGGTCTGATTGAAATGGCTAGGTCGAGATCGATTAGCTCCATCACCACTCCTTCCCCTCTCTCACCTCATCGAGCCGCCTCTCGGCCTCACTAGTGCCACCGAGTTCTGCTAGACCGGCCTCCGCCCCTCCCCTTCTTACATCCCTTCCCCTCCTCCCCAAACATAGCGGTGGTGAGTTGTATCTGCTCTGTCGTCTTGCAGGTCTAATCGGACGATTTGTGTCGCTAGACGACACGCCACTATGGTCTCCCACCTCATAACACTCCAACAAGGCTCTCCTGCCACTGATGCTAGCAACTCACCCTTTTTTCCCATGCTAGAAGCATACGCTACTGCCGCTTCGTCGCCCACTGCAACCCTAGCCATTCCTCCACCCAACCCTCTCTTACCCCCATCGTCACCATAGCTACCCTTGGATACCTGAATCTGGGCCACTGTCATCATCTTCGGACCGATGTTAGACAAGCGAGTTCTCTTTGAGATGCTTCTTTCCTCTCATGTCTGGTGTACAAGTAGAAGACGGCTCAGTCCGATAGCCAGGGAGCAGCACCTGAAAATTAGCAATCTTCTTATTGTTTATTTTGTCACAGTGCATAGTTTAGTAGTAGTATCTTTTATTTGACACGTTTATTTGACACGGTATAATTCGTGCCATCAATATCAAACAAAGGACAGATAGATCTTGTACTTGCACAGCGTAGGGATGAAAGATAAAAACATATTCCCTCTGCTCCTTATATTATAAGTCATTTAGATTTGTCCAAAATTTACTAGTGAAGAAACCATTTTTGGTCGGTCTGGCAAAATCCACGATAGTCCCGATTCCAAAAAGAACCGAGACTAAAGATTGTTTTTAGTCCCGGTTATAAAAATTTTGATCTTTAGTCCCGGTTGGTAACCATCCCCTGTCAGATGTATGTCAGAGGGCCGAGAATCTTTAGTGCCGGTTGGTGTCAATAACCGAGACTAAAGATCAAATTGAACGCGTAGTATATAATCCCTATTACTTATCCTCTCCTACACAGTTACAACTTAGACAGATCGAATATCTCCCCGTTTGCTTAGATCTATCCTCTCTTCCTCATCCCCTCTCCTCCACCTCCTCCCCTTCCTCATCCCCCCTCCTCCCCTTCCCATCCCAGCGGTCGTGGCAAGCGCGGCAGCGGCATTGTTTTTTCTTTTTTTCTTTAATTTGTGATTCACTGAGATATACAAATATATGATTCATTGTTTGGATCTGTGATGTATTTGATTTGTGTGTAATTTTTACGATTTTGTGATGTATTTGATTTGTGTGTATAAGTAACTTTATGATTTGTGATGTGAATTTGGGATGTTACATTGTTACTTTGATGTGGGGATTTGCCTACTTGATTCGGGAGAAAATAAAAAGGGAAAAAAGAAAATGGGGCCATCTGGTACTACCACTATTGTTTCTTTAGTCCCGGATCCTTACTCCCGGTTGGAAAACCATCCATCAGTGATAAAACCGGAACTAAAGCGGTTCCCAATCGGGAGTAAAAATGGTTTCTCCACCAGTGATCAGACTTCTTAAAAGATTGACAAAGTTTTATAGGAAGTGTAATAGCATTTTCAATAAAAACAAATATAACATAAAAACATAGTATACTCAATAGTAAATTTTATGATTTAGATATTAATAAATTTTTCTATAACCTTAATTACTTAAGCTTGATCGAAGTTGAAAATTTTTGACTTACTTCGAACCCAAAATACCTTGAAGGAAACAAACAGAACGCCGGCGCGATGAAATTAAGCTGCGATGGATAGTTTTGCATTAGGATCATCCATGCATATCCTTAGCACAAAAGAAGCCAATTAATTTACCGTGCTTGTTCACTTCCATCCGTTGCCGATCGAGCGGCGTAACGGCATCGGACGGAGGTAAACAAGCACGACAGACCATCTGGCTTCTTTTCGGCCACGCTGACAAAATCAACCCACGAAAACGGAAAGGCTCGCTCCCGGCCGCTTCCCTCATCATATGCCGCCGAGTTCTTCGCCGACGGTGCCGCAGGCCCGCAGCGCAGCATATCCTGCGGCGGCGCCGTCCGCGTTGAGTGTCTGGTTCGCCTACGCCGACCTCCTGTCGCTGGGGCCAGCGCTTCTGGCCGAGCCATGGGCCATGGCTAGCTGCCTCCTCGAGCTCACGCTCAGATGGAGCGCTGCTGAATCTTCACTCTTCTTGCTAGTGAATGGCATTTGCGATGAGCTGAGCCCCTGCAAGTTGAACGGCATGGTGATCGTAAGGAGGGCCTTGCTGCCGGGATGGGTGCTTGTTCACCTCCGTTCGATGCCGATCAAGCGGTGTAGCTGCAGCATCGGACGTCCCTCTGAGGCTCTGACGTAGGTTGCTCTTAAGTCAGAGATCCTGTTCCCCTTAGAGCAGCTCCAGTGCGCACCTAAAATCGATTTCAACGTGAAAAAACCGAACTATGCACACTGTGGGAAGCGAACCGTATGTGTCAGATGAAAAAGCGACTTCAAAATAGAAGTCGAACATTGATGATAAAAAATTACTTGTTGCTACAGGTTGTGAGGGGGAAGGGAAATTGGGGATTAAGATTTTTTTCATGGGTCCCACCCAAAATCGATTTTAACGCTGTAGGGGTCGAATCAAATGTTTATTCGACTTCTGTGAACCGGACTTACCTAACCAACACTACAAATGCCCTTAGCACTATCGAAAGTATCGATCGATCGAGTTGCTCCTCTGGTCCTTTGGTACAGCTGCTCTACGTCTTGTCGATTTGAATAGATCGCCATATCGGACAAGACAGACGAGACCAAATCAAAACTGTCAACATAATTAACAACCAACCATCTCAAGACTACAGCCAAAATGTGTCGTCGCCATGTTCCAGCTCCAACAACGATCGGCCGGCCGGCGATCGATCTGAAGTTCTGAACAATGAACAATTTGATGGAGCCAACACCAAATTCCCTGCAGGCCGATGCGAGATACCGATGCTCTAGCTGCTTGTATATAAAACCTCTTAGCGATCTCAACGATGAACAACAACCAATTTCTATAGCTGGCTAGCCAGATAAGCACTATTAGGAAAACCGTTTTTCATTCCATAATAGAGCCGCCGTTAGATTGCAGGCGGAACATAAGTGGTCACGCATGTAAAAACCGGTTCCTCGGGCAGAGGAGGCAACAGCAGCAGCAATGGCGTCGTCTTCCAGGACAGCTCTGCCGTCCGCCGTGCTGGCCCTCCGCCTCCTGACGCTGGCACTCCTCGCGGCGTCGCTCGCCGTCATCGCCGCCGACAAGCTCACCCTCGACTTCGGCGGTGGCCTCCCGCCGAAGAAGATCACCTTCAAGGACGTCTACGCCTACAGGTCAGCACCTAGTGATAGGAATCATATTCATATATATGAGACATCGAGCTGGCTGGCGCTGCCTGCCATCACAAGCAGCAGCATCACTATAGTGGAGTAACACTGAAAATCTGATAAAATCCCCATTAAATGGCGGAATGATTTGAATAGCTGAATAATTTGAGATACTTATTTGATGGTACACACAAAATTATAAGGTTCGAAAATAAATATGAAACAATATCATAAGAGATTCATATATAGAGTACTTGTAAAAGTCGTACTGTTTAGGAATTCAATTCAATAAGCATGCTTAATCTATTTATCCCTTCATTAGAAAGGAGCGTGACCTACATACGCAATTATGCATGACAAGTGGGGCAACTAGCTTTTTTTTTTTCTTTTTCAAAGGGTCTAACTAGCTATATATTTCGGTGATGCTAGAACTGCCACGATTCTATGTATTGGTAAAAAAGGCAAAATAAAAGAACTTTTCAATTAATTTGTGTTCTATCGTATAGGTATGTCCTCGCAATCGCTGTCATTGGGTGTGCCTACACCCTGCTACAGATCCCGTTCGTCGCCGTCAGCATCGCCAAGAGGAAGAGGATGATAGGAGGCAGCGAGAATGTGGCATTGTTCCTCATCTTCGCCGATGTGGTAACTCATTCATCTAGCTCTAATTACATTTCGAATTTCAAGACCAACTAGAACAGCATACCCGTTTGGTACGGCTCACCGCTACAGAATAACACATCAATATGACGGTCCGATCAAAACCTGACACTTACAACTATATCAAACACTTTCGAGATCTTGAAAAATTACACTATACGAGGGTGGAGCGACAACTCCTTAGCTCCGCTCCACCCTCTGAGGAGCTTGATCAATAGCTAGTGGAATTTTCACTATGTGCCAGATATTCGCGTTGCTGGTGGCGACGGGGGCGGGGGCCGGGTTTGGCCTCACCTACGACGCGAAGAGCGCATTTGGTGGCTCGAAGCTGCCGGGGGAAGTGGTCAGGTTCTTCAACATGGCCTACGCCGCCGCCGGGCTCATGCTGCTCGCCGCCGCCGCCATGGCGCTCATCATAATGCTCTCCATCTACTCGCTCGTCAGGTGATCGATCGAGATTATATATTGGTGCATGATGGTTAGCTAGCTAGCTTATGACAGCAAAGGCTGGGATTATATTTCATTATCTAAAAAAAGCTAGCTGATGACAAGAGTTAATTATTTTGGTGTACGTTGGGGGAGCAACTGCGTGTAAATTTTAATTTAAATTCCTTTATATTAAATCACCAATAGCTGCACATGTACTGGTTGTTTTGTGATGAGGGTTTGTTATATTATACTATTTCTCTGCTATGCCGATCAATAATATGTGGCTGGATTGATGTATCTTTGATGCAGAGTGGTCTGGATTGAATTCTATTATGAAAAATAAATGTTTGAGAGATATGATGATTCCAAACATATAGCTTATTGAAAATCCTTAACTTTTTTCAGGTGAAACTTATTGCAAATCCTTAATTTTTTTTGTTGAAGTTTAAAATTGTTTCTACTTAAACTTTCAATTAAGATACTATTGATTCCTCATTTTTCCAAACCGCTCACTTTGCACCGCACATCGTTAACCGAGACATTTTTGAGAACATCTGGCCAGTGAGAAAAATAATAAGTCACCCACACCTTTTATTTTAGTGCCATTTGGCTAGCTTTATTGATCATTGAACATAGTTACATCGTTTGCCAAAGTACTTAGAATATAGCCAGGAGGTTCATCGACCCAAATACACGACTCTTTCCTACTAAAAGCTACCATGGCTAATGCATGAGCAACTTTGTTTGCTTCTCTATTACAATGTTCAATAGATGTGCTATCAAAACCTCTCCATATTAGATTACATTCTTCGTAAATAGCTGTTGAGGCTGTTGCCGCATAACCTCCATTCAACATGGTATCGACAACCTGCAAACAATCTGACTGAAATATTACCCTATTAATTCCCAATCTTTGGACCAGCATTAAACCATCTCTCAAAGCTTAAGTCACCCACACCTTAAGAACTAAGAAGAAAACATGTACTCTATAAGAAGGAAAAAAAAGGAAGTGCTTTGTCTTCTCTATCTGTCAGTGAGTAGAGAAAAAAAAGTGTCATTTTCTTTCATCCGCTTGACTTCCTTTCCTCTCTGTCTCTAGTGGCTGCCAGTCGTCGGCAAGCTAAGAGGAAGGATGTCCAGGATTGAAAACATAGCTTATCTACAATACCACTCATGTACCTTGTATCTCAACTCCCAATATTGATTAGAGTAATTTGCGTTTGTAATATAATAAATCGGTGAGTTTTATTGAATGTAAAAACTTGACCATTTACCATGCCGATACCGGTACAACAACTTGACAAGGTGTAAGTTTGACCGCTAAAGTTGTCATGTAAGATATTTGTGCCACGACACCCATCCACCCGGGCAAGGGTGCACATCAGCATCAACACATGATTGGAGAGGTAGTCCTGATGCCAATTGCACTATCCCATGATGTATTCCGATCAACTCCCTACAGCTTGTTCTTTTGACAAATCATCCAGTGTGCTTGCACTATCCCATGATGTATGCCAATTTACACTATCCTATACGTGTTGTTCAAAAAAATCCAATGTAAAGTTGAACAATCGAATGCGATCTCGGTTTGCCTATATATGTGTCTGAATCGGTGAAGAAAAAATGTGCACAAAGAGTGGGTTTGTCATCCAGTGTTCCATATAATTTACACTACCCCTGTCGGTGACATGGGACCGGGAGTATCGTGACTAGAGGCTTGGGCAGCCGCGCTCACCCACGTGGCCTGACCCCCTCGGGGGGGGGTCGGGCCCGAGGGTGACGTGGCCACCCCCCCCCCCCCCCGAGGGGTCGGGCCGCTCCCGTTTCGGCCCCGATGGCTGGGGCGCCCCGACCCCCTGTGGTGTTGGCGCCACGTGTGTGGGTTAGGTGAGCACAGCGGCGCTCACCTAACCGCATTTATTGCGGGTTGGACGAGCGCGCCACGCCGCATTTAATGCAGCGCAGCGCGCTCGCTTATCCGGTCCGTAACCGGTCGCAGTATGTGACCGGTCACAGACCGGTCAGATCGTGGGTTAGGTGGCAGCAGGCGGCCTGTCACACGCCTCGCCCCGTCCCATCGGAATGATGAGAGCCTCCAGGCACTTGTCCCTAGCCGGAGCCGGCGTGCTAACTCCTGGAGTTAGCACGCCAGTCCCGGCCAGATACATTCCAGGCTTCATCGCAACCATTGCAAGGAAGTCATTGTATGAAGAGGGACAGACGTGCGGCATGCTAAACTGACACGTGGTGGACAAGAATGACCGGTCTGTGACTGGTCTGACGCCGGTCACGTCATCGGCAAACAAACCGTGCTCCCACGTTGCATCCGTTTCCGGCAAAGTGGAGGTAGGTATGACCCATCCCATCGGAGGGGTCATTCGGACAGCGGCCATTGCAAATCTCCGCCCATTAATGAAGGAATGACAGGGTGATCCCCTGGGTCAGGTGAGTGACGGCGCTGGGCCTCACTCAAGGACAAGCTGTGATTTAGCTTTCAAGCGAAGGCGCGAGCCAAGTTCTGGTCAAGATAGGGTGAGTCCCCACCCAAAAGAAGGGTAGGTAGAAGTGGTGCATGTGGTATCCCCTTGAGATATAAAAGGAGGACCTTGCCCACTGAAAAAAGGGGTTTTTTTTGGGAGATCCAGAAGAAGAATAGGAGGGACGACTCTGAGAAGACCTTAGCTCGTAGAGGAGAGAAACAGGAAGAGGGGTTTTAGAGCCTGAACTCCCTTGCTCTCCAGCTCTCTGTAACTCCTTCACACACAGATCCACCAGAACACAGGAGTAGGGTATTACGCTTCTCAGCGGCCCGAACCTGTCTACATCGCCCGTGTCTCGTGCATTTGCTCTCTCGCGAATATTCCACAGATCGAGGGCGAAGAACCTCACTTAGCGCCCCCGGCCGAACCGGCAAAGGGGGGCCTGCGCGGTCTCCCGGTGAGGAGCCCCAAGCTCCGTCAACCCCTTCTAGGAGGGTTTTGCAATGGTTATGCAACTTTATGCCAACTATGAATGGAGATTCACAGATAGGCTGGAATAAATGTGTTCTTCTTATTTTGGCTTTTCCTATTTAAGTGTGTTCTATTTTATTTGAACTATACTATTATCTCGAGTGCTATTTTGTAATAATTGGCTGTAGCTCTTCTTGAGCAAAGGCCGGGATATTATATTCCATTATCTAAAATAAAAAAAAAGGAGGGTTTTACACAGGGGTGTTCCATATAACTGATGTGGCATCCTCGCCTAGATGGATGGCTGACATAGCAAAATTTCTGACATTACTGTCATCTGAACCACACCATGCAAACACATCGACTACCGATCGAGCCAAGTTACTGTATCGATATATTCAATATTTTAATTTTTAACTTCTTGCTCTTAGGTGGTGTTTAAAACCGATAAAGATTAAGTCGGCGCATGTAAAAAAAGAAAGTCATTAGTATATGATTAATTAAGTTTTAATTATCACAAACATAACAAATTAATCACCACTGGAGAACTGATCTTTGCTAGGTCGGTCTAAAACCACAATAGTCCCGGTTCCAATAGTAATCGGGATTAAAAATCATTTTTTGTCCTGGTTGACAAGCCCACCTCACTTTTATGATCTTTGGTCCCGGTTGGTGTTACCAACCGGACTAAAGATAATTTTTATTCCCGATTCAGAAATCGTCCTGTCCCTCTCTATCTTTTAGTCCCGGTAAAATTCAACGCGAGTATATAATCCCTCACCCTTATCCTCTCATCCTCGCGCGCAAACAATTCCTTCTCCCTTTCCTCCTCTCTCCACTCTCTCTTTCCTCCTTATCCTTTTCTTTTTCTCCCTTATCCTCGAGCGAGCGGCGGGCATTTGCAGAGAGGCGATTACTTTGTGATGATTTTGGGGATGATTTTGTGATGTAAATTTGTGGGTGATTTTTAGATGTTTTTTTGAATTTGTAGATGATTTTGTGATGTAAATTTGTGGATGATTTTTAGATGTCTCTATGAAGTTGCGGATGAATCTGTGATGTCAATTTGTGGATGATTTTGTTGTTGAGTTTGGTGTGAAATAAATATGCAAGTAGCAAAAAAAAAAGCGCCAACCACGTGGCACTTTTATTTTTAGTCCCGTATTAGTCCGGTTATTTCAACCGGGACTAAAGATGATGCCCATCTTTAGTCCCGGATTCAGGGTTCTAGTTTGCAACCCGGGAGTAAAGGAAGTTGCAAACCGGGACTAAAAACCACTTCTCCAGTAGTGAATGGATATATTTGATATTTTAAAACAACTTGTATATAGAAAATTTTCATACAAAACACACCGTTAGCAGAAAAGCATGCTAACAAATTTTAATCAGAAAAGAGCAGGGCCTTAATCGTATGTATCAGCTGAATTCCTGTATTGCGTTGAATTTAATTACTTGAATATAGTAAATAAGAAAAAAATATACTCCCAGCAAGTTAAATACTAGTAGTAATAGCCGTATTCAGCAGTTCTCATGTGGTGTGTAAAGTGAGATAAAAAAAAGTCGAAAACTATTTATTAGAGGTTAAGTGCTCCTTTACGATGCATTAATTAATTAACCACTAACTAATAATTAATCAAGCCGGTAGGCGCAGCGTGGCCCATTTTCTCCCTGGGCCCTAGCCTAGTAAGCGTACCCTCTCCGGCCATGAAAGCCCAAAATTAATCACTTGATGCAACCCTAATCAACTAACTTTAACCTTATCCAATGCATCTAGAGCCTTCTCAAACTAATCAATTATTATTAATTCAAAACATAGTACACATGTACACGTAGACAAGTATGTACCAGCACAAATTAATTAATGCAACACACACACACACACATATATATGGCTTTACGAAACAATTACAAAAACCACTAACAGTAATAAATTAATGGCGCACGTTGTTTCAAAGAGAGTTAACAACTTCGTACTCGATCGGACGAAACACAAGGCGTGCAGTCTTCCTCTCTTAATTACTCATCCTGTACGAGCTAAGCTAGCTTCGATGATCCCATCCGTCCATCCGCGCCGTTGGGTGATCCGTGGCTCGTACCACAGCCGTACGATGGATATAGGCATAATTATATATGCAACTTTGAATCCAACCGACGCTGGTGTGGGGCCCACCTGCAGCCTCACATCGGCACCAGCTGACCGTCGCTATAAAGTAGGCTTTCCCGCGAGTTCGTTCTCTCAAAATTCGAAGTCGATCGCCATCTCCAATTCTCCATCGATCATCTATCTCTCACGATCATCTCGCCGGAGCTGTGTAGTGGTGGTGAGGAGGAGAATGATGATGAGGTGTGGTTGGTCGGCGGCGGCGGTGGTTGCGGTGGTCGTCATGGTTGGTGTGATGGTGGCGTCGCCGGTGGCGGGGGAGCTAGCTCGGGTGGAGCACCCGACGAAGGAGGACGGGTCGCTGGCGGTGCTCGTCGTTGGCGACTGGGGGAGGAAGGGGCAGTACAACCAGACGTTGGTTGCCACCCAGGTATATACATTACATTGCATGTCTGAGACCCGACTTATCTATTTATTTAACTTATAAATGAATTTACGAGCTCGTGTGTGTAGCTGACAACGAAGTAAATTTAGGCGCCGCCTCTATAGTTTTTTTCCGGTGGCGGCAATGCTTGATCGGTCGATCAATCCATCGCTCACGAATGTATTATGTTGTCGATCAATTATTGCTCTTGTAGAGCTACAATACAGGTAGTAGAGGACTAGTAGGTATAACCGGTATGTACATTGCTTATTTGTGATGTGAGACCAACTGATCGTGGATCGACCACGCTTTCAAACCGCTGCACTCTTTTTTTTCCCCATTTCTTTGAGTAATTTTTAATTAGGGCTAGCTAATATATATACATGCATATATACTCCCTAGCTCCATTGCAAAATATGTTTATTTTACAGTTTTAACAAAGAATAAGGTTGAGTAGAAAAGATTATAATGCATGGCCCTAGATATGATTGGGATGGGAGAGTGGTTAGGGTTATATATGGGAAAAATATTAAATGGGGAATGGTTGATAAGATAAATAGTATTTTAGAAGTGCTTATATTTTGGTGCTTAAGACCACATAATTAGAATATGCATATTACATTTTTGTAGGCGGACAAAAGTGATTTTCTCAAGCAACCAACTTATCCGTAGGTTTATTTAATAATGGCTTTCTCTATATACAGTCAATCTGTAGAAAATTTGTTCGTGAAATGATATTATTGTAGAAAATTTATTCGTGAAACCATATTATTGTAGGTGGATGCATGATTAAGCTGACCGCAAGGCAATTTTGCAGAATAACTGTATAACGGCCTGCCTATGATTATTCCTTTATATGTAGAGACAATATTCTTTATATTCAAGCACAATATTCTTTTTTTTTAAAAAAAACAAAAGAACATAGAGTACTAGTGTAGCTCGTACTGATTTTGTTGGCTGCCATATAGTGTAATAGCTGGCCGTTGTAGTTATTGTTTTGATTATATTTTTTGAAAGTGCAGTGGTTTATATTAAAAAAAATTACAAGACAACAGCCCTGGAAAGCTATAATCAGGAAAAGAAAATAAAACCACTACAGATCGACAACACTTGCACAAGCCAAAGAGCTAACACTACGTACGCTGACCGCTATTACTGTAGACATTAATTGTTTTGATTATAGATCTACTAGAGGCAACTCTATGTCTCTATCTCAAATTAATATTTTACGTACCCAGCTGCCAGGTCTGTTTATAGAGCACGAGCCATGAAATAGCTTCAACTTTGGCAGCATGGTATATTGGGGCCAGGAGAAGGCTCAACTGTGTGGAGTAGAATAGGTGACAATAACTGACATCAACCTTCCATATATTTGTTTTCGTGGGAAAATATGAAGTCATCGGTGATTATTGTCTACAAATTAATACTCCATCCGTTTCAAAATATAAAGTGTATATTGTTTATTTGTTTGTTTCGGTAGGACAAACCTTTGACCAACAAACTAGTAGGATATATAATTTCTTTTGACAAAAAACTAACTAAATTTATGATATTCGTATTTAAGTTACTTATGATTATGTTTTTTATTACATAAATGATATCCTAATAGAGCAACGGATGGAGTACTTCATCTGGTAAAACTTTCTTTTTCAACTTTTGGACGTGTGCACAATTTATATTAGAATAAATTTATAAAATACAATAAGTTTAGGAGATTACAAAGTACTTTTTAAGATATATCTGAAGTCATTACTTTTTGAAACTAACTATATTATATAGGCTATATATGGTCAAATTTTGCAAGTTAAATTGGATCTTGGCACCCATCAATTATTTATGGACAAATGGAGAAGTACAACATTAATTAGTCTGTGAACGATATCGACTCTACCATACTACGGTTGACCTCAAAGACTTCTCTCAATGCCTTTGGAGGCCCCTATTAATGAGCACCAATAATGAACTAGCTAACAAATTTTAGTTATTATTAATGTGAATGCATGCATGTTTGGTGCCCTGAAGCTTATCATGCATGGGGTCTTCATTTACATAAGTAGCCGAAAGTATTTGTTAGGTAAGGCATGTCACTATTATATAGTGCTATTTCTGAAGCAAACAAACGAGTTCAAATTAATTGAGATGGACAATATTCAAATTATTGTTGGCCACAAACTTAAATTGATTGGGTGGGTCTCCCCAAGAGAGCTACTACTAGCTAGCTCCCTGCATGTGTCAACTTGAACTGGATTTTTCACATTTTGGTCCTTTTAAAAAACTTATTTCGTAAATAGACTCCTAAAAAAACTTATCCTAAAAATAGTCCTTTTTGGGGCGCCAGAGTGGCTGGCGCCGTCGTTCAACAGGACGGCGCCAGCCTCTTTGGCGCCGTCCCCCTGCCGACGTGGCGGGGCGATGCTGAGGTGGCTAGGGGGAGTGCGCCAGAGTGGCTGGCGCCCCCCCCCCCCCCCCCCCCCCGAAATTTTTTATTTTTGTTTTATTTGTTTGATATTTTTTTCACGCTTAGGGACACACAAGAACCAACCATAGAAAAATTGAACTCAAATGGACGTAATATATGACATGTAGAATTTTTCCTCTCCTCTCCTCTCTCTCCGAACTAGTGCAGAGGAGAGAGATGTGCAACTTTTTTATTTTTATTTTATTTTTTTGATATTTTTTTCACACTTAGGAACTCACAGGAGCCAACCATGTAAAAAATAAACTCAAACGGACGAAATATGTGGCATGTGGAATTTTCCTATGTACTGTTTAAAAAAATATAAAAAAATGAAATAAAAATAAAAAATTGCATCTCTATATACTGTTTAACTTATATATATGTCATTTCATGTGGTTATATTTTGAATTAGATTAAGTAATTTCATATAGTGGTAGAGTGCATTATGTTTAACATGCTGATCAAAGGGTTTTACTAAAGGAGTTATGGTCTAATTTTAGTGAAGGTGCAAAGTAGACTAAGTGGTATGCTAGATATTTTCAGACTTAGCTAAGTGGTAGTTCGAGTTTAAATTTTTTTTGTGGTTGGTTGTATCGTGATCCTGAGTGTGAAAAAACATCCGAAAAAATAAAATAAAAATGACACCGTTGCAACTCCATACAGAGAAACAGGAATGGAGGCGGCGGCGCCAGCCATGCTGGCGCCCTCCTCCCTGGGGCGGCGCTAGCCTCCTCCTGCCACGTCGGTTCGCGTGCGCCACGGTGGCAGGAGGACGGCGCCAGAGAGGCTGGCGCCGTCCCACTCTGGCGCCCCAAAAAGGACTATTTCTGGGACATGTTTTTTCAGGGGTCTATTTGCGAAATAAGTTTTTCAAAAGGACCAAAATGTGAAAAATCCAGTCAACTTGAACCTATAGCTAAATTAATTAGCTAATGTGGATATAATAACTAGCTTATCATTTCCCTCCAAATCAAAATCAAAATTGATTAGTAATATGCATGACAATTAAGTTGCCATCCAGCTCATGCATGCCTATCAAAGACTGGCCACAATGTGTGTACTTGAATTGTAAATGCAGATGGGCGTGATCGGGGAGGAGTTGGCTGCCGACTTCATCCTCTCCACCGGCGACAATTTCTACAACGATGGCCTCACCGGCGACAACGACACGGCCAGCTTCCAGGAGTCCTTCACCAACATCTACACCGCTGATAGCCTCCAGAAGCCTTGGTACATTGGTAATAATAATTGCAACAATAATATTATGTCCACCATATACATACATATTGAGATGTCAATGATAAACAAGATCTCATCGGTTATGTGTCTTGATCTAGATTGGTCTTCTGTAGTTAATTTTACTATCCTTAAAAAAAAAAAATAGGAGGTACCATATTTTTCTAATATAAAATTTGATATCAGGTAACTCGATGTATCAAAATATTTTTTTTAAAAAAATCCAAATGTTTTCTCAAGTACCGTAAAATTCCTCATCTCTCATACCCACATATATTTATATGCGCAATTGCATGTGTATAGTTCTCGGCAACCATGACTACACTGGAGATGCCCTCGCACAGCAGAGCCCCGCCATTCGCGCCGTCGATAGCCGTTGGACCTCCATTAACAAGTCCTTCATCGTCGACTCAGGTATGTACTTGCATATGACACATCGTCGTATCATACCAACCAATTCATCCAAAAGCTTTCCATAGGACGATACGTCTGAAGAAGAAAAAGAAATATGTGTAACAATTGCTCATTTTTTAAAATATATGAAATTAAAGATATCGCGGAGTTCTTCTTGGTGGACACGGTGCCATTCGTGCAGAAGTATTGGAACGAGAGCAAGTTCGACTGGAGACAGGTCGCCCCTCGTGACACCTACCTCTCCACTCTACTCACAGTAAGTTATTGGGTAAACTAGGCCTTTGCTTAAACAGAAACTATACACTACTAGAAAAATGATTTTTACAAACGAAAGCATTCTTACTGGCGGGCTATATAGTTCATATGTACACGAACTAGAGCTGTTATTTAATCGCGGTTGCTTGCACGGATGCAGGATTTAGGAGACGCGATGTCGCAGTCGAATGCGACGTGGAAGATCGTGGTTGGACACCACACCATCAGCAGCGGCTGCGAGCACGGCAACACCACCGACCTCGTCGCCATGCTCCTCCCTGTCCTCAAGGTACACCCTATACATTGAATCATCGATCAGTTTAAGTTCACGTATGAGCTGAGTTCAAATTCTCTGGCAAAATCCACACAAATTAAATCCAAACCCTGACCGAAACACTCCTTTTTTTTTCTTTCGAAAACTTCAGACCTATGGGGCTGACATGTACATCAACGGCCATGATCATTGTTTGCAGCGCATCACCAGCATTGACAGGTAATTATAACTTTAGCACCAAAAAAGTTTTACGATCTTGAAAGGTACTGGGCATTATATTTTGTATGCAAATATCATTTTTTTATCATGTAAAATTTGATAGGCATCAATAGGTGTCACATATATTTTGTAGTGCAAAATTTAGTATTCGAGAAATGTAAAATTTGTCCTTTAGCACATACCACTATTACATTGGTTACCATTCTAGCTACCATTGGTGTTAAGTTTAAATTCTTTTTCTTATCGAATTCGATGAAATAAAAATTATAGCCCACTTGAATTCATCACGAGCGGGGGCGGGTCGAGGGCGTGGGCGGGGAAGTTTAAGCAAACCTCGGACAAGCTGGAGTTCATCTACGACGGGCAAGGGTTCCTGTCGATGCAGCTGACGATGGCGGAGGCCAGCTTCGCCTTCTATGACGTCACCGGCGCCGTCCTGTACAGCTGGCAGCTCGCCAAGTCAACCTCCACCAACTAGTGATCAAAGTCAACACTTAATTATTGTGTTAATTAGCTGCTTATGTGTGTGAAATTGGAACAGTCAATGTACTGCTTCAGTTATCGATATATATACTGTGACAAAAGATGCACGGTGTATAAATAGTGTGTGTGTTTGTATACGTAAGTATGCAAGAATGTTGCTGTTTGTAATTGCATCCTAAGTTCATGGGATAAGTTATAATGGCTATCTAAATGATATTCAGTGTGCGTATATGCTAATGCTTATATGAGATCTGATTTTTATCCATTATGTCGAAAAAATATGTACAAATGCTTTTGTTTCAAGTAGTTCAGAAATGAATAATGTCGTTTCATCTGGTAATCCAAACTGCTACTTGATCCCCTTTTTTTTGGTGAGGAGCTAATTAATCTTTTTTAAAATTATCTAACTCTTCCCTCAAAAAACAAAATCTAACTCTCCTTCTTGAGAAATTCAGCAAATGCGGATTTCATATATGAAGGAACCGACATATAATTGCTGCAAACTCTATGTTTTTATTTTTGAAAAAAGAAAATCAAAATTATGAGCACATGGTCACAGGCATTGCACCCACACCTAATCTAAATTTTGTACAAAAATAACCACAAATTAGGACCCCCAACAACTACAGATACGTTCACGATAGAAAATGAATAATCAATCTTTGAATTCACATGATCAGTCGTCTACCACTGTCAGCCTGTTAGGGCTCAATGCAACCACTGAGCTCTAAAGAGTATTGCTGGCTAAATGGACTAATTGTGTGTGTGTGTTAAAAAACATTGTTGGATGGGCCATTTCAAAGCCCATTAGTTTTTTTATTGGACATGATGCTAACAAAATGGCTTAATTTGCTCCTGCATTTGAGTTGTCAGCCAGAAATATATTATTAATTAGTTATAACCCACTGAACACCTAAAATTTAACATGTAAAAATTGTATTTATTATTATTTCTAAAGCCTAACATGCAAGTATGCCAGATCAACTTACTAAACACTTAAAACTCAACATGCAAACATAGTAACTATTACATTCTAAAACTCGGCATATACATTATAAATCATCATTCTCAAATCATTTTAAAAATATTTCAATCCAAATCCATCCATCATTTGTACAATATTTAACATATACTCATTCATATATTCTACCGCAAAGCGCGGATGCCATCCAGTATAACTCAAAAATAGCCCATGACATGGGGTTTTAGTTATCTATTGGATTGTGCTGATGCGAAACTGATAAAGCCAAGCCACACATGTATTTTTGCCACATGGTCAGGGACAGATAGAACGAAATAGAGGGAGTGTCACTCCCTTACTTTACTAAAGAGGGTGTTTGGATTTAGGGACTAAACTTTAGTCTATGTCACATCGGATGTTAGAACACTAATTTGGAGTATTAAATATAAACTACTTACAAAACTAATTGCATAAATAAGAGTTAATCTGCGAGATAATTTTTTAAGCCAAATTAATCCATAATTAGCACATGTTTACTGTAGCATTACATAGGCTAATCATGGATTAATTAGGCTATAGATTTGTCTCGCGAATTACTCTAGGGTTATGAAATAAGTTTTGTCATTAGTCTATGTTTAATATTTCTAATTAGTGTCAAACATCCGCCCCCAGACCGAATTTAGACTGATTCGGGTGCTTGAGTTTGGACTGAGGTGATGTACATGCGGTTAGAATAGATAAATTATAGTATAAAAAGAATGGATTAGGCTACTGGACACCCGCACCTCTCCTATGTAGCTCCGCCTACACACAAGTCAGCTTAGATGCAACATACAAATTTACTTGCAAAACATACACTTCATTTTCTTAATTTGTGTGAAAAATTTCTACTTTGCCGTTAGTGTTGAATCTTAATCCCTAACTACCCAGATTGAATTTCCAATCTTTTTATTGAAAAGGAGGCAAGTGTTCAGCTAGTCAATCAATTAAATGAAGGTTGGAAAGTATAGGTAGGAAAGCCGAAAGGGGTGAACCCAATGGGAACAAAATAAACAGCTGAGAGAAATTGCGAGCTGCAACCTTACAAGTTCAAAATGGGAATGGGAGAAGAAACAACTGTGAGCCAAACATGAAAAGAGGGGTTGATCATCAAATATTGTATGCTGAGACTCTCTAGTATGAGAAGCAGCTTCGAGCACCATATTTTGGCTGGCTCTACAATCTAGGTAGTTTTGTTTTTTTATTATTTCCAACCGTTTCTACATTATATAGTCATATAGATGACCACATTGTTGAAATAGCATCATAGATCATTGGGGCATAGGTGGTTTCTGCGGCTGCACTCAACTATTGACCGATCTTGTCAAAGGTAGAGCGACTTGCTAGTCATAGAACGTTATAGGTGTACTTTTTTATTACAAACATATGGATTCAAACAATAACGGCTAATAACAGAATTTAACAATCATTTTATTACGGTTTTAGATAATGAAAGTAATTTCTAGCCATTGCGATGATCATGAATTACTTCCACCTACATGTTTCAAATGACTTCTTAATTAATGGATTGTTTCACTCATTTCTACAACTTTCACTTCCATGTTGCATGATTGTAGACAAAATTAACATGTTCAATTCATGCGTTCCAAGCATGCGTGCCGTACTTATTTTCCCGCGCAAAAAGGCAAAGCGTGACCTGGCAATCTAGCAAAACCTCCAAGTCTCATACCGTGGGCCCCACCCACCATTCCCCCCATCCGGGCCCACCTGCAGCCGCACATTGTCCCCGTGCCGTTTTCCTAATTATATTTACCTCCATTGCCACTCCTCTTTTTTTTTCTCCTAATATTTACCACCATTGCCATTCTCCCCCTATAAATACACGCACGCACCCTCTTCTTCCACCTCGAGCCAGCCATAGCCTCCTCTCCTCTCCACGCGACGAGCAAGTGGAGGAGCGGCGGCGGCGGCCGGCGATCGAGCTGCTCGATCGGCCATGGATGCTCCAGTTATTACACTCCTCGTCTTCCTCGTCGCCGTCGCTGCGGCAACTGCGGCGGCGGAGATGCCGCGGATGGAGCACCCGCGCAAGGGCGACGGGTCGCTGAGCCTCCTCGCCGTCGGCGACTGGGGGCGCCGCGGCGCGTACAACCAGTCGATGGTCGCCGCGCAGGTAATCGATTGATTTTGATTGATTAGTTGGCGGTGATGATTTCGTTTTGCTAAATGTGGCTAGTTAATTATTAATGGCCTAATTATGAAATACTGTAATGCAATGTGGGTTAAGGTAGAAGAAATCAAGAAAACGAGGAGGTTGGTTTTGGAGGCTATGTGGAATTGTAAATTAAGCTCATGTTTAGTGCTCTCTTGTTTTTTTAAGGAAGAAAACAGAGTGTAGTATCTACTCACTATCTATCACGTGCGTATCAAAAGATACTGATTAAAAATCAGAGCAAATTTGTTGGTATTATATTATATTAAAGAAGAAAATGTGCGAAAAGTTACTTTAAACTACACGTACGGCTGTATTCGGCAGCCACCTTTCCTCCGCAGGCACGCTTTTCAAACGGCTAAACGTTGTATAGGAAAGTTGCTTTAAATCATATTGTTTTTTTAAAAAAATAGTTAACACTTAATTAATTACACACTAATTAACTGTTCCGTTTTAGGTGCTAGGAGTGAAGGTTGTTAATCCTCACACCCGAACTCAGCCGCATAGCTGGCTAGGGCGCCTTTTCACCTTTTATCTTCTTTACTCAATTGATACTAATTTCCTCCTTGATATCTAACATTTTTGTTATTTGAAAAAAACAAAATTGTTATTCTAGTGGTGATAGAACCAGGTTTCCCAAACCGTTGGTAACCGCGCGGTTACCGCGGTTACCGGCCTTACCGCGGAGGTACGGTAATAGAAATACCGTGGTAACCTCCTTAGATTCAAATAAATTTAAAAAATAATTTGAATTTTTGATAAATTTTGCACGGTTTCGTACGGTTTTTCATGGTTATTGCGGTTACCGCGCGGTAACCGTACCTACGACGGTTTGGGAACCCTGGATAGAACTAGATGCAAGTGTGTGTATTTTTCACATCTATCTAGCTCAGTTGATAATAGTATATTTTAAAAAGGAATGACGCTTTAGGATGTGTGCAGTCAACATAATTTAATTTTGACTTTGAAGAGTTTATAACAACCTCCTTTCGTTTTTCAACATAATAAGGGCATATTCACTTTGATGCCATTTTCAATCTTACCAAATTTTGGTAAAGTTGCCAAAAAAGAGCTAGATTTAGTTTGCTACCAAATTTTGGTAACTATATAAGAAGGGCCTGTTCACTTTGATGCCATTTTCAAACTTACCAAATTTTGGTAAAGTTGTCAAAAAGAAAGTGGCTACATTTAGTTTGCTGCCAAATTTTTGGTAACTATATAAGAAATGGTAATGCCAAAATTTGGTAAGGTTTTTTTTTGGCATCAAAGTGAACAGGCCCGAAATCATACGAAAATTTTGGTAAGTTGCCAAAATTTTGATAACTATGCCAAAATTGATAAGGTTTTTTTTTGGCATCAAAGTGAACATGCCCTAAATAAATATGAGTATGTGACGAATTGAGACCAATCCTTTGCATCCCAATGCACAACACATAAGTGAACAAAATTAAATGAGCAACAAAATGTGTGCATGCAGATGGGAATAGTAGGGGAGAAGATGGACATCGACTTCGTCATCTCCACCGGCGACAACTTCTACAAGAACGGCCTCACCGGCGTCGATGATAAGGCCTTCGAAGAATCCTTCTCCGACATCTACACCGCCAAGAGCCTCCACAAGCCATGGTACACCGGTAAGTAATAATCCAACGCAATGCAATCTGCTTATCTGAATGCTACTACCACACCAAAATGCAATGCGATAAAAAAAATTTGGAGACAGAGACGTCTCTCTAAATATTTTTTAAAAAGAAATAGTGAGCGTGATAGAAATTAAACACAGAACTTCAAAGTTGAAACCGCACTTTCCCAGCCACTACACTATCAAATGCAATGCGATCTGATTATCTGAATGCCACCATCAAATTTCATGCACTGATCTGAATTACTCTGAAGAAAGAGAAATAGATTATTGATTTTCTATTTGTGTATGGTGATAATTGATAATTTCGATATTGATAACAAACATGCAGTTCTTGGCAACCATGACTACAGGGGCGACGCCCTCGCCCAGCTGAGCCCTGTTCTTCGCAAGGTCGACAGCCGCTGGATCTGCATCAAGTCCTTCGTCGTTAGCGCAGGTGAGTAAACGACACTGACAGTCTGACAGAGTCTTTGTCTTGATTCAATCTTTAGCATCTTTTACTCTGATCCGTTAAATTAGCTGGCACCATTTGAGATCAAGAATTGGATATGTGTTTATATGTATTTCGTTCACATTTTTGTGTTGGTTTGGTTTTGGTTTTGAATGAAAAAAAATTTAAAACTGATCAGAGATCGCGGATTTCTTCTTCGTGGACACGACGCCGTTCGTGCTCAAGTACTGGACTGATCCCAAGAACAGCAAGTACGACTGGAGAGGGGTTTCTCCCCGTGAAACCTACATTGCAAATGTCCTCAAGGTAAATTAATTAATCATTTAATCCCAACAAATTAAGCTCTGATCCTGCAGTTCCTGATGAATTATTTGCTCATTTTTTTCATAACTTGTGTGTTAATTTAATTCCTTTTTTGTTTTCAGGATCTGGAGGATGCACTGGAGCAGTCCAAAGCGCCGTGGAAGATCGTGGTCGGACACCACGCCATCAGGAGCGTCAGCCAGCACGGCGATACCAAGGAGCTCCTGGAGCATCTCCTTCCAATCCTCAAAGTAGTATATGCATTTCTTTTTCTTTTTTCGATTACGCGGCAGACGTATACGCGCACACCCCTATATAGGCTCACATTCCGTGAATGCATCCCTAACACATACTCTAATAAATGAAAACTAGTGATATATCTCTGATCTCACTAAATTTCTATTGAAAGGCCACCTACGTATACGCAGTAGTTGTGAACCCCGGAATTTAAATCCATCCTATGGGTGGAGTCATACACGCATGACTCTACCACCACACCTCCGATGCTTCCAACATTTCTTGACTCGAGTTGGTGATCTGAAATATATATTCTGAACTTCTTTTCACCATGGTGTAAATTTGTATGAAAAAAATTGCAGGCACATGGAGTTGATCTCTACCTCAACGGCCACGACCACTGCCTCGAGCACATCAGCAGCAGGGACAGGTAAAGAATTTGCCGGAATTTCTCTGCAAACTCGATAAAATTCGTCTGAATTTATGCCTAGTCTGAAACTCTGAATTGAACAAAAAAAACTTATAAATAAATTGCAGCAAGATTCAGTACCTGACGAGCGGGCCGGGTCGAAGGCGTGGCGCGGGGTGCAGACGGCGAACACGGACAAGGTGGAGTTCTTCTACGACGGGCAGGGATTCATGTCGCTGCGGCTGACGGCGGCGGAGGCTAGCCTCGCCTTCTACGACGTCGCCGGCAAGATCCTCCACACATGGATGGTCGCCAAACCAGCCACCGGGTACTGAGATAGTGAGATTGCGAGCAGCTAGCTAGCTCTGTGATGTACTTGATGGTGTAATGGCAAGCGGTGTGTGGTTTCAACCTAAACCCCCGAGGTGTTCGACGGTGAAACTTGGGTTTTGGTGCTATTGCTATGTCAACGGGGATGAGTTTTCTCATGATTGATTGAAATCTTATTCGTCTAATTCCTCCTTCGGGACTTGTTCGGTTTGAATGGAATTGAAGAAAATTGAGAGGGAATAATTTCACATCAATATATGTGTAAAATAAGAGATTTTCTAAGGTGCTTGAACTCCTTGTCCACCTCCTCAAGTTTACCTCGAAGAAGAAGAATATGCTCAACGGACTTATATGAGGAGTAGCCTTTTGGTGTGACCATAGACTCCACAGTGGCTTATCCCCAATCAACCCTCTTACGGAATCTACTGGCTTGAGCGTCTAGTAGACCGTAGGTAGTCCTGATATGCACCTTGTCTAACCATGATGGCTCTTTCCCATTGCAACATTGACACCGTGGTTTTCACACATCGCTACTAGTTTTGTTGTTTCCTTGGGAAAAGTGATTATCGTCAATTATATCCAATCATATATGTTTGTGTCTCTCAATTCTCTAACCAACTTATTTTTTCGTTGGCATCGGTAGTGACGGAGTTAGAAATTACAAAAGACTAGGGTTAAGATCAACATAGGCTTAACTAACAAAGTTTTGGTTTTCTACAAAATTTACACGATGATTTAACAAAATTTAAACAAGATTTTAGAGACAGGCCTAATGTCAACCGGTCAAGCATTAGTTACCCCAGGCATGCTTCCGTTCTTAGGCATCCATGCTTTTCTATAAACTGTAAACTTACCCTTAAGATAGTGCCGTGTTGCCAATCACCACAAGGCCCAAAATATTAGAGGACCTAAATCCTAATCCACTTACTTAAAATATAATATTTAATAAGATTAAAAAACACCCATTTTAATAAGATTGAAAAAACACCCATTTTTTACCTGCAGTACATAATGTTGAGTACTATACCTTCAGCTCTAACATTTGATAACCTGCATTAAGGCAACCCCAAAACCTGGTGTCCAAGCCTGGTTGAACTTGAATTTTCGTACGATGGAATTTTTGCCCTAGATTTGCGCTTTTCTCCCGGCCCACTTTAATTGGCATGAACACACATACATGCGTATACTCTCTCCATCAAAAAAAAAAAAAAGACAAACACTGGATTTCCATATCCAACGTTTGAATGTCCGTTTTATATGAAATTTTTTTATAATTAGTATTTTCATTGCTGTTAGATGATAAAACATGATTAATACTTTATGCGTGACTTGTCTTTTTAATTTTTTTTTATAATTTTTTTAAATAAGATGGACGGTCAAAATGTTGGACACGAAAACTTAGGATTTGTCTTTTATTTTTTTTTGTTTGGGACGGAGGGAGTACGTGCTACTGGTCATAAAACGATAAAATGAATTATCCATACAGCGTGACGCCCACTGTATATGATATCCCTTGTGCCTTTTGCCAGTCTGGCATGCCGTTTGGCTCCAACACTCGTCAGTCATGACCCCATTCGGTGCGTGCGTCAGCTGAGTCACGTTCCGATCGAGATCGAGATACGAGGTCTCTTTGGTAGATTGGTAGTAGAGCTTTAGCTTCTTTTAAACATAGAACTAACAAAACGATTTTAGCTTCATAAAAAAAATAAAATGGGATAAGAAAATAAACTGGAAAGGTGAAGCGAAGTTTCCATCGTCCCACAACTTTCATAAGGCCGAGTTTAGTTCCAAACTTTTTCTTCAAACTTCCAACTTTTTCATCACATCGAAACTTTTCTACACATAAACTTCCAACATTTCCGTCACATCGTTTCAATTTCAACCAAACTTCCAATTTCAACCAAACTTCCAATTTTAACGTGAACTGAACACACCATAAATACTTCACTCTTGAAATTAAATTGAGTACATAGAGTCCTGTCAAAGGAATAGCATACCTGTCGATATCTACAGGAGTATGGCGTGCGTAAGAAAACGCAATGATTTGATTCAAGTATTATTTGTCGACGAATATTCTAAGCAATTTTCCGAGGCTAGCTTAGCTTATCTGTATCTGATCCATTCCAGTACGCCATATCTTGGCTGTTTTCTGTTTTCCTTTTCTTTTCCTACATTTAATGCCCATGTGTATTATATAACAAGAATCCAAATCATATATATCTACAAAGTCCATCCTCACTAAATATAGTTAATGCTAATTCTCTCTTCTCTAGCTAAACAACGTCACCTTTTTAGCTTTTGGTTTTGGATGATTCATTGAGAATGTAAATTCACATTTTCTCCAAAAAACCACACCATGCATCTCAATCATTTATAACTTATGAATAATTGATTAAGGTACAAGATACAGAAAACACATAAAAGAAAATTGAATAGTAAGCAAGAAAATAAATTTTACAACTGATATATATTATTTTGTTATATAGTTCTCCCGCAGCCCATATTACGCTTTAAATCTTAAAATTTAAAATAAAATTATTTACACTGTAAAACCATTATATTATATTGGCCATCATTTTGTAGTTCAGTTTAAAATAAATTTGGTTTTGTTTGATGGTATGAGTTTGAAAAATGGACAAACCTTTACCCATCTCACCTTCATCAGTACAGATAATTATTGCCCACGTTTCCAGCAGGGTTGGACCAAGCGTGCGGACAGATCGACGCCCAAGCAAAGGTGGGGAATCTTTGTACTTGATTTGTTGTCACACGCATCCTCGCCTTAATTTTATTTTATTTTTTATTTTTTTAATTTTAAAATAGACCCTCCAAAACTTATTTTCATAATATGAACTTTTTCTCACACCAGCTCGTATTCGTAGCAAAAACAATACTGACGAGCCACACATAACGAGTGTAACAATTTTATTCTGTGACGTCAGCAAGGGGTGTGTGTGACCAAATAACGTTGTCATACCAGCCAAACCGATGTGACAGTATTGTTTTGCCATGCCTGGCATGGCCAATAAGTTCAGGTTTTGAAAATAAGTTTCAAAAGTATTTATTTTAAAAATAAAAATTAAAAAGTTCAAAAAATAAAAAAATTATCCTCACATCCCCGGCCCGGGAACCCGTTTGTATCGCATGAGCATGCTACCATACCTGCATCATACTCCCTCCGGTGTTAAAATTGTCAATATTTTAGCTGCGAAGCAAAGTATGCTAATTCTGGGCTTTGCTTGAGCATTTTAGACATGATTAAAATCCAACGCGTTGTTTTTAGCGTTGCGCATACCATTATACAGGATTTTTCATATTTATTTTTCTTAAAGATTTACAAAAATAAACTATTATTTCAAAGTTTTGCAAAAATATGCCCATCGTTACCTTCTCGTCTGAAACAGGAGATGACGTTGCTTTCAAAATACTGTAGGACGGGCATATTTAAAAAAACTAGCATGGTGGCCCGCGCAAATAACGCGGCCAGCATCATTATATTTTCTCTCATATAATAGCATATATGTTTTCTCATTATATTATTCAAATATATTAAAATGACAATATAATTTTAAATTTTGCAATAACTTTACGAAACTACTAAAGTGTAATATTCATATTGTATTTTATATATGTGTTAGTTATTAATTATTTTTAATATTATTTGTAAATTATATATATTCCTATATGGACTCTATACTTGTCTTTTAATATTTCTTTTTTTTTAATTCTGAATTTTTATTATTTCTAATTGTATTACTATGTGGACTCTAAACTCATCTTTCAATATTCTTTAATTTTTAATTTCAAATTTCAGTTACTTCTAAATTATATTCCTATATTGATTTTAAAATCTTCTTCACATGTTTTTATTAATTTCGAATTTTAGTTATTTGTAAATTGTATTTTTATATGGACTCTAAACATTACTTTTAATTTTATTATGTTTATTCCGAATTTTAATTAGTTTTAAATTCCTATATGGACTCTATACTCTACTTCTAATATTCCTTTTTTAATTCCGAATTTCTATTTTTTTTCTTAATTGTATTTTTATATGGACTCTATACTCTACTTCTAATATTCCTTATTTTTAATTTCGAATTTCTATTTTTTTTCTTAATTGTATTTCTATATGGAATATATACTCTACTTCTAATATTCCTTATTTTTAATTCCTAATTTCAGTTATTTTCTAATTGTATATCTATATGGACTCTAGTCTCCTCTTCTAATATTCCTTATTTTTTAATTCCGAATTTCAACTATTTTTAAATTGTATTTCTATATGGACTCTAGTCTCCTCTTCTAATATTCCTTATTTTTTTAATTCCGAATTTCAACTATTTCTAAATTGTATTTCTATATGGACTCTGCTTTTTCTTTTTCTCCGATTAATGTGAGAATTTCTAGGCCATGAGAACGAACGTGGAGACTCCTTTTTCTATTCTTTTAATAATATAATAATAGATAGATAAACGGGCGGTGGAAAGTTCTCCAATGAACCATTGTCCTGTTTAACAAAACTGTGCATCATTATATCTTTTTTTTTTCTTTCAGATTAGTACCATGTAAAAACCCGGAACGCATATACATCAGTATCCGTATTTGCAGAAGCAAACCAGAAGAACAAAAAAACAGATCAGGCCTACATGATCCAAGTCAGCACATTATCTAAAAAAAAATGATCTAAGTCAGCAAAGAAATGCCGATCTCTCGCCTATGCAAGTTTCTCAATGGTTACCAATCTACAGACACATGAAACATTGAACTTTTTTTCGATGCTCCAAACGCAGTGCAGATGATGGATCAAGGCCGTCAAGGCACTGTCCAGTGGGTGCCGTGCCGATTCTCGATCCCAGCAACAGTACAACGACGACCATGCTACTCAACACGCTCAAAGAAGAGGATTTCCGGGCGGAGTTTGGACTGACGGTACCGCTCGATTGACTCTTGCCAGGATCCAGCAGGCTGCAAGGACAAACAAAGAATAATGATATGGAGAATATTGAACCAAATGTGAGTCAAAAACTCAAATATGAAAGTTGATCAGGAATTGCCTCGGCTGTGCTGCCATCATATATGATCCACCTGTTCTTCTCACGAGCAAAGCAGCGGTATTGCCTCTGATCGTCACAGCATACCTGACAAGACAGTATGGGAATTACCCAGATAAGTATTATTTCCATCCAGTCAAGAATATTTGATGCCGGGTGCCACCAATCGTAGCAGTGCTGGCGTCAAATAGTTCTGACTGGAGTAGCACACAGATGCAATTGAGAGAACAATAGAAGTAAAACTTCACACTGGTAAGACAAGTATTATTACTTGTGATAATCTGACAATAAAGAACCAATGTAACATCTATCGGCTAGCAACTAAGCAGCCCACAAAAAGGAAAATAAAAATTTACAGTGATGTTCCAATAAGCGTAACTTTCTCAATATGATAGCACAGAAATATTTCAAGTTAACTGATCTGACAAGTATAACATAAATGACAATATATATTTCCGGCACAAATTACAACATATCTTAAAATCACTCCGGGAGCAGAATACTTAGGATCTGTAATAGCTAATGAGTAGCATCCAAAATAGAAATGCTCGTATGTGTATCTCAGGGAAGAGTAACTAGTCTTTAACATTTGATACCAGAGCAGCCACAAAGGATTCACACGTACAATTATTGTGACAGTTGAACAGCTTCAAGCTAACTAATACAATCAAATGGCTAACTACATTTACTTCCTCCCTATGTCCCCTAGTAGAAGTAATGGACAGCCGACAGCCTCAGTTGAGAGCACACTAAAACTTAGAAGAAGAGGAAAACACATGTCAATATCAGGACAAGTGAATTCACATTTTCAAAGATAACAGAGATTTCTCCCAGCACATACCGCAGAAACCAGAGTATACATGCATCCTGAATGCAGACCTCTGTAGATATGACTAATGTCCAACTCTGTTGCTAAGCTGATCAATACTTCATGCATGTTATTGTAGCTCCCATTGATATCCTCCCAATCAAAAACTGTGAGAAAACAGCAAAATAAGAGAAATCAAATAAGTTTGCAATTGTAAATATTATCATTAGGATAAGAGCTAAGCTCAATAGATGGGAGGTGTACATCCCCAACCCAGATTCATCCTCTAGCTCTGATCTAGGTGTCTTCTCCTCAATGAAGCAATATATCTAGTTCCTCCTAGACATTCTTGATTTAAGTTCTACGCTTAGCTCAATTCATGGAAGACGCAGATGTACCACAGGAGTACCGATCAATTCACAGAAGACCCTCATTACTCAGCACAAGAGTCCTCCATAGTTCCTTTTTTCATATTAATAAAAGCAATAATTATTTCCTCCCAAGTGTTCCCTAAATTATTGGAAATGAACAAAATGGTTTATGATGTGAAATTAACTCAGTGGTACGTCATGGCGATTAATTTTTTTATTTTATCGTTACCCTAGCACATATGGTATATTTTATATTCAACGATTGAATTAGTTTTCACTTTTCAGAAAAAAAAAACATCATATGCCATACCGATCAAATGATTTCATCCACTGACCTTACTTTTTCTCCTAAATAGATGAAACATATTCAAACAATTTACATTGAAATGTCAGTTCAGTTGAGAAGGCAACCCTACCGGTCATGAACAAACGTGGTGGACATAAAAGAGAGTACTGGGCAACCTTCTGCCCAACACTTCCATTCCTGGACTCTCTAGCTACCAAGAGTTCGCTGAAAGACTTGAACTGAAAAAGTGAAGAGATGTTAGTTTACTAACTAATGGAACTAAATATATAAAAAAAAGGAAGGAAAAAAAATACACTGTGAAGTGTGCACCTTAGTTTCTCCTCCAGCGCCCAATTCAATAGAGTACGCAAATTTGGTGTGCACCATATTCAGACAGTTGAATTTATTTTCATAAAGGTGTAACCCAAAGAGATCATGCACTAGGCATATACAACCCACTAAACTTGGCTCGGTTGGTGTTTGCAGTTCCGAAGTTTCACCCCTGAACTCAAAATGCAAAGGAGTATGTGACGAGTGCAGCCTCTGAAAAAGGCTTTTCACAATTTTGGATGCAGTCATTTTTCCACTCTGCAAAAAACAAAAAACATTTTCTCATTAGCTATGAGCCTATCTGCAGAAATGGAAGTAGAACTGAACCTGGTCTAGTCTAAGGACAGTATAAAGGTTATTCAAGGATCAAATTAGTCACAGAATAATTTGCAGAATTTAACCTGCCATATTCTATCCGGACAAAAAGGATTTTAATCTAATCTGCTCCAAAGAACTTCAGATTGAGGTGCACAAAATGGCTAAAAGTGTTGCTCAAGGGGACTATGGAGTCAGAACAATGTATAGTGAGTAGAACCTTATCTACTTTATTTATATTTACAACTTATCTGACATAACTAAGAGTAGACTGTAGAGACATGGAGATGGTACACTTTGGTTACAAAAGTATGTGTTATCTTTTGCTGGAGGTCACAGATTGCAATTAAATAGGTTGGAAACAAATAGTGAATGGAACGGACCTTTTTTATCAGAGAACTTGTAAAATCTGCAAATCTCGTCGAACCACTTGGTTCACATGGTTTGCCGTCTTTCACAAGATCCCAAGAATCAAAGATTTCAAGCAATTCCTTCTCAATTTGAAAGTCTCCAACTGTAACATCACGACATTCACGTGGAATCTTCTGGAGAGTATCATGGAATCGCCTTATGTGCCACAAAGACTGCAGATAGTCAGCAGAAATTAGAGAAAACTAAACCAATAGGCAATAGCTAAATATAGAAAAATGAATGAGGCAAACACAAGTTACCCGGAGAATCACATTCAAAGGAGCTTGTAGTTGAAGACCATTTGGTGGAGGAAGAGGTAAAACCTTCTCAGGGGGGTTATTATTCAATTTGGCCTGTCAACAATAAATAGCACACTGAAGAAAAAGTTACAGAAAAAGTGCATAGGAGTTCATCAGTTGGTGATAGAAGAACTGTACTGACCCAAAGGTAAGACTTTGCAATAGGTAAAATGGCTGCAAGATAATCCACTTTACAGGCTTCCAAAAGCCTTTTCTTCTGGTAATCCACCTCAGCATCAATTAATAGCATTTCAGTCTGTACAGAGCCAATCTGCAAATACAGCAAGTAGGATTTAAGCATTGATCAACAAGTTCAAGATGCTGTTTACAAAACTGAAGAGCAAACAGAATGCAGTAAAAAGGAAGGCGATACCCCATCATAAAAATAAGGCTCGATGTCAATATCACTCTCAAGGATGGCCTTAGGAAGGAAATATACACCTCCTTTTTGTTTTAGTTCTTCACATGAGCTGCATTTCAGCTTCAGTTTATCCAATTCTTCAGTTATCTTTTTAAAGATGGCAGGTCCAAGATTAACACATTTTTCCCGCATGCCAAGCCATGATTCACAGCGATCCTCAAGCAAAGATTCGCAGAATAGCCAGTCAAAAAATTCATCTGGCTGGCTAGAATCATCAGTTTTTCTTGAAGCATTCTTCCGATAATCAAAAAACAAGGTGCCTGACTCTTCCATCCATGTAGCCAAACCAAGCGAATCCTTCTGGTTCTCTTGTTTATAGTCTGTATGGGTATGTGGAAGCCACTTAAGCAAATCAAGCAGTTCCTTGAGGTGCGCAGAACTCAACTGTCCAATCCCGCAGGAGCCGCACATGGATATCACAGAAGGTTTTACTGGCCTGACCCGGCTCATGATGAACTTGTACATGATGTACAGAAGGCTGAGAGAAACGGCATCCTTATCAATGAGCCAAGAAACAATGCTCTTAAGCTTGCTCAAGATCAATGCCCTCTCTGCCAAATCATCTCCATCGCTTGGCATCGGCTCCCATCTCCATGATTTGAGAAGCTCCATCTCACAGCCAGTTACTCTTTCAGGCATTGATGACCGCAATTCTTTCTTGCAACCCGCAATGTGGAAGCTGTCGATGTGCGACATGAACTCCGTAGCATCCACAAAGATGACGAAGCAGAAAGGGCAAAGCCGATACGAAAACGACCCACACCCGTTGACGAGCTCCTCAGCACCTGAGAGCGCACGTCTCGTCTGCCACCGCGACGTTCCTGATCTTGAAAGGAAATGCGACTTCATATCTTGAAAACTCACCGTGAGGAAGGCTTGCCGCTCCTCCTCGCTCATGCGGCTCCAGCGATGGCGAGCATGGTCGAGGTCGGCGCTCTCCGGCGGCCACTTGGGCGCCACCGACGCAATTGGAGCCACGATTCCCTTGCCCTTCTCGGCCCGGAAACGCAGCAGGCGGATTCTTTCTCGTTCGACGGCAATCCTTTGCTGCTGACCTTTGGGGAGCTGACGATGGCGTTGATGCTGTCTTCCGGCAAGGGGGAGTGCCTGGCCGGGTCGGTGGGCATCCACGCGCCGAGGCCGCGGGCACACTCGCGCACCGCCTCTTCCCAGGATCCCATGCGGACGAGCACCGCGGCGAGCGCCAAGGAGATGTACGGGCAGCGCGGGGCGAGCACCGTCGCGCTCCTGAGGTGAGTCTTCGCCATGACCAGATTCCCGGACGCGAGCCACGCCTCCGCGAGGATGGCGTAGGCGAGCGGCGACTTCTTGTAGCGGCACATGAGCTGCGTCGCGCGCTCGACCGCGTCCGGGCTCCGGCGGAGCACCTGGAGGATCACCCCGTCGGCCTGCTGCGCGAACCGCCGGTCGCAGTCCAGCCAGTCCCGGTTGCTCTTCCTCGGGCTCCGCCGCGGCTCCCCGACGCCAGCCATGGGTGGAGGTGCGGCGCCCGTGCGGGACGCCTCACGACGCCGCGCCCCCGCGCGCGCGAGGTGTTCGGCGAAATGCCGAAGCGGAGGAGGAGGCGGCTTGCGTGGTGGGTGGTGGGAGGGGGATGAGATGGCGTGGGGAGCAAGTCTCCGAGGAGAGAAGGGAAATGTAGCCGTTGGCCGGAGAAGGGAGCTGAGGGGAGGAGGCGGTTGCGTGACTTGGATTGGGGCGTTTGGGGTGGTGGGGCCCACCTCCGCCAGAGGGAGAGGGGAGGGGAGGTGGGGCCCACTCGAGAAGGCGGAGGAAGACGTACGGCGGCGGCGGCGGTGGCCGCGCTTCCATTCTGGAAGTTTCTGGAAGCGGCGGGCCGGCGCGCGGGAAGGAGGGAGGGGGAGGTGGAGAGGGAAAGAGGTCGGAAGAGGAAGAAAGGAGAGAGGAAGGGGGGGGGGGGGGGGGAGGGTGCTTTGTAAAAAATTGAATGTTCCGCCTTGTATTTGGGCCGCGTCGTGCTTCGGCCGAAAAAAATGGGCTGAAGTACGGGCTTAAAAATGGATGGGCCTAAACTGCGTCACTACTACTGATGAGCATAGTTGGGTGGGTATAACAATCACTACTACTGCGGTACTGCCTCCATCCAATTCTAAGGATTTTGGAGGTACGTGACGCCTATCTAGATTCGTAGTACTAGTATATATCATATCTATCTAAAATCTCTTATATTATGAGACGGAGGGAGTACCGGAGATATACAAAATTGCAGTGGAGAGCAGGCAAATGCATATCCATTGCTAGATCAGTACTCGTAATCAAAGAAAAGGCAAGCTCTATCGCCGTATATACGAACCCAGAATTGTGCGTTACAGAACGTTGTTGTATGTACAGCAATAAAGGTATTTGCAGGAGCAACAAGGAAGAACAAACAAACGACTGATACTACTTTCCTACCCTACATGATCCAGAGGCCAGCAAAGAAATGCCAGATCTCGCCATCGCCAAGCAGAGAACGTCAAGTACTCCAGTATATATGCATGAGCATGAATGCCGTGGGCACGATGATCTCAAAAGCACAGGAGTTTGCCCACTCAAAACGCCCCAGCAAACAAGCACCACAACAATCAGCAAGCCTCCAATGGCAAAACCAACCAATCTCTACAGCCACTGAGCCACATCAAACCTTAAAAGTAATGGAATGGTTCAAGGCGCAGTCTGGTCGCGGTGGGTGCCCAATTCTGGATCCTCGACACGCTCAAAGAAGATGATTTCAGGACAGAGGTTGGCCTGACTGTACTGCTGGATTGATGCTTCCCAGGATTCAGCATACTGGAAGGACAAAACAAACACAAATAATGATATCGAGTAATGCTCGACCAAATGTGAGTCAAAACATAAATACGCAAAGTTGATCGGGAATTACCATGGGTCTTCTGTTGTTGTCATATATGAGCCATATGTTGTTGCCGCGAGCAAAGCAAAAGTATTGCCCCTGATCATTACAGCAGACCTGACAAACAGTGTGAAAATTACCAAGGTAGGCATTAGACAGGATGTATTGCAAGAATAACAGAAATAAAACTCCGCGCTGGTAAGGCAAGTATTATCATTTGGGATAACCTGACAGTAATGAACCAGTGTAGCATCTATTGCCAAGCAACTGAGCAGTCGAAAAAGAAAATATCACAAAATTTACAATGATGTACCAGAAGCGCCACTTTCTCAAGATGAAATCAATGGAACATTTCATGATTTCAATCAACTAATTTGACAAGTATAAATTGCAGTCCATATTAAAATCTCATCTGGGGCTTACTTAAGGATCTGTAGTAAACAAAAAGTAGAAATGATCATGTGTGTATCCCAGGGAAGAATAACAGCCAGTCTTAACATTTGTTAGCAGAGCGGTCATAGAGGATTCACACCTCTAATTATCATGACAGTTGAACACCTTCCAAGTTAATTAATTCCCCATTGCCCCCCCCCCACCCACCCCACCCCAAGCCTCGGTTGATAGCACACTAAATGTGCTAAAACGTAGAAGAAAAGCAAAGCACATGTTAACCTCAGGAACATAGATAGCAAAGGATTGTCTCAGCACATACCGCAGAAACCAGAGTATACTTGCTTCCTGAATGCAGATCTCCATAGAAATGACTAATGTCCAACTCTACAGCTAGGCTCATCAATACTTCATGCATGTTAATGTGGCCCACCTTGTCTTCCTTCCATTCAAAAACTGTGAGAAAGCAGCAAAAGAAAAGAAAGCAAATAAGTTTTAAGTGTAAAGCTTATCATTAGGACTTAGGAGGAGAGCTAAGCTCAGTACATGTGAGATCCAAACCCAGATATCAAGTTCATCGAGGTGTTCTCCTCAATGAAACAATATATCTAGTTCCTCCTAGATATTTTCTGTTCTACTAGTTCATGAAAGCTGCAGATGCTGTACTGATCGGTACATGGAAAATCACCATTACTTAGCTTAAGAGTCCTCCATAGTTCCTTTCTTCATATTAATAAAAACAATACTTATTTCATCCTAGGTGCTCCCTAAATTGTAGGAAATGAATAAAATTGTCTCTGGGTACGGAAGGCTGATTTCAAATTAACTCAGGAGTATGTCATGGCATTAATTACTTTGTATTATCATTACACTAGCACATATGGTATGTTTATATTCAATAGTTGATTTGGTTTTCAGCAATAAAAAATCATATGGCATACTGATCACATGATTCCTTTAATTGACCTACATTTTTCTCCTAAATAGAGGAAAGATATATACATAATTACATTCTGAATATTAGTCGAAAAGACAACCCTACCGGTCATGAACAAACGTGGTGGACATTCAAGAGAGTACTGGGAAACCATATGCCCACAACTTTCAATCCTGGACTTCCGAGCTTTCAAGAGTTCACTGAAAGATTCCACCTGAATAAGTGAAAAGATGTTAGTTTACTAACTAATTGAACCAAATACATAAAAAGGGAAAGGAGAAATGGATACACTGTGCAGTGCGCACCTTAGTTTTTCCAACAGCACCCAAATCAATGCTGTGGAGGAATGTAGTATACTGATATTCGGTGTACACCTCATTCACACAGTTGAATTTATTTTCATAAATGTGCAACCCAAAAAGATCATGCACTAGGCATATACAACCCAGGAAGGATGGCTCGACTGGTGTTTGATGGTCCAAAGTTTCACCCTTAAACTCAAAATGCAAAGGAGTTTGTGATGAGTGCAGCCTCCGAAAGATAAATTTCACAATGTCAATTGCAGTTTTCCTTTGTCCATCCTGCAAACAACAACCGATTTACTGATTAGCTACGAGCCTATGACAGCAAGAGGCACAAAAAAATGTATGTTACAGTCAATATGCACTCAGAAATGCATGTGGAACAGAACTTGGTCTGTAGTCTAGAGACAACATAAAGGTGATTCATGGATCAAATTAGTGACAGGATCATCAGCAGAATTTAATCTGTCATATTCTATCCAGAAAAACAGGATTTTAATCTAATCTACTCCAAAGAACTGCAGATTGAGGTGCACAAAATGGCCAAAAGAGTTGCTCAAGGGGACAATGGAGTCAGAACAAGCATAAGGAATAGAAGCTCATCCACTTTATTTATATTAACAACTTATCTGATATAACTAAGATCTAAGAGTAGAGTGTAGACAACATGGAGACGGTTACAATTTGGTTACAAAAGAACGTTGTTACTGTTTGCTGGAGGCCACAGATTTGCAATTAGATAGGTGGGACAAATAGTGAACGCAACAGACCTTTTTATAAACCAGAGAATTTGTAAAATCTGCAAATCTTGTTGAATCACACGGGTCACATGGTTTGCCCGCTTTCTCATTATCCCAAGAATCAAAGATTTTACACAATGTCTTCCCAATTTGAGAGTTTCCATCTTTAACATCAGTGCATTTAGATGGTATCTTCTGGAGAGTATCATGGAATCGCCTTATGTGCCACAAAGACTGCAGATAGTCAGAGAAAATTAGAGAAAAGTAAACCAATAGCTAAATATAAAAAACTGAACGAGGCAAACACAAGTTACCCGGAGAATAATATTCAAAGGTGCTTGTAGTTCAAGACCATTTGGTGGACGAAGGTTATTATTCATTTTGGCCTGTCAACATTAAATATCATACATAAGAAAAAGTTATGGAAAAAGTGAATACGAGTTCAGTTGGTGATAGAAGTACTGTACTAACCCGAAGGCAAGCCTTTGCAATAGGTAAAATGGCTGCAAGATAATCCACTTTACAGGCTTCCAAAAGCATTTTCTTCTGGTAATCTACCTCAGCATCAATTAATAGCATTTCAACTTGTACAGAGCCAATCTGCAAATACAGCAAGTGGGATTTCAGCATTGATCAACAAGTTTAAAATGCATTTTAACAGAACTGGAGAGCAAACAGAATGCAGTAAAAAGGAAGGTGATACCCCATCATCAAAATAAGGCTTGACGTCAATATCAGTCTCAAAGATTGCGTCAGGAAGGAAATAAACATCTCCGAGTTTTTGTTTTAGTTCTTCACATGAGCTGCAGTTAACCTTCAGTTTATTCAATGCTTCACTTATCTTGTTAAGGATATCAGGTCCAAGATCAAGACATCTTTGCCACACACCACCCCATGATACCAAGGGATCCTCAAGCAAAGATTCGTGGAATAGACCATCAACAATTTCATCTGGGTTGCTAGAACCATCAGTGTTTCTTGACACAATCTTCCCATAATCAAAAGACAAGGTGCCTGTCTCTTTCAACCAGGTAGTCACAGCAAGCGAATCCTGCTGGCTCTCTTGTTCACCATTCTGAGCCTTCTGATGTACATAATCTGCAAGGATAGGTGTAAGCTTCTGGAGAAATTCATACAGTTCCTTGAGGTGCGCAGAACTCAACTGTCTGATCCCACAGCACGCGCACATGGATACTACCAATGGTGTCACCGGCCTGACCCGCCTCATTATGAACTTGTGCATGATATACAGAAGGCACAGAGAGACGGCCTCCATATCAATGAGCTGAGAAACAAGTTTCTTAAGCTTGCTCAAGATCTCTGTCCTCTCTGCCAAATCATCTCCATCGATTGGCATCGGTTCCCATCTCCATGATTTGAGAAGCTCCATCTCATTGTCAGGGATTCTTTTAGGTAATGATGACCGCAATTTTTTGTACTCCTCATGCTCAATGTGAAAGTTCTCCATGTGCACCATGAAGCGCTCTTCATCAAGGATAATTTTGAACCCGCACAAAGGGCAAGTCCAACACGAAGACGACGCAGATAACTTGACGAACTGGTCGTGCTCGGCATCCGAGAGCAAACTTATCATCTCTAGCTCCCCTCCTGAGCGGCAGTACGACTTCATATCTTGAAAGCTCACCTTCAGGAAGGCTTGCTGCTCCTCCTCGCTCATGCCGCGCCAGAGATCGCGAGCCACCTGGAGGTTGGCCTCGGCGCTTTCCGGCGGCCAGTCCGGCGCGGGCAACGCGGACTCCGGTGGAAGTGGAACCGCGGTTCGCCTGCACTTCTCGGCCCCGAGACGCAGCCGACGGATCCCTTGTCGGGTATAAGCGATCCTATGCTCCGCGTCCTTGGGGACGATGCGTTTCCTCCGGTAGGGGAGGTGGCGCGCCGGGTCGGTGGGCTGCGGCACGAGGAGGCTGCGGTCGCACACCTCCATCGCCTCGTCGAACAGGCCCATCCGCGTGAGCACGGCGGCGAGCATGAAGGCGGTGCGCGGGCACCCCGGCGCGAGCGCCGGCGCGCGCTCGAGGCGGTTTCTGCTTTTCTCTTTTGAGTTGGGGATGTGGGGACCACGGGAGAAGGGGGGCCCACGCAGCGGAAGGCGTCGTACGCCGGTGGGCGGTGGCCGGGTTTCCATTTCTGGAAGCTTCTGGAAGCAAGCTGCTGCACCGGCGGGGCGGGGCGGGGCGCGCGAAAGGGGAGAGGGAGAGGGGACGGGCGTCGAGCGGGGTCTGTGCCGAACAGGAGGGAGGGGAGCATTGAGATTCGTGCAGGGCAGATTCGATGGCTACCATTTTCTTGAATAATTAATTACGAGAGGTGATAAAAGATTTACCATTAGATACACATTTGAGCCCACATGTTATAGACAGCGAGCGACAAATGATTAATTGCCACATCTTAAAAGTGGCAAAAAGTTAAATACCCCCCATTTTCTATACTCCACACCCTAATGCACCACCACGGCATTACCCACCAGTCCACCACCATTGTCACGTAGATCCCTCAATGTGGAATTTTGTTCCTTCCCTAACCTAAAGTCGAGAAAAATATTTGAAGTGATGTAAAAATAATAACAAATAGGGAAAATTGCAAAAACCACCCCAAATATCACTCTAAGTTTGAGATGCCCCCCTATAAGAAGATTTGTTGCAAATCCCCACCTTCTAATTCACCTTGGTTTGATTTAGGCGCCTTCTCTTTACACATGCGTGATTACTGGAGCATCTCGTGGCGAAATTAGCCAAGTCCTGCTCATCGTGATGATTTGTCAACAGGTCCCTTTTGCATTAGATTGTGTGGCCTTAATTGCTGATTAAACTGTACTAAAACCTGCTATTTTGGGTCATATGACTAATTGCAACAGATGAAGCCATGCAGCTATAATCTGGCTATATGATTACTGCTTCCTGTTCAAATGTTTCTATATACTCATTACGTCCGAAAAAAACGGATATGTAGTTCAGTACATATGATATCAGTTTGGAATATATAGTTAGTTTACCATGAAAAACACAGTGAAATGGCCATGATAACACAACGAAATGATCGTATTATACAGAACAAACAACATAATCTCTTGCTCCTGCCGAGTGGGACTCGGCTGATTTCGCCACAAGATTCTTCAGGAATCACGCACGTGTGGAGAGAAGGTGCCTAAATCAAACCAAGGTGAATTAGGAGGTGGGGATTTGTAACAAATCTTCTTATGGTGAGGCATCTCAAACTCAGAGTGACATTTGGGGTGGTTTTTGCAATTTTCCCTAACAAATAATATGACATGAGTAATTTTATTTAATTTTTGAGGCTTTAAAATGTAATGTGAGGTTCTTTTATTTAACTCCCGTTACAACACATGCATTTAGCTAGTTGTAATAAAACTTTCGTAGGCTTATAAGAAGTTAAATTATAACGGCTTAAAATTTTTTATTCATTTACAAAAATTCATATGCTAACATAAACAGATATGAGGGCAGCTAGAGTATGGGATCCTGTGACCACATGATAGTTAATGAACCTAACAAAGGCTTTGTTTAGATCACACCAAAATTGGAAGTTTGGTTGAAATTGGAACGATGTGACGGAAAAGTTGGAAGTTTGTGTGTATGAAAGTTTTGATGTTACGGAAAAGTTGAAAGTTTGAAGAATTATTTTGGAACTAAACACGGCGAAAGTAAATACCCCCTCCCGGCCTCCCCCAAGTAAATACTCCCTCCATCTACTTTTGATAGGTATATTTTCAAATCCGAAAAATTTATTTTTAATAGTTATATTTCAATCCAACAACCTATCATCTTAATGACTTTCTCGAATTTAATGTGTGACTCTCTATTCTTTCACACAAGATTGGTTACATGGGCATCGAAAAATGTAAATATTAATGAATCGCTTGTTTACGAGGAATGACTAGTAGCATGTTTAAATAGATGATAAGTAGAATTACTTATCCTTAGTCTGTGTGCTAAGATAAAATATAACTATCCAAAGTATATGGAGAGAGTATATCTTTCCGAGCGTACACTAGGCTCCCCGCCTTCTACGCAATTCCTCCTCAACATAGAGCGCGAAGATTTATCCATCGAAATATAATAACGTGAGATTTATCCTGATAGACCGGTGGGTTGAAAATATGACCCGACGGGGACTGGTCCCCAACTCGGATTTTGTCACCCCTAGGGCGAGCAATGAATGGAAGAGGGGGAGCTTTGTGATTCGTGCCGCGTAGATTGGATCTCTATTAGTGTCCTAGATGAGCTGTACTTAGAGCAAGGATAATAGTATAGTTCACTTTCTACTATTAGCTTTTCTTAAAGCCAACATATATAATAGATTAGTTATAAGGTTGACTACAACTTCCTTCTCATCTCTCTCTCACTTATATATTTAATACATTTGTTTTGGGGATTGTGTTAAGCTAGTTCTTCTATGAGAGCCAACCCCTTAATTTTTTTTTTGTTACCTCTCCCCTCCACATAAGATTATAGTAAGCTTATAGCTCATTATACTTGCTCTTAGTTGGGTCGTTTTTTTTTAAGTTGGCCAGGGCCGGCCCTAGCCCTATGCAGCCGAGGCGACCGTCGGGGGCCCATGATGGTGGGGGCCCATGATAGTGGGGAGCCAATACCTAATACTAATAGTCTAGTACCTGTCTATGGCCTATCTGAAAGCAGAAACGCTGAAACGAGAGGAGTTGGAGCATCATCGCCTCGTCGCCCGATCTTGGATACTATTGATCTTAATACCGTTATCGATGATTTTGCATTAAGAAATACTTGAAGAAGTATCTTTTCATTAGAAACAATGGATATGACGGGGTTCTTTTCTTCATCAATGTAATGGTATTAGTTCCAAGGTATAAATATATTGTTATTTTGGTTGATTTTATTTCTCGATAATTACCAGATATGTTAAATTTAATATATAGATGTATTTGTTTTCGTTTTACAAGTAAAATTAGCGTCTATATATATCATAAAATTTTATATATAACTTTTAGTGCCCATCAAAATCATAGGACCGGCCCTGAAGTTGGCCTATCTAGCGATGAAAATTTTGATGGGTTAATCGGGCTGTGGTTCACTTGAGCTTATTGGTGGGCTAAACATACTTGGAATTATTATAGATTTAAAAAATGGATTTATTAAATTTTAAAGAAACCCCTTATAGTCTTATATAAAGAAGTTTTTGAAAAACAATATCATTTAGCAATTTAGGAAACATGCGCTTATGAAAAACGAGAGAGTAGGTAAGCTTATAACCAGAATCAAACTGTGCCTAAGGCAGGCAGCACAAGTTTTATTTCTCTCTTATATATATATGAAAGTAGCATGGTGGCCCGCGCATATTGCACGGCTAGCACGGTTATACTTTTTCCTCACATAATAGCACATATATTTTCATATTTTATGTAAAAAAATATTAAAATGGCAACCAAATTTTCATCAGAACATAATCATGCGATATCTTGTAGTGAAGATTTAATTACAACGAACACAATGGTATTATTGGATCGTAAATTAAATAAGTAGTTTAGAAAAAAAATCATTTTGAAGGTTTTTAAATCCATGCATGGATATAGAGGAGAGAGAGTAGGTGCAGATAGTTAAATAAATTTTGTGAAACGTTACACTTTGAAACATATCGCTATCACATATAAAACAATAAGTTTTAACGGTATAAAACATATATTTTTCTTTTATCAAAATATAATTATGAGATATCTTATTGTAAGGATTTAATTACAACGTATTCAATGGTACGATCGGATCGTAAGTCGAATAAGTAATTTAGGAGAAAAAATATTTAAAGTGATGAGAACAAAAAAAAATAAACTAGCTACTCCACTTATCTTGTATGCATGCAGTAGTAGCAAGGAGCCCGATTTTTTTCTTCAAATCGGGCTACCGAGCAAGAGGATTCTCGCAGTTTTTGCTGCTCTATGCACTTGCACCTGCACCCACCACGACTGAAACCCGAACTTGCCGCTGCTCCATCCGTGCCGGATGCCGTGTCTATTTACCATTTTGCCCGCCCCTCTCTGTCCGATCTCTCTCTCTCTCTCTCTCTCTCTCTCTGAGATAGTGAGCAGAGTAATAACATTGATGATCGATCAACGATTCGACGCCGATCCAGAGTGAGAGGTTTTTTCGAGTGAACAAACAAGCTCTACGCCCATTAGGTAGCTTGGATCAGTGGATGCAGGAGTCGTTCATGGCGGTGAGTGATCATCATCACAAACCAAACAAACCCTGTCACTACTGCATTGTTGATTATTCGGTTCTTGGATATAGGAAGGATCGTAGGAAAGAATGCACACAGCTCCCCTTTTGCCATTCTTCCTTGTTTTGTTCAGATTCCATTGCGATTTGTCTGTCTTCCTTGTGGATCCAAACGCTAGATCAGATGTCATGTCAAATGGATCTGTACAAATCTAGAATTCTGCCTATTGATTTACAAAACTCTTCCAGTTTTGCAAAACAAAAACAAATTAAGCCCTGATCAATTTTGATCATACATTTGCATGTCTCTCCTGCTGCAGGTCCGGCTGGACCCGGGCTATCTGAGGATAGGGGTGACTCCTCCCCAATTCAGCACTTCATCACCATCACCACCACCATCTCCTCCTCATCAACTCATCAGCACCTCCCCCAATTGGACCATTGATGTCTCAGATGTGAGTGACACTGAACTGACACCCCCCCCCCTCTCTGCCTTCTTCAGATCATCACACCATCTTGAGTTCTTTGATGTGTGTTCAGTCTCACTGTCTGTCGATCTTGCCACACGTTTGATTCAGTTGGGATCTCTCTTTGACGCACATGACACATTAATTCTTGCCCCCAACATATATAATATATATCCACATCCTGATTCGAATGAATGCTTTTGATTTACTTAACAATGAGGGTCACAGATGTGTTGATGTTTTTCTTTCTGTTTTTTATTTTATTCAGGCAAGAACAATCAAGGTCACAAACATCTCCATGTCGGCGACTGCTGACAACATCAAGGAGTTCTTCTCCTTCTCCGGTGAGGTCGAATACGTGGAAATGCGAAGGTCGGTACGCTCTCTCCATAATGCCGAATTATTCATGAATCAACATGTTATATTGATTTCTGTTCAAATTACTAATTTGAAGGGAATCAGAGACATCACAAGTTGCCTATGTGACCTTCAAGGAGTTCCATGGAGCAGACACTGCGCTGCTACTCTCTGTGAGTTATCTGAATGCATCCATATTGGCTTCTTCCATTTATTCTTCATGACCTTCTATTTTACCTGAAATCTTGTGAAATGTTTTCAAATGTGCAATCTTGAAATGCTTTGATGATCTTTGTTTTATTATTATTATTATTATTATTATTCAGGGAGCAAGCATATCTGAAGCTTCAGTGAACATTACACCAGTGGAAGACTATGTGCTACCTCCAGAAGCCTACTTCTACAGACAGGTGAGACTTTGAGAGAGCTCATGTTCTTCTATTGCAATTAATTAATGCTGCCAATTTGCCTATTACCATTATAAAAAGAACACGGAGTTTGTCAAAAATCAGAGTTTGCTTGGTACCATCGTAAAAATCACGGAGATGGAAAATACCGTCGTACATGTCATTAACACGTGGGTCCAAGTCCCACATGCCATTCTCAGAGACGGTATTTTGCAACTCATGTATCTCCGCGATAGTATTTTTCAAAATTTTTGCTGTCCCGAGTTAATAAAACTGAGACATTGACTATGGAAAGAAATATTTTGGAAGCTCCATTGCGAGTTCTAAATAACTATGTGGTTATTGCTAATTCATGGGGTTGGATTGTGTGTGTACAAGGACACGGGCTCGCCGAGGACGCCGACGGAGGCGGCGGTGAAGAAGGCGGAGGAGGTGGTGAGCACGATGCTGGCCAAGGGCTTCGTGCTGAGCAAGGACGCGCTGAAGCGGGCGCGGTCGTTCGACGACCGGCACCAGCTGCTGTCGACGGCGAGCGCGCGGGTGGCGTCGCTGGACCGCCGGTTCGGGCTCAGCGACAAGTTCAGCGCCGGCGACGTCGCGCACGCGCGCGTTCAGGTCGACGCGCCGGCCTCGCCCGCGCACGCAGCGCGTGAACAACCAGATGGCCACTACAAGAACAAGATGATGTAGCAGTTAAGCTAGGTGTCCTAATAATTCGAGTTCTTCTCTTCACCAGGTTATTAATATCCGCGAGTTGTAATAATTAAGTTTCTTAATTAGTACTAATGGTTTACATTATTATCCAAAAGTAATGTAATGCTAATAAGTAATTAGCAATGGAGATTAACATGTGGAATTAAGATTAGAGATCGATGCTAGCTATGAACGCATCCAATCCAAATCATTTGGAGCAGCGGACGGCGGAGGAAGAAACGCAGCGGCGGCGCGCGCTCTTTGGCTGCGCAGGTAGTTAATTACCGTATTAGCCACAAGTTTTGTCCCACCTCGATAGATTTGATGTTTTGTGACCTATATAAAAGAGTTTCCATCTCACAACGTGTTGCCTCTTCGGAGGCACCTTATGTTTCTAGGTCGCGACATCTGAAGCAGAGATCGTGAGCTGGAGATTTAGCCGTGTACTCGACCGTACACGTAAAGCAATCATAAATTCGGACTATGTTATATATGTGCGCCCTACATGGACGCCTGAGCTTTTTTGTTACTTTTTTTTCTCATTTTCACAGGTACATAAACAATTTCTGCATATAGCTTTTTTTATTTTTTATTCTTACTTTCACTAGTACATAATTTTTTTTTCATATTTTGATGGTTAATTCGTTCGTCCTACATAGATGCCTGAGCAATTTTTTTTACTGCAATTCCCTTTTAGTATGACTTTTTTCTCACTTTCACTAGTACATAAATAATTTTTGCATATTTTGATGCTTAATCCGTGCATCCTGCATGGGGGCGGGGACGAGAGACAAGCGCACGTGGATTTCAGTTTCTAAATTTTTTTTTGAATGAAAAGCAAGATGATTGTCTTATATATTCAGTTTCTAAATTGACCTTTTCATAAATCCATGAAACAATCCTTAATTTGGGCAAGCGACATCAGCCATTTGCCATGTCACCAAGAAGAGTTCTCTTATCTTAAAAGTAAATAAAATACTTAAAGAGTTCATGTGGTCCATCGATACTCCGGCATGAATACATGTATATACTAGAAAAAAATACACGTGCGTTGCAACGGGTGAAGTCTATTTTAATTTTATTATTGTTATATGGTTTAGTTAAGATGAAATCCACTCTAGGAGTTCGCTTGTGTGTATATATATATATATATATTTTTATATATATATAGAAAATCATGAGCTGTAGTTAGGAGTTCAATTGATCGTCTCAAGTTAGCATGCGAGTTTTTTTAAACAGATTTCTTATATGATACCTTTTGTATTACCAAAAGTGAACGATCTTATAAACCGACTCAAATACAAATATGTATTTCCAAAAGCAAACGAATTTAAAAACCGACTCATACACGGATGACATACCAAAATACCGACAAAAACATCTTCAATTTTTACAATAGTAGAGATGAGCTGACCAAGATTGTTCCACTTCGGAGGAATCGGAGGCTATTCCGGTTTGCCTCTTGTAATGGAACATCCCGTCACCAGAGTACTCCTTTCGTCCAAAAAAAATCTAGCACCTTAGTACTACGAATCTGATTTAGACTCGTAGTGCTAGGATGTGTCATATCCAACACTAAATTGGTTTTTTATGAGACCGAGGGAGTACATCGTTTCAAGGTTTAATAAAATTGGTCTGACCTATCTTGCCTCGAGTTCAGTGACAGAGACATGATTGGCAAAGAAAGAAAGTAAGATAAAACAGAATGAATGGATTGAATTTGAGAAGGCACTTACTATGTCCCAGCTACACGATTTGTGACAATGTGCGACTGGTCCCCTCCAAATAACTTCGCCAAGCCAAAGTCTGAAATCTTAGGGGTTAAATCGGAATCTAGTAGAATGTTGTTAGCTTTGAGATCCCGGTGAATGATTTTCAACCGAGATTCTTCGTGCAGGTACTGTAGCCCTCGAGCAATTTCACTTATGATCCTGAATCTCTTCTCCCAGTCCAATTCCTTGCTTTTATCTTGATCTGCCACCAATAAATATAAAGGAGATTTCGCGTCATTGTGAGTGATGAATATATACCGAACTTAATAGTACTACCTCCGTTTTTTAATAAATGACGCCGTTGACTTTTTCTCACATGTTTGACCATTCGTCTTATTCAAAAATTTTATGTAAATATACAAGATATAAATCACACTTAAAGTACTATAAGTGATAAAACAACTCATAACAAAATAAATTATAATTGCGTAAATTTTTTGAATAAGACAAATGGTCAAACATGTGAGAAAAAGTCAACGGCGTCATCTATTAAAAAACGGAGGGAGTATAATGTTAAAAAAAAACTTAATAGTATTAAAAAAAAGACAAATAATATACCAAAAAGAATAGTGTCCAAGCTCCTATTGGGCAAGTATTCATACACAAGTAGCTTCTCCTCGTCCTCAAGGCAAACACCCACTAGTCTCACAAGGTTTTTGTGTTGAAGCTTCCCAACCAAAACTAGCTCATTTTTCAACTCTCCTATCCCCTGCTGTGAGCAACGCGACAGCCTCTTGACTGCTATGGTTTGCCCATTTGGAAGAGCTCCCTACGCTTACAGAAGGGAATATGCTCATAGATGTGAATAATACTTGCAGGGTGAAGAACTTGACACAAAGTGTACACTTGGTTAGTTAAATTGTTCTTAAAATATAATGTCCTTTTCGAAAGAAAGTTGACAAGTATTGCTTATATAAATCTTCCATTGTGTAGGCTAGTAGTACATAGTACTATATATATGTGTAAACATTGGTTTTAAGTACTTCAGAACAAAATAAAAAAATTATAAGTATTTTTAAATTTTAGATTTAGCACTAAAAATTATACATATGATTCATGAAAACACTATTTTCTGCTACTCTTCATTTATTAATTTAATAGCTCCAAAGATTAAGAGTAAATAAATACAAAGTCATACTTGCCATAGAATCTTAATTTTAGCTTTCTTGATTGAATAATTAAGGGGAAAATATAATTAATGTTTTTAAGTACTTCAAAAAAAATTATTTGATAAGCATTTTTTAAACTTTAAATTTAGTCCTTAAAATTAAATTATATGCAGGATTCACTCTAATACTCTTTTATATGACTTTTCATTTCTCGGTTTAATAAATCCAATATTGATTGATATTATTGATTGATAAAATTATATGGGGATCTTCTTGTAATTTAAGCCATTATAATTAGGGATGGCTAGATTTATCCACTATTTTTACAGTTAAAGTAGAAACTTTCTCAGAGTGTCCAATTAGCATACATAGAAATAGCTAGCTAGCTAGATAGATAGATAGATAGATAGATAGATAGATATGTGTACCTTATAAACTACTCCAAAACCACCTTCCCCAAGCTTGTTTAAAAACTAGGGGTTAGGGATTGCCTTTCTTTAAAAAAAACAATGGCTGGAGTTAATGTCGTTGCTTGATCCATATGAAATAAAACTACAGAATTAACTGACTTTTGCGGGAAATATTTTCCTCAAATCTGTGAATCTCAAAGAAGACAAGAATCAGTATTTCTAAAATAGAGCACACTTTAAGACAATTTGTTTTCATAATACAACGGTTCACATAAATATCAAAGGAATAAAAAATGTACCGGCCTCATTTTCGTTTGTTATATGAGAAGCATATATAAGCTCAGCACTTATTGTTAGAGTTTATGTCGAATAAGTGTACGTAGTTGGTTATAGTTTAGGACTTGAAGTTGTACTACTACTACGTTTAGAAATAGAGCAAGAGTCGGACTCTATCCTAAGCTCACTCTTAATTAGAGGAGCGGATCTGTAATAACCACACATGGAGACTTAGTATAGCGATAGGAAACGGCTGCCAGCGGCATCCGGCCGAGAGTCGTTATAACTTTGTTACGCTGTAATATGCTGGATCGGGGAGGAGCGCCCGTAATCAGTGTTTCGGAGATGTAGGTTTCTACTGAACTTCATTAATAAATATAGTGCCTCGGTGTCATCATCGTGTTTGGATCTCCTACAATGTTTCTTAGGTGTTTGGTTCCCGACAGTGATTTTGGGCCGGATTTATAACAACTAGGAAAGTGGCCCGCGCATATGTGCGGGCACCTTACTTATTTAGTGTTAATTAAATTTTTATTATGAATCCTTATGTGGAAGTGACTTTTTTTTAAGGAAATAGTATGAATTACACCCTTAAACTATAATGACAACTATAAAGACAGTACAAATTGTTCCGGTTATATCTAAATTCGTCTATCACCATCGATCACAAACATATGAGTTAATATATTTTTTGCTTTGTTTTTTCTTTTATTATACATTTGATTCATCGATGCATGTTCATGGGTAATATACGATGGAATAATCTATAGTGTCAAAATTATTTCTGCTAAATATTAACATTATATAGATGAAAATGACATAATTAAAAAGATATAATGTGGTTCCATGTGGCATTTTCAATGGTATGTATATATATTTTTTCTGGCAAATACTAAGCACGTGCTTTTTCCATTTTTTTGGGACAAATATTTTTTTCTCCTAGGGTAGGTGTGCGTATGTCTATTTATATGATGGGTGTGCACACATTTATATATGCGCTCGTGATTACCTTTTACATCATTAGTAAAAAATACTTTCAAGAAAATTGGCTAGATGGCGTGAAGCGGTGCTGCGGCGGTGTGGCTTCTTCGACGGCCTCGCCAGGAGTGGTCGCTACCCATATGCACAATTTGAGAAAAATCTCAGAGATGCAAAGAAAGAAAGAGAAAACTAATCGATGGGGCTGATCGTATACGCACTCTTCTTTTTTTTCCTTTATGACATCTCTCGTATACGTAGATAGTGCAGGATTACTTGAATAGATATAATATAATGATTGAAAAATAATATATCCACTGGTTTATGTGTAAATAAACAGCTAGATTTTGTTTTTTAATATATTTTTTTCTTAGATTTTCTCTAATTTATTCGAGCATCACGTGGCATCTTGGAAGTGTAGGAATGCTATTAGTCATAGTCATAATAGATTACTTGAAGATATCTAATTTGATGGTTGAAAATAATTGATCTACCTGTTTAAGTGTAAATCAATGGCTAGATGTTTTAATTTTTTTCTTATAACTTTTGTTAGATTTACTCTAATTTATTAGAGTGTCACGTGGCATCCTAAGAATATATGTAAGTGTGTGGGAACGCTATTACTCATTAGTTCCATGGGAACGCTATTACTCAATAATTCCAACCTGTTTGTAGGCAACTACTGTTTATTGTGGCTTGGTGGTATCTATACTTACCTATCATTCATTTGTTGATGGTTTCCCAATTAGTATTGTTCTTTATCGGTACTTGATAACACAATGCTTATTAGATGCCATCTAATTATTAGGTGCATTGAGCACGGATGCCTCGTAAGTAATATGACTTGATAATTGGTGGACAGTGGTTTGTATATGTAACTTATGTACATAGGAATTAGTAGGGATATGCAATTTATATATTTGGCTCTATTCCTAATTGAAAAAAAATATTATATACTATATATTTTGTAGTAAATTTAAGGTTGAGTTCTAAAGTGTTTATCGGATTGGTTACTACCTATGGTGAGCATGTTTCCTGAAATGATGCATGTTTCCAAATACTTTCTATGCAAAGTTTTTCAAAAGATCAAATAAATCAATATTCACGTTTGTAATATTTAATACTTAATTAATCTTACACGGATGACATGCTTTTTTTTGCGTGTCTTAGATAAGCTTATCCAATGAGGTAGACCGAATGAAGCCTAAGAGATAAAAGGACATCCACATGGTGTCAAAAAAATATATGATCCTTAATTTTCCAAAAATTTATGAATAAAGAAACATATAATATATGAAAATACATTCATGATAAATTTAATAATGTCATTTGGGCATATCAATATTATACAGTAGGGAGTGAGTAAATTTTTAGAACGCTACTCACAATTTAAATTGTTTTTATTTTTTGAAAATATAAGTCCAATTTAACTATGTTCTTAAGAGATATACAATCATATAATCTATAATTTTAATTTATTAATATTTTTTATGGATGTTTCGATGAGATGCGCTATTTAGAATAAAACTTAAAATCTATATCTATACCTAATTAAAAAATAAGTAAGGTTTCCGGCTGTTTTTTCGTCCGTTATCCCACGTGAGCGTCACTAAAATCCGTTTTAATCCGCTTAATATTCGGATCGGGGCTTTTTATTCCAAAACCACAGTTGATATAGTATTTGTATGTTACAAGTAATTACCCAACACATGTGCAAATCGTCCTACTTTGTTAAGGAAGAACGTCCTCGCTCCGGCCACCAGATTCCAACTTTCTCTCCTTTTTACACTGGAATACGTCTACTTTCCCTCCCTCATGTCAAACAGTATGGTCTGCTCGGCTGCTCGCACGCTATACGGGCCGCGCGCCCCTCTACGTGCGAAGAAGGGCCTCCTTGTCTAACGGGTCGGGCCGGCGCATGCTGTTTTGGGCTGCCGCCAGCTTTCAGGCCTTTTTCCTTTATTTTTTCGCCCAAAAATCATTTAATGTTTACAAAACAAATTTTTAATCACTTTGAACCATCATTTTAAGATATAAAATTGCTGTAAATTTTGTATGTGCATTTTAATTTATTTCTAACTAAATGGAACCAACGTGAAGAACTAGAAAAAATAAGTAAGTCTTCGGGTAAAAGTTTTTGTTCATCGTCCGTCACACGCGAAATCACCTTTGTATTTTTCGGCAATATTTTTTTTATAATGACATCAGTTTCCTAATCTAATTCGAAGATTTGGAAGGCATGAACAAATTTGAGATTTTGTACACATGTATCATACAAGTACACAAGCAATATTAACAATCCATATTTGTTTGATATTCACCTAGGCCCGTTGCAACGCACGGGCATATTTGCTAGTAACATATATTTTTACAACTTTAACATGGACTTTTTAGTTTTTCATCTAATCTAAGTATATAAGAAGGAAAAAAGAAAAAGACATATAGGGGATATATACATACTTACGTAAGAACGTACAGGTCCATTGGGACACGGCAGGGGGTAACGTGGGATTTTTTTTAGAGATAGATTGATTTGTTTTTTTCTTATCTTAATAAAGATCTAATGGCTTAAAATAGTGGGTCCACCAAATTAAATGAAAACCAATGGCTAGATGTTTTGCTTTTATCTTAGAATTTCTAGGATTTATTAAAGCGCCACGTGGTGATCTAGGAGCGTTAATTATAGGAGCGACATGTGGCGGTTTAGTAGCGATTGTAGGAAGTTTAATGGATTTTTAGTATATAATAACTAGAAAAGTAGCCTGCGCATTTGCGCGGGCATCTTATTTAAACCATCATAATTTGTGTTATTAGGATTGTGAAATTTTATGACTTTGCCTCTCGGTGAAAAAAAGTTAAAGGTTCCTTCATAACACATGATTGAAAAAAAAATAGAAAAGGTAAAAAATATGATAGGAATACTCGTGTAAAATAGAGTATTGAAAAGAACGGATGTTTTAATGGAGTGTAGACAATCACGGGAATTGAAAATTTATTAACCCACCTAGATCAAAATATCATCTATCATGCATAAATCATAACCAAACAAACTTTCCATTAGCAGCTTGATTGCCTAGATGCTATGTGAAGGAATAAAACATACACGGACATCTTGTTTTTATTTTATTGCCGTGGGGATATACGACGACTTTTACTTAAGATGTTATTTGATAATAGTTTAAATATATGATATTTGTCCTAAAAATGTTTTTAAGTAGTTATGATACTTTCTAGATTGTATAGATTTATAAACCACCAAGATTATTATTTATAGCTCACTCTATGGGCACTTTGTTAATATCGTTTAAAATTATACAACTATATACTTTTCTTTTGAATATGGGTGTTTGATATTTTCAAAATTAAATGTTGAGCGTTAGTTATTCTAACAATCATTGACATATTTAATTAGGCAGTAAAAGATTAAAATCATAATTATATTCTATATGATGACTGAGTCCGGCATCATAACATTATGCGTGCATTATAACTCGTCACATGTTTTAAGTATTTTCTTATTTATAAAGATATAAAAAATATATACTTCAAACTGATAATTTGTATATTTTGATATGAGTGCACAATAAAGCACATTTGAGCAACATAACCATTTATTTATATTAAAATGTTGAAACTGTACCTCCATTATTTATAAGAAAGGCAGTGATTAATGTAAACTTATTCCTTAAAAATCTACTTACTACTCCCTCTGTCCCATTTTTAAGTGCATCCATAATTTTCCGTGATCAACTTTGACCGTCCGTCTTTTAAAAAACTTAAAAAAAATAAAGAACATAAGTTACATATAAAGTAACTATTCATGTCTTATTATCTCATAATAATAAAAATACTAATTATAAAAAAAAACCAAATAAGATGAACGATCAAAATTGGGCATGAAATTTTATGGTTGCACTTGGAGTACGAAACAACTTATGTGTCATATTTTTACTTTTAACCTAATTGAATTATTTAAAATTCTGTTGTACGTAAGATATGTGCTATGTACATATGAATGTTGGAGAGGGAGGAGTGATTATGTACGGGAGGGAGTGGGAGGTGGAAGGGATTTGTGTTTTGAAGGATTGATTTAATGGTTAGAAATAATGGATCCACCGTTTAAGTTAGAATGGATAGCTAAGTATTTTTCTTTTTTCTTATAATTTTTATATGATTTTTTCTAATTTATTAAAGTTCCATGTAGCGGTTTAGGAGCATTCAGCATGATGTTTAATGGACTTAATTTTTTTTGCGTGTTTCTTGCATGGTATAGGTAGAAAATGTTTTTTTTCCTTCAGAATTGCTATGACATATTTGTGGAAACCAAAGGATAATACAGTAATGAATCAATAAGGAATTCAAATTGCATACTGTTTTTTCTATCCTATAATCCGAAGCTTATAGCTTGATTTTTAATTTTAAACCCTAAATGTAGCTTTGATTTATTTTTTTTATTTCAGAATGAAAAAAAACAGACAGAGGGTTCTGAGGCCAACGTGTTTACGTACTTACATACGGTGCTTATGTGCACGTGTATTTAGTGATTTTTAGCGATAAAATTAACTGTTAGGTTTTCATGATAGATCTAATGGTTTCTAACGGTGTATTTATTTTTCTTATTTTAGAAAGAAAAAGAAAAGAAAAAGAGGGACATGAGGCCAGCTGGTTACGTACATACGTACGTGCTGTGCTTGTATGTATGCACGTGTACGTGGGATTGATGGAGATAAATTTAATTGACGTTTTTAAAAATAGATCTAATGGTTGGTAACAACGGGTCCATCGGAATAAATTAAAAAAAAATCGAAGGTTAGATGTTTTTGCCTTCTTTTGATTTTTTTTAGAAATAATTATAGTGCCACGTGGAGGCTTAGGAGTATTTGTAGGGTTGCTATGTGGCGGCTTAGGAGCGTTTGTAGTAAATTTAATGGACTTTTATTATAAAAAAAAAGATAACATAACATCAATTATATACAATTATATACATGTAAGTCCCATGTGCTGGTGCTGTGATGTATTTTGGATCATAGACATTTTAAGTAAAGGAATACAATAGTATCACAAATTGGATAAAAATAATTTAAAAGATGGAATGTTTAAAGAGCATTGATTGGATATTTTATATTTATATATTATAGGTGTAATTTAACTACGTATATTTGCGTAAATTTGTAAATTGTATGAAATAACGTCGATTTTTCTTTGGAACGGTACTACGTTCTTTTTTTCCTTTATTTTTCTCTATCTTATAAGTACATGCACATTGTCTTCTTTTTCTTGCGGCAAACAATTAATGGTTTAGCTTTTTTTTTTCTTTTAGTCGTACGTACGGCGGCAAACAATGGTTCAGCTTTTTTTTTTTAAGTCGTACGTACGTGGGGAAGGTATTTATCCTTTAGACAACACTTATATATTTCTCCTGTAGAAGGAAGGTATTATTTTTTAATAAGAGATGCAATCTAATGGTCTAAAATATCGGGACCACTAATTTAAGTGAAAATCAACGGTGAGATTAGATAGTGCCATGTGGCGATCTAGGAGCGTTTGTAGGATTGCCACGTGGCGGTTTAAGAACGTTTGTATAAAGTTTAATGGACTTTTAGTATATAATAATAGATAGATAATAGATAGATAGATAGATAATAGATAGATAGATTATACCCAAATCCACATAGTAAACATATATATCAATTGACTGTAAGTGATGAAGACAACACAAGTGTTATAATTACCTGGAATTGACGTCTTCCTTGCCAATCGTTTCCTCCGGATGTAAGAACACAAAGTAGCAATTGCAATTGCTGCACCTGTTGCTGGCAATGCAATCCCAATAATAGTACCAATTTTCATTGAACCTGGTGGATAACATAGACTAAATTTTACAAAAATTGTACAAACATTGGGATTTTTCACAAAATGCTGGGACCAATATGCACAAGCACGCATAGATGACGCGCAACACGCTCGCACATTAATTACGCATACACAACTAATACAAGCAAGAAGTCGATCAGCACACAGTATTCCACCACGACTTAGATATCATACTTGGGGCCTGTTTAGTTCCCCAAATTTTTTTTTCAAAAACATCATATCGAATCTTTGGACACATGTATGAAGCATTAAATATAGATAAAAAGAAAAACTAATTGTACAGTTATGGAGGAAATCGCGAGACGAATCTTTTAAGCCTAATTAGTCCGTGATTAGCCATAAGTGCTACAGTTACCCACATGTGCTAATGACGGCTTAATTAGTCTCAAAAGATTCGTATCGCGGTTTTCAGCCGAGTTCTGAAATTAGTTTTTTCATTCGTGTCCGAAAACCCCTTTCGACATCCGGTCAAACGTTCGATGTGACACCAAAAATTTCCTTTTCCCAACTAAACACACCCTTGATCAAGTCGGGGAAATATAGCTGTTCACGACAAAGTGTATTGGAAAGGGGAAAACATAAGCAGCTAGAAGCCTAGAACCTCAAATTACACAGCCCATAATAAATTATGGCTAGCTATTGTTAGAATAATTGGGCTAGGCTCAACTTATAATATTAAATCTCAAAGGCCCATAATAAGTGTTGAGGATAATAATACCACCTCAGGATTTAAGCGAGAAATATCTCAACCTAAATAGGGAGTTATTGGAGGCTCCCTGTTGACCAGTTGAGGTGGGGGTCGGAATGCCACACGCGCGCGCGCGCCCGCCGGGCCGGGGCGTGGGCGTGGGTGTGGCGGCGTGCGTGCGTCACGTCGCTATCCTTTTGCAGCCACTAACCCACGTTCCCACGATTCCCTCCACAACAACGCGTTCACGTTCTTTCTCCTAATAGATAAGGAGGCCGCGAGTCCGATCCGGTTTCATCGCTTCTTTCCCGGTGTTAGTTTCTCCTTCTCCGCGCCTGAGTTGCTGTCGCTTCCTCACTTCTGATCTCTTGCGCGCACGAGAGATTGGAAGGAGCAGTGCCTCCGAAACCACACCTTCGCCTGAGATCTGCACCGGGTAGGCGGGTGATCAGGTTTTTGAGGAGTGCCTCCCGCACGACTGCTCATCGCCATGTCTGGAGTTGCCGCCGCCACTGCTGGCGGAGGTGGTACGCCGCCGACAGGAGCTGGTGCGCCAGGAGGTGCCGTGAACGACAACAACAACGGAGGCAATTCTGCCTCACCATCCAACGGAGGGCCATTTTCGGGGTATAATCTTCTCCTCCTGCTACTGTTGTTAGCGCTATCACTATACTATGTGCGCTATGTTCTTGTTCCTGTTCTACATGATGCCTCTAGCATGTTATCGCGTTACTGTTATGTTCCTGTTTCTGACATTCATGATGCACATAGTATGCTACTGGTTATGTTAAGATCACCCTACACTGCTTATGCCATGATCATTGCTTTAACCTTTTGGATTAAAATATGCCGATTAATGACTATATTTCCAACAATCCAAAAACCTGATAGGTCATTTTCGGTAGTTGGCTTTTCTGCTGCACTGAAATCACATGCTTTTGATGGTTCAAACTATAAGAGATGGAAAGCACGTGCACTATTGTGGTTGACAGCGATGCAGTGCTTCTATGTTTCACGGGGCAAACGAAGTGAACCACCTCTTTCTCCTGAGGAAGAGGCTAAGTTCGAGGCTTTGGATTGCCTGTTCCGTGGAGCATTGATCAGTGTACTCCCTGACAACATAGTGGACGTGTACATGCACATGCCTTCTGGGAAGGACATGTGGGATGCACTTGAGGCCAAGTTCGGAGTTTCTGACGCCGGCAGTGAGCTGTATGTTATGGAGTAGTTCTATGACTACAAGATGGTCGATGACCGTTCTGTAGTAGAACAAGCTCATGAGATTCAGATGCTGGCTAAGGAACTTGAGAACAACAACTGTGAGTTGCCAGACAAGTTTGTGGCAGGTGGCATTATTGCTAAACTACCACCTTCTTGGTCGGACTTTGCCACTTCTCTAAAGCACAAGAGACAAGAGTTCAGTGTTCCTGATCTCATTGGCTCTTTGGGTGTTGAGGAGAAGGCGAGGGCAAAGGATGTCCGGGGCAAAAAGGTTGAGGGAGGTTCTAGTGCCAATATGGTACAGAAGAAGAACCCTCATGCATCCCACAATAACAAGAAAGTCAAGCCTGATGTCAAACCCAAGGCTGCAACCAATTTTAAGAAGAAAGGCAAGGGAAAGGCAAAGGGAGACTGCTTTGTGTGTGGCAAGTCTGGGCATTGGGCCAAGGACTATCCAGAGCGCAAAGACAGGAAGTCTGCCAACATGATCATTAGCGAGGGCGGAGGAACATCGGGGTACGGTAAAATATTACCTACAGTTCTCTCTGTTTTTCATTCACCTGATTGGTGGGTGAACACTGGTGCTAATATTCATGTATGTGCTGACATTTCTCTGTTTTCTTCTTATCAGGTCGGGAGAGGTTCCTCCTTGTTGATGGGAAACGGGTCGCTTGCGGCTGTTCATGGTGTTGGTACGGTCGATCTAAAGTTTACTTCGGGAAATACCGTGCAGCTGAAGAACGTGCAGCATGTCCCTTCAATAAAGAAGAATCTAGTTAGCGGCTCTCTATTGTGTAGAGAAGGTTTTAGACTTGTGTTTGAGTCCAATAAATGTGTCGTATCTAAATATGAGACTTTTGTTGGAAAAGGTTATGACAGCGGAGGCTTGTTTCGCTTTTCTTTGAATGACATGTGTAATAATCATAATGCTGTGAACCATATTAGCGAGAATGATGAGTCTAATGTGTGGCATTCGCGACTCTGTCATGTGAATTTCGGTTGTATGACGCGCTTAGCTAACATGAGTTTAATTCCAAAATTCACTTTGGTAAAAGGTTCCAAATGCCATACTTGTGTTCAATCGAAACAACCTCGCAAGCCTCACAAGGCATCTGAGGCGAGGAATTTGGCACCTCTAGAACTTGTTCATTCTGATTTGTGCAAAATGAACGGCGTGTTGACTAAAGGGGGAAAGAAATATTTCATGACACTGATAGATGATTGCACTAGATTTTGCTATGTGTATCTATTAAAAACAAAGGATGAGGCATTGCATTAATTTAAATCTATAAAACTGAGGTAGAAAACCAACTTGAAAGGAAAATCAAACGGTTGAGGTCTGATAGAGGTGGGGAGTATTTTTCCAATGAGTTTGCATCCTTTTGCGAAGAGTTTGGAATTATTCATGAGATGACGCCTCCCTATTCACCCCAATCAAATGGGGTGGCCGAAAGAAAGAACCGTACTCTAACTGAGATGGTGAATGCCATGTTAGACACTGCGGGGCTTTCCAAGGAATGGTGGGGTGAGGCAGTTTTGACTGCGTGTCATGTCCTGAATAAAATTCAAATGAAGTATAATGAAGTAACACCATTCGAGGAATCGGAAAGGAAGAAATTAAATCTCTCATACCTATGAACATGGGGCTGTTTAGCCAAGGTAAATGTACCTATAGCCAAAAAGCGGAAACTTGGACCAAAAACTGTTGATTGTATGTTTCTTGGTTATGCTATCCACAGTGTGGGTTATAGATTCTTAATAGTAAACTCTAGAGTACCCGACATGCATGTTGGTACAATTCTTGAGTCCAGAGATGCTACATTCTTTGAGAATGAATTTCCTATGAAATGTACACCTAGCACTTCTAGTAAAGAAACTGTCATGCCCCATGAGCACTTTGCACCGATAGAACACAATGATCAAACGCCTGAGGAAAATCCTGAGGAGGACAACATTGTAGATACTCGCAAGAGTAAGAGACAAAGGGTTGCAAAATCCTTTGGAGATGACTACATTGTATACCTCGCGGATGACACCCCAAGACCATAGAAGAGGCATATTCATCTCCTGACGCTGACTACTGGAAGGAAGCAGTACGCAGTGAAATGGACTCGATTATGTCTAATGGTACTTGGGAAGTCGTTGAGCGTCCATATGGGTGCAAGCCCGTAGGATGCAAATGGGTTTTCAAGAAAAAGCTTAGGCCTGATGGTACAATCGAAAAGTATAAGGCAAGGCTTGTGGCCAAGGGTTATACCCAAAAGGAAGGCGAGGACTTCTTCAACACATACTCACCAGTTGCTCGCTTGACCACGATTCGAGTACTACTTGCTCTGGCAGCCTCTCATGGTCTTCTCGTCCATCAGATGGACGTTAAGACAGCTTTCCTAAACGGAGAGCTGGAGGAGGAGATCTATATGGATCAACCAGACGGGTATGTACTAGAAGGTCAGGAGGGAATGGTGTGTAAACTATTGAAATCCTTGTATGGCCTCAAGCAAGCACCTAAGCAATGGCATGAGAAGTTTGACACCACGCTTACATCTGTAGGCTTTGTTGTGAACAAAGCTGACAAATGTGTACACTATCGCTATGGTGGGGGAGAAGGGGTGATCTTGTGCTTATATGTCGATGACATACTGATCTTTGGGACCAGCCTTAATGTGATTGAGGAGGTCAAAGACTATCTGTCCAAGAGTTTTGAAATGAATGATTTGGGAGAGGCTGATGTTATTCTTAACATCAAACTACAAAGAGGAGATGAGGGTGGGATTACACTTGTGCAATCCCACTATGTGGACAAGGTTTTGAGTCGCTTTGGATATAGCGACTGCAAGCCAGCTCCTACTCCTTATGATCCCAGCGTGCTATTAAGGAAAAACCGAAGAATAGCAAGGGATCAACTGAGATACTCTCAAATCATTGGTTCATTGATGTACTTGGCTAGCGCAACGAGGCCTGACATCTCATTTGCTGTAAGCAAGCTAAGCCGGTTTGTCTCAAATCCGGGAGATGATCATTGGCAGGCTCTGGAAAGAGTAATGCGCTATCTAAAGGGCACTATGAGCTATGGAATTCACTATACCGGGTATCCAAAAGTACTAGAAGGGTATAGTGACTCAAACTGGATATCTGATGCTGATGAGATAAAAGCCACAAGTGGATATGTGTTCACACTTGGAGGTGGCGCTGTTTCCTGGAAGTCTTGCAAGCAGACCATCTTAACGAGGTCAACAATGGAAGCAGAACTTACAGCACTAGATACTGCGACAGTTGAGGCCGAGTGGCTTCGTAAACTCCTGATGGATTTGCCGGTGGTTGAAAAACCAGTGCCAGCTATCCTAATGAACTGCGACAATCAAACAGTGATTATTAAAGTGAACAGTTCAAAGGACAACATGAAGTCATCTAGACACATCAAGAGAAGACCGAAATCTGTCAGAATGCAGAAAAACTCCGGAGTGATAGCATTGGACTATGTCCAAACGGCTAGAAATCTGGCAGATCAGTTTACCAAGGGGCTACCACGTAATGTGATAGACAGTGCATCGAGGGAAATGGGCTTGATACCCACCTAAGGTTGCATAATAGTGGAAACCTGTCCATTGTGATCGGAGATCCCGTGAATTTGGATGGTGAAACAAACTATTGTGTGACTGAGAGAAGAGACCCTTGAAAAAGGGCTCATTTTCATTATGTGCTTCTCTTCTTTCCTGCATGGTAGGATGACTTATGTCTTAATGTGATCCGAGTGGCTTTTCCAAGCAGAGATGTTGACCTGCAGAACATCTCAGAAGGAACACACCTATATGAGTTTAACTGCTAGTCACAGTCCATGAGGTTTGGGTGATCTCTAGATACTCATGAAAGGCCTGGAGTTTGACTTATATGCTCCAAACAGAGGGGATGCGAACGGCAGCCCAGTACCAGTCAAGGTTCTGAGTGAAACCTGATCACACAAAACTCACAATTCAAGGCATAGTCCATTGTTCAGTTGTGGTCTGATGTAGCTCATTTCCTAGGTGGAAGTTCAACTTAACAGTCTCCACCAAAACCCTGGTATATCAAACAGGCACAACATTGAGAACATTTCTTATGAGCCTTGAAATTTGGTGGGGATTGTTAGAATAATTGGGCTAGGCCCAACTTATAATATTAAATCTCAAAGGCCCATAATAAGTGTTGAGGATAATAATACCACCTCAGGATTTAAGCGAGAAATATCTCAACCTAAATAGGGAGTTATTGGAGGCTCCCTGTTGACCAGTTGAGGTGGGGGTCGGAATGCCACACGCGCGCGCGCGCGCGCCGGGCCGGGCGTGGGCGAGGGCGAGGGCGAGGGCGTGGCTGGCTGGCGGCGTGCGTGCGTCACGTCACTATCCTTTTGCAGCCACTAACCCACATTCCCACGATTCCCTCCGCAACAGCGCGTCCACGTTCTTTCTCCTGATAGATAAGGAGGCCGCGAGTCCGATCCGGTTTCATCGCTTCTTTCCCGGTGTTAGTTTCTCCTTCTCCGCGCCTGAGTTGCTCTCGCTTCCTCGCTTCTGATCTCTTGCGCGCTCGAGAGATTGGAAGGAGCAGTGCCTCCGAAACCACACCTTCGCCTGAGATCTGCACCGGGTAGGCGGGTGATCAGGTTTTTGGGGAGTACCTCCCGCACGACTGCTCATCGCCATGTCTGGAGTTGCCGCCGCCACTGCTGGCGGAGGTGGTACGCCGCCGACAGGAGCTGGTGCGCCAGGAGGTGCCGTGAACGATAACAACAACGGAGGCAATTCTGCCTCACCATCCAGCGGAGGGCCATTTTCGAGGTATAATCTTCTCCTCCTGCTACTGTTGTTAGCGCTATCGCTATACTATGTGCGCTATGTTCTTGTTCCTGTTCTACATGATGCCTCTAGCATGTTATCGCGTTACTGTTATGTTCCTGTTCCTGTCATTCATGATGCGCATAGTATGCTACTGGTTATGTTAAGATCACCCTACACTACTTATGCCATGATCATTGCTTTAATCTTTTAGATTAAAATATGCCGATTAATGACTATATTTCCAACAGCTATACGGGGTGTAGGGATAGCATGGTTTAAGCGGTTTTCGTATTTCGATAAATATTCGTCATCATATTCGTTCCGATCCATGTACGCTCCATATATGTATTTAATAATACTCCTCTTCATTTTTATATCCGGGTTAGTTCAATTCATTTCTGATTTTTTTTAAAATATAATAATAAAAATATGATGTGATATGATAAAGCTAGTTTCTATCTATATCCGAGCCGTTTTCACCGCTATCTCCACATATGCAGTAAAGCTTTACCTCCATGGGTGACATTCTTGTCGGCCACAAGCGATGTCGGTGCAACAGATGGTATAGGCACAAGCGATGTCGGTGCAACAGATGCTATAGGCGCAGCCACTGAGATGTTTTCACCTGCCAAAAAAGCATTTGAAACAAATAGTCTGTAATAAGACATGTTTTGGACGACACTACCAAGTACTATTCTACATAGCAAGAATAGTTAATTAAAACTAGGTTGAAAACGAATTGAATACGATTTCATATCATGTACGCCATTGGGTAAACTTTTAATGTTCATATTTGATCAAAATTTTAAAACTTTAACCATCAATAACTTCTTAAATGCTTACAAATACATAGGTTATCAAAATCTATATGATATATATGCATAGATTTACCCTGCAAAATACTATATGATTAATACATTATATCATAACTTATTAGATTTTTATAATATTATTGTATGAAAATGATCCAAAAGTTTAACTAAACTTTCCGAGAGATTATTATTTAGTACTACTATTTTTCTCGGATCATTTAATTTTGGTGAGCAATAGGCGCTGGTCGTGCCGGAGGGTTCAGCCTGATCTTGTTCTACCCAAAAAGAAATAAAAAAAAACTAACTAGAGCATGTGCCCAATTTATTAGAGGCTTATCTCGCAAGAATTTTTTGTATGAAAACAGCAAGCACGAATCCCCATCTTCTTTTTCTCTTTTTATGTTAACTAGTAAGTTGGCCCGCGCATGCGCAATCACTTATATTATTAAAATGTAGGATTTTTATTGTTTGTTTAAAAATTTTGTCTCATAGATTAAGGGAAAACTAAAGTTTGGATACTGTTATTTTTAATAATAATTTAAGGATTCTATTTTTTTAAGGTATCTTAAAAATCCATTCACAAACTTTTGAGTAAGAGACGGATTAAGTACTTACAACTTTTGAATCATATTTTTTTCTCGAGTAAATAATAAACTATTGCTTGTAGTATGGCTACAAATGAAAAATGCAAGAGCAAGATACTTAAAATTCTTGTGATTAAATCGTTTCATGAAGGCGCATGATATAATAAGAAAGGGAGGGAAGCGTATATATAGAGAAAAAAGAAGAAAGGGAAAAATGAAAATGTGGAGGGGAAGCGTAGGTACCCACGTACATAGATGCGTACCGAAGGTGGAGAGGTGGGACCTCTCTAAGATCAATTTAATCTAATGATTTATAATATTGGACCCACCGATTTAAGTGAAAATCAAATAGTAGATACTTTGCTTTTTTTTTCTTAGAATTTTTAATATTTTCTCTAATTTATTAGAGCACCACGTGGCAGCTTGGGGGCATTTTAAGAAATTTTAATGGCCTTGCCACATGTGATTAGAATATTAACAATGTAACATATATGTATGGGATATACTCCCTCCGTCCCAAAAAAAGGCAAACCATGGGTTTCCGTGCCAACGTTTGTCTGTCCGTCTTATATGAAATTTTTTTATAATTAGTATTTTCATTGTTATTAGATGATAAAACATGATTAATACTTTATGCGTGACTTATCTTTTTATTTTTTTCATATTTTTTTCAAATAAGAAGGACGGTCAAACATTGGACACGGAAACCAGGGTTTGTCTTTTTTTGGGACGGAGGGAGTATGTTAATATTCGTTTCAGCTTCGTCCATGTTTATATACATGTAGAGAGAAATTAAATATGTTGCTAGCAAGCCATTAGAAGTCTAATAAATAGCAATTAATTTTGACACCTATTTACAATTGTTTCATAGTAGCTCTTACATATTCATCTTACGATCGTAAGATGAAAATGTAAGAGCTACTATGAAAAAAATATGTACTACTTAGAGTTTAGGACAACTGAAATTGATGAATTATCTGATTTATGTGATAGCTATTTGAGATTATATACGAATGAATTAACTTCTAAAAAGTTAAAAAGTTGTTTAAAAAAACACCATTTAGAAACTTGGAAAGCGTGGAGTATGCAAACGAAAATCTAAAAGATGGAATCAGGAAAACAAAATAGGGCCTTTAACTCTCTTGTAATACTCTTGTCCTAGTAATAGAACACTCTTGTCCTAGTAAGAGTTCTATTGATATTCGTTAATATTGTGCTCGCATTTATAACATAATGATTTCTTTCAACTGTACGAACAAATAATACAAAATCCAAATACAACATAACACGATACATTATAATTATTATGTAATCAACTCTTGGTTTCAGCTTAAATAGAGCTAAGTGTTGAAAAAACTCAACCCACGGTGCTTAATTATTCTCTCGCTGCATCACACCTTTAATTTTCATATATGATTTGATATATGGAAAAGCGGTAGCGCTGCAACGGTCGTGATCACCTCAGATGCCTTAGACACGACGCTTTGTCACACATGCGAAACGCAAAGGTGCAAACGTGCATTGTGCAGCGGGCAAAAAAAGAGAACTTTGGACACTTTATTTATTAACAATAGATCCGATGATTTAAAAAATGGGTCCACTGGTTCTAGTGTAAATATAAATTAGTTAATATAGATTTTAAATTGTTAATTTAATGGGTACACAATACAATGGTGTAGACTTTATTTTAAAACAGTGCATTATTTGAGAATAATAGTCCAAATTAATAAAAATAGATCTGATGATTTAAATAAGGAAAAGTACGAATTACCCCCTACTATCGAGGTCGACCGAATTACACCCCCGAACTTGAAAACCAGACATTCTACACTCTCAACTATTGAAACCGGACAAATACCTAGTTTTCGAGATCAGGGGGGTTATTTGTCCGGTTTCAATAGTTGAGGGTGTAGAATGTCTAGTTTTCGAGATCGGGGGTGTAATTCTGTCGATCTTGATAGTTTAGGGGGTAATTCGTACTTTTTAAATGGGTCCATCTGTTTAAGTGCACGCATAAATTAGTTAATATGGATCTTAAATTGTTTATTTGATAGGTACACAATATAACTGTGTAAACTTTATTTTAAAATAGTGTATTTTTTGAAAATAATAGTACAAAGTAATAAGTACACCGGTTTAAGTGAAAATTATCTTACATTATTGATTTAATGGGTAAACATAAAATGGTGTAAATTTTATTTTCAAAGATTGTAGAGCTAATTTAGTTACATGTGTTTATAAAGAGTTATATGATGGTATATTCTTTGTTTGGAACATTATGATTATTTAAAAAATATATATCAATTGTATAAATGGAAAAAAAAAGAAAAAAAGGAAAAAAAATGGAGGGAGCCGTACATACTACATAGGGCCTGTTTGACACAGCTCCAACTCCAGCTCCACCCCTCCTAAAGCTGGAGCTCAGCCAAACAGTTTCAGCTCCACCAAAACTGAGAGTGGAGCTAGGTGGTGTTCTCTCACAAAATGAACTAGAGTTGTGGAGCTGGGTTTAGGCAGCTCCACAACTCCACTGCAGACTCAACTCCTGGAGCTAAATTTAGGAGTCGGAGCTATACTAAACAGGCCTATACCCATGTACGTACGTGAACCTATGCATGGAGAAAGAGGAGAGGTGGGACCCATAGTATTTTGTTTGTTTTATGATTAATTTTATCTAACGTGTATAATATTAAACCCACCAATTTAAGTGAAAATTACGGGGTAGATGTTTTGTTTTTTTCTTAGAATTTTTAGTATTTTCTTTAATTTATTAGAGCGCCATGTGATAACTTGAGAGCATTTGTAGGAGATTTAATGGACTTTTAGTATATAATAGAAGATAGATAGGTTGAATCATGAAATGAGTTTCGCTAATAATTGGGCCCATGCTTGCCTAACATGCAAACACTACCAAGTTGCACTGTCCGAGTTCATCTTATAGAGTAGAGGCCTAATTATCCACGCAAAAGGAGCCAAAGAAGACTCCTGTTTTCAGTGGTGAAAGGGTTTCCAATCTGTGGTGCATCTAGCCGGACTGCAACAAATGGTGTAAGGGTCCTGTTTTCACTGGTTTCCGTACCTAAGTTTGACACATAAAAGAAGATTTCATGCCAAACCAAATAGTATAGTTATTAACAAGCAACCAATATGTGATGGCGATCATACTAGCGGATCTTTAAATTATACCAGCGTAAAACAGTTTTTAGTCACATATGTTTGGAAAGGTGGAAATGCCACCCTACCAGTATTGAACGACACTTTGCTAACGATCGATATGTCACTACGCCGGACCAGGTCATCTCTGACGGGCCCAAACCCTCACCTTTGACGGGTTTGGTCTTGGTCAGTGATTAGTGGTCACTGATGACGGATGAAACACCCGTCACAGATAACCCATCTCTGACCGGTATATAAGTCATCTCTGACGGGTTAAAACTTGTCATCCGTCACAGATGAGTCATCAGTGACGTGTCGTAACTGATGACTCATCTCTGACGGGTTGTAACTTACGACCCGTCACTGATGACAAAGTAAGAAATACAATTTTTGAATTTTAAACGCAACAAAAAACCTCAAAAAAATATTTTGAATTTTACTAACCATCCTATAACATGGTTACAAATCACTACCTACAAATTCACAATTTTTCACGCAATATAACTTGCATGCTACACATGAGATTCGAACTCAAGACCTCAACCTCCATATAGAGCTCCCTTACCAACTCACCTACTAAACACATATTGACTACTCACCCAATGTTATTATTTTGTCTATGCTTGTCTGAATCATTTAACATATATTTAACACTCTAAATGACTTCAAATGAAAATATTATCAACTAAATAGTTATAGATCTCATCGTGTTTTATAACTTTTACATAGAAAATATCTTCATCCGATGTTGTTTGAAGAATTCAAAATTTCATTTTTCAAAATATATCTCACTTTATAACATGTAAATTTTGTGAAATGAAAATATTTTCAATTATAATGTTGTAGGTCTGGTTGAGTTCTATGACTTTGATACGGGGCATGTATCCATCCATGTCATTTGAAAAAAAAACTCAAAATTTTGTTTTTAAAAGTAGATCTGATCACTTGTAATGCATGTTCGGGGATGTAAATGATCTCTAATAGAAATGTTGTTAGTTATAAAGTTGTGGATATCATTGAGAGCTACAACTTTTATATAGGACATGTTTCAATCCGAGATTTTTTGCAAAATTTAAAAATTTGAATTTTCACTCATCACTGACGGGTCATAACTACCACCCGTCAGAGATAACGTTATCTGTGACGTGTGTTAGTTAAAGACCCGTCAGAGATGAGTGGTCTCTTTTGTGATGGTTCATAATACTACACCCGTCACAGATGACATGTCATGTGTGACGAGCCATGGTTGTGACCCGTCACAGACGATCTGTGACGGGTTACAAGTGCAAGCCGTCACAGATGACTTCACATCTGTGATGGGTCCTCCCTGGTAACCATATATTGAAGAGGATATTTTTTTTGGCCCGTCAGAGATGACTCATCTTTGACGAGTTGCGTTGGCCCGTCACAGATGACCCGTCACTGAAGCCCGGATCTGTAGTAGTGTGTTAGAGTCAGTGAATCACTCTTTCAGGAGCTAAATTTGTGTGAAGACGGTAGAATATTCCACATAAGACAACGACTACTACGATGTGCTTAGAGTACAATAAAGTTGATGTAAGTGATAGTTACCATCTTATATTTATGTTGAGTTGTAATTGGGAGAAAATGAGAGAGAAAAAACGAACTATAGATTTATATTTATAGCCAATTGTAGCACAAAGTTAAAAAAACTTTACGAGGAAGAGTAAGGTGGGACCAAGTATTAACAGATAATATGCAACTAATTACTGTATATGTAAACTATTAAGTTGATCATAGATGTTATAATAATAGATAGAGCTAGTAATTGGCTTTACTATTAGCCTTTGCTCTTATCTATCCGTAAGTTGAGATGAACGCTAGCTAATTAAAATACCATATGAAATTGGGACAAAAACATGCTATTGTCTGCCTCCGTTTTACAATTATAGTCTAAAACAGGGACAAGAACATGTTATTATATCTATAAAACCCCACGTATTGACCGCGCGCCTTTGAAAAATGTACAATAACAGCCTTTGATATTATACTTGTTTTTAAGGGTTGTCGACATGCTATCTTTAAGACTAACAACAAATAGAAAACCATGAAACGACACTTCTCTCAGGCACATATAAAAGGAAAAAAAGAAGAAGGAAGAAATAAGAGTAAAAATTGTACGAGTATTTACCGGGACATAAGGTGTTGAGGTCTTTGAGGCCACATCTATTGGCTAGGTCGTGAAAGCTGGATTCCTTGATGTCGAAGGCCTTAAAGATCTCGGGCGAGGCGAGGAGGTCGCAGAGGCACCTCTGTTCTTTCACTACCGAGTGCCTGAACGGCTCGCAGCAGCCGTCAGGCGGCATGCTTGTCCCATTCATGTACCGCGCGCACGAAGCCAGATTGTTCGCGCAAGTCGGACTACCCGCCTGATCCAGCGCCAGCTCCACCTCGCCGGCGGCCGCCAAAAAGCTCGCCATCACCACCACCGCCACAGCCGGAAGCACCACGGTGATCGCCGCCGTCGGAGTCCGCATCGGCGTCTCTCTCTCAGCAACTCGAACTACTTGAGCAAAAGCAGAGCTGAGCAGAGTGTTCTTTTTTAGTAGAAAAAACTCCTCTTTCGCCACCGGTTGACCTTGACCTGGTAGTAATCGAGTCAACTTCCTACACAGGAAAATGGCCATCACATCGCATCATCATTCGACAGTGTTTGCTATTTATTGCTATTTATTGGATTGGAGGGCCAAGTCATCAGTTAACACAGGTCCTGCATGTGCATCTTCCTTCCATTCCTTTACGTCTTGTTTACTTTACCCCCAAATATCCCAAACTTCCAACTTTCCATCACATCATATCACATCCAAAACTTTCCTATACACATAAATTTTCAACTTTTTTTTTCCAAACTTTTAACTTTCCCCGAACTTCCAACTCTTTTCAGTAACTAAACACAGCCTTACACTCTTTTCCTTCCTTTCCTTTTGTTTCAAAATAATTTCATTTCTAGTACATATCTACTACTTGTGCTATTTCCCCACAATCCCTAAGGTCTTGTTTAGTTCCCAAAAAGTTTTTCCTAAAAACGTCATTGAATCTTTGGACATATGCATGGAGTATTAAATATATAGATAAAATGAAAAACTAATTGCACAGTTTGCATGGAAATCGCGAGACGAATCTTTTGAGCCTAATTAGTCTATGATTAGCCATAAGTGCTACAGTAACCCACATGTACTAATGACAGATTAATTAGGCTTAATAAATTCGTCTCGCGGTTTCCAAGCGAGTTATGAAATTAGTTTTTTTTCATTCGTGTCCAAAAACCCCTTCCGACATCCGGTCAAACGTCCAATGTGACACCCAAAAATTTTCATTTCGCCAGCTAACTAGCCTAATTTGCAGATTGATAAGTTTTATTTTTGTCAATATTTCCTACCTACCCCATAATTTTTTCAATATCTCTTACCTACCCCTTATCTAGATGTGGGCATCCACAGTGTAGTAGAGAAGTAGTCCATAAGGAATAAACTATTCCATTCAGTCACCTAGTAACATTGTGCAACTAGTCTATATAAAGGAAATAATTAAAGGTATCCATATGCATATGGACTACCCATATGAAATAAATAATATTATCTATTTCTATTTCTCTATCTTCTTATAATACTACCTTGTATCCATATACATTGTGAGTATTGTCATAGTTAAAGTTTATTCATGTGGATCCCATCCATATAGATTACTTTTACCATATACATTGGTGATGCCGAGCAACCACAATGTGGCATCTACCCAGTAGTAAGCACTGTGGAAAGAGATACTAGTAGTTACTACCTGGTATTTGTGCTATTGCCGGTAACAACCAAATAAATATGAAGATTATTACATGATTAGGGTAATGAAGGGTTGGGATGTATGAATTTTTTTTGGTGGACCCCACCTTGTTTACCACTATACTCATATAAGCATTGTGAAAAGTTTTACAGCTTACTTAGGTAATATACATTGTGCATGCCCTTATGGTATCCACGAGGAACTATTAAAGCACTGAATAATCAATAAATGATACCTTAATACCTAGTAATAGCCATTATGAGAGCGGATGATAGCAACTACACATTTAGAGCAAGTTTAATAGTATAGCCAACTACTACCTCTAAATCATCTATAGTCAATGTAATAGCCAATTCATACAGTAGTTGCTTACTATACTATTAATATCTGGTCCCACCTATTATACACACATTACGTCTTGGAGTCTGCGCTGCAGCTGGCTACAGATCTATAGCCCGCTGCTCTTCTTTCTCTTCCTTTATCTTTTTAAAATATGTTTATAGCTGGCTTATAATCTGCTATTGTACCTGCTCTTATGCCACCGCCAGCAGGAAGGAGTAAAAATACAATAATTGTTCAGAGTTTTCAGACAACCGTGAGGCATTTGTGAGAGAAGTTGGAACAGTGTTTTTTTTTTTTTGCCCATCTTAATATCTCTCATCTATCCATATGCATTGTGGTGCGGCTGGTGCCTGGTTTAACTATTACCAACTAACAAATGGTCCCACACTAATCAACACTTAGGTATTATACATTCTTGTTGCTCTTAATAAATAACTATTACCAACTAACAAATGGTCCCACACTAATCAACACTTAGGTATTATACATTCTTGTTGCTCTTAATAAATAACTATTACCAACTAACAAATGGTCCCACACTAATCAACACTTAGGTATTATACATTGTTGTTGCTCTTAATAAATAACGCTCTCAGCTTTCCACTTTGTTGCTAAAATGAACCTTAAGTTTTAGCTTTACCATTACCAAAAAATTAATGGGTAACAATTCAAATATTGCCCAAGAGACTTACCTTCGCTACCAAACTTTGGTAATTTTAAATTATTTCTCACAAAAACTTAATAAAGGTAGCAAAACTACAACAAAACTGTTGTACGTAAAGACATTAATCTAATATTGTAGAGGTGTTTTAAAATATCTCTAAGTATTATAGGGACATTTTGAACAAGAGTAAAGTCCATCACCGGTCCCTAAACTTGTACCGTTGTGTCATCCCGGTCCCTAAACTCGCAAATTGACCGTTCAGGTCATCAAACTTGTTCGACTGTGTCATCCTGGTTCCTAAACTTGCAGATCACTTGTTTAGATCCTCCAACTTGTCCAGTTATGTCACCCCGGTCCCTAAACTTGGATTTGAATATCATCTTGGTCAAATAGGACGGTCTAAAGACTTTATATTTAAAAATAATTCGTAATTTTTTCATGTGAACTCTAATGAAGAAAAAATTTATACCAAACTTGTAGCCCTCGACGCGATCTACAACTTTGTAGTTAATTTTTTTTATTTTAAGTCATTTTTTGTCCCAAAATGTAATTTTAAAATCAAAATTTCAAAATCTATAAACATGCAACAATATTTTGGGACCCTAAACAGTTTTAATTCAAAAAATTTTCAACTACAAAGTTGTAGGTCGCGTCGAGGGCTACAATTTTGATATAAAGTTTGTCTTCATTAGAGTTCACATGAAAAAGTTATGAATTATTTTTTAATATAAAGTTTTTAGACCGTCCTGTTTAGGGACCGGGGTGACACAACTGAACAAGTTAGAGGACCTAAACGAGTGATCTGAAAGTTTAAGGACCAGAATGATACAGTCGAACAAGTTTGAGGACCTGAACGGTCGATTTGCGAGTTTAGGGACCGGGATGACATAACGGTACAAGTTTAGAGACCGGTGATAGACTTTACTCTTTTGAACAATATTTGAACACATGAACTCTTGAGTAGATAATTTTTATCTTCAATGCACTCACCATCTCAACTTGATATCATTACTTGTAAAGATGTGCCTTCTGTTAGTTATATGGAGTAGCAGAGCATACATTAATATTTAGAAAAGTACCCCACAAAGGTTAAAATGTCTTTACACCTAAGACAAATTTTAAAGTGTCGAAAATATACCTCTACAATATAAATTTAACAAAATATATTAAAAATATGAGTAAAAGTATTTTAAACAATTTTTAAAGTGTCTCTAGACTATATAACTCATAATTTATTGGCAAATTAAAAACCACGTCTACCAAAGTGTCTCTACGCAAGGTATTTTTTTTTTGTTGTATTCAAGAGCAAAAGCAGAGCTGCGTACAGGTGTTCTTTTTTAAATAGAAAAAAAAAAACTCCTCTTTAGCCATCGGTTGACCTTGACCCTATAAGTAATCGAGTCAATTTTCTACACAGGAAAATGATATCACATCGCATTTTCATTCGGCGGTGTTTGCTATTTAGGCGCGGTATAGATAGGACTAAAACTTTGTCACTATCACATCGGATGTTTGGACACTAATTATAAATATTAAACATAGACTATTAATAAAACCCATCCATAATCTTGGACTAATTCACGAGACGAATCTTTTGAGCCTAATTAATCCATGATTAGCCTATGTGATGCTACAGTAAACATTCTCTAATTATGGATTAATTAGGCTTAAAAAATTTGTCTCGCGAATTAGCTTTCATTTATGTAATTAGTTTTGTAAGTAGTATATATTTAATACTCTAAATTAGTGTCTAAATACAGGGACTAAAGTTAAGTCCCTGGATCCAAACACCACCTTATTGGATAGGAGGGCCAAGTCATCGGTTAACATAGGTCTCTGCATGTTCATCTTCCTTTCATTCCTTTACACTCCCTTCGTTTCAAAATAATTTCATTTCTAGCCTCTATCATTTATGCTAAAAGTTTACTAATATTTCCTCACAATCCCTAATTTGCAAATCGATGAGTTGAATTTTACCAATACCTCCTACCTACCCCTTATTTTTTTTCAATATCTCCGATCTACCCTTATCTAGACATCCATTATCATTGTTTTCCTCTTAATAAATAGCGCTTTGAGCTTTCTACTTTGTTACCAAAATGAAATTTTACCAAGTTTTAGTTTTACCATTATCAAAGATTTTACAGATAACAATTCAAATATTATACACTGGTGGAGAAACCATCTTTGGTCGGTCGACCAAAATCCACAATAGTCCCAGTTCCACTAAAAACCGGGACTAAAAATGATCTTTAGTCCCGGTTGGTAGCTACAGTGGGCATATTTGATCTTTAGTCCCGGTTGGGATCAGGACTAAAGATGATCTTTAGTCCCGGTTCGTATGTTGTCAGGGGCTGTCAGGCCCTCCCGTGATCTTTAGTCCCGGTTGTTAACACCAACCGGGACTAAAAATTCTAATTTTAGTCCCGGTTGGTGTTACCAACCGGGAGTAAAGATCACCGTGTCCCGGTTGTTAAACAACCGGTAAAACAAAACCTCTATCCAGTACACGCGCATGCAAAGTCTCCTATTAATTCCATCCTTATCTCCTCCTCTCCCATCTAGCCATCTCCATCTTATCTTCTTCTCTCCTCTCCTCCCATCCTTCTCTTCCTTCTTCTCTCACCCCATCTCCTCCTCCCCTCTCACCTCCCCCTCCTCCCCTCCCTTCCCCTCCGGCGGGGCGACGGGATGGAGGCCGCCACCGGCGGCCCGACGCGGGGCGGCGAGATGGAGGCGGTCGAGAGGGCAACTGCCGGCGCCGGGCGGGAGGCGGCAGCCAGCTGCGTCGGGGGCGGCCGGCGCCGGTCGGGAGGCGGCGGCAGGAGAACTTTTTTTTTTCTCTTCTTTATGCTATCTGATGAATGATGTTGTAGATGGGAATTTTCTTTTTTCTTTCTTTGTTCTCTGTGATGAATGCTCTCTGTGATGAGATATTGTAGATCTGAACAAGTGTAAACAATATGGATGCTTTGTTGTTTGATTTTATTCATTCGATCTATGGTTTAGGCTTTGTTGTTGATTTTATTTATTCGATCCACTAGCTTAAGCTAAATAACAATAAAAAAGAAAAAAGGCCAACCGGATGAAAGGAAAAGAAAAAAAAAACCAAAACTTTTTAAATATTTTTAGTCCCGGTTGGTGTTACGAACCGGGACTAAAAATCGATCTTTACTCCCGGTTATTTGAACCGGGACTAAAGATTGTGATCTTTAGTCCCGGATTCGTAGTCCCAGTTGGAAAACCGGGACTACAAAGGGGTTACCAACCGGGACAACAAAGCGTTTCTCCACCAGTAATTGCCAAGACTTACCTCCGCTACGTACCAAACTTTAGTAATTTTAAAATATTTCTCACAAAGTCTTAATAAATGTACCAAACCAAATAAAATTTATATGTTTCAACCCTACCAAATACCAACAATTTAACATTAGCCATTTAACATTACCAAAATTTAGTAAGATCGATTTAGATATCAAAGTGAACAACCCTTTTATCTTTATCTTATTTTGCACATCAAAAAATAAAGTTGAAGATATTTTGGGACCGTTATAGTTTATGCAGTATCCATGTTGTGTTTCCAAAGCGCAGGGGCCATGCAGCTGAACCTGGAACTCTCTCGAAGCCGCCTCTCATAAAATCTCCGAAATAATTGCCACGCCCATCGGCGACGGCGAGCTCTATCTTCGATCACACCTTCGACGTCTCCACTGCTCCTCGCTTCCTCAGTTTAGTTTGGTGCTATATATATGCTCGTCAACAAAACAAACTCCATCTTGACCGTCGGGGAGTCCGCTCTACCCGCCGTGTCCTGATCTGCGCCGCTGCTAGCTAGGAGGCTCCCGCCCGATTAGCACCGGATGACTGGAAGGTCCAGGTCAGCTAGCGTTTGCAACATGACATGTGGTGAACTGGTGATGTGGGTAGTGTGTCCTTGGACGGTTTCCAGACAGGTTGCATACTATAACAGGACAAGAGACAATTAATACATGAATTACTACTACCTCCGTACTTTTAAAAAATATTATGTTTCTTAATAGATACTCCCTCCGTCCCAAACTCCCTGTCCAGATTGTAGAACTAGAATGTGTTATATTCATATGAAATTCCTTATATTCTAGGACGGAGGGAGCAACACACATTTAACTATTTGTTCAGTTAAAAAAAATTAGTATTAATATGCTAAAACACAAGTCATACTCAAAAGTTTAAAGCTTGAAAGTTAAAAGATGTCACAATAAAATAAATAATATTTATGTAAATTTTGTAATAGTCCAAATGATCAAACATTATATAAAGCGTTTTTCTATTAAAAAAGAGGAAGTAATGATGAGATAAATTTATAGTAATATATTTTTGTGACAAAGGTAGTATATGATTAGTAGTGATTAAGAGTGTATGATCCAACTCTAATTATAGCCTAACGCATGCTAAAACTTAACATAGAAACATACAACATCATCATCCATTAGCAACTATTACCTATACTCTTTTAAAAATACTTCAATTATGGTGCCAGTGAATATGTCACTCTACTTACTCCAATTGTTACTTTTACATATTAGCCCTTAAAATTCTTAATATTGTAAAACAACTAAATCTAAATGGTAGTCACAAATAAAATTAAATTACGTTGAGTTTAAAGTATTCTATATAGCAAAAAGATGGGCAACATATTTCATGAAAAATACGCTTTAAATTGTTAAGTAATATTATAATATTTTTTCTTTCATATGTAGCAAAGCAAAGGCATTTAGCTATTATCTTAAAGATCATAGAAGTATACCACAGGATAACATCTAGTGATCACAATAGAATATTAGCAAGAGTCCGAATTATAGGATCAGGATCAGAGGAGGGAGGTGAGTAATCATTTGTTCTTTTTCAAAGAACAAGCATATATCGTTAAATCTAAATCGAAGCCTCTCATTTTAGTTATATCACACGACGCGCCTCACAGCCATCCGATCTCCTTATCTAGCCTGTAGCATCACAGAGAGACGCACATGCACATAGTAGGAGCATGAAAGGGCAAAAAAGAGAGAGAAAAGTACTACTACACATCTTCTTTTTTGTTATTAAGTCATACATGTTCTTTTTCATTCTTATAAAATTTTCTCTTAAATTACTTATCCGATCTACAATCCAATTATACCATTGTGCTCGTTGCAATTAAATCTTCGTAACAAGATCTTACGTGATTATATTATGATGAAAAATATTTATGTTTGTAAATTACTTTTATTATATATGTAAGTTACTTTTATCATATATATAAATTACATTCAAATTTGATTAAATTACTTATATATTCGTGATGCTCCGAGTTGATTACTTTTATTATTAGTTTTAGTCAATTCTATAATTTATGCTGATTAAATTTAGTTTTTAGATAGACTCATGTTTTTATCCCTACAACAAATTTACTTCTAATGTTGTAACAACTTACTTCCATTTCATGCTAAGTTACTTTTATGATTTATGTAAATTACTTTTAGATTTTATTGAACTTACTTTCACAAATGTATTTACTTGAAAATATTCTCTACACTATGCTTGTGAATTTACTCCACATAGTCTCTTACTACAACTTAGTCATAATATAGTTACTTCTAATGTTATAGAGAGTTCTATTGCATATCTAACTTACTTCTACAATTTAAATAAATTACTTTTAAATTAATAATATGTTTGAATATAAAAATAAATTTAATAAAGCCTAAAAGTAATTTACACATATTATATAAGTAACTTAAAACAAAACGAAAGTAACTTTGTCACGACATTAAAAGTAAATCCGTTATGAAGGTAAAAACATGAGTCACTACCAGAAACTGTTTCTGTATTACTTCTGACGGCTAAATCCCGTCAAAAATAAAGGAAATCCCGTCAGGAAAATTTTGGCCCGTCAAGGCTAATCGAGTTTATGGTAGTGAGTCTATATAGAAACTAAATTTAATCAGCACAAATTATGTTATTAACTAAAAATGATTATAAAATTAATAAACAACTCACAACATTATGAATGTATGAGAAGTAATTTAATCAAATCGAAAAGTAACTTATACATATGATTAAAGTAACTACATATATAATAAAAGTAAATTTACAACATAGATATTTCTTTAATCAAAATATAGTGATGTAAGATTTTGTTGTAAAGATTTAATTGCAACGAACACAATGGTGTAATCGGATCGTAAATCGGATGAGTAATTTAGGAGAAAATTTTATAAGAAGAAAAACAATGCATGCAATTTTAGGTGTACTAGTAGCAACTACGTATGAGATTGAGATAGCTGGTTACAACAATCCAGCTTACGGTCTCATTGGTTGGAAACAATAATGTTAGTCTAACACTAAATTGACCTTAGAAATACTCGGAGGCTCATGAAAATACGGTGCTACGAAAGGATATAGTAACTGAACAGTAATTAACAGAAAGACGCATTGAACAAAAATTCTTCAGAACTTCACCGAATCAAATCCGTTTTATACCACAGTTGAAATATAATTACTACACCACTTTTGCTATATATTTATCGATAAATTTTCTCCTAAAAATTTGATAGATGTAATTACAGTACAATCATAGGGTAAATACATTGTAACTTACATGTAACTGCAATGTAACTTATATGTAACCTTCACGTAATTTTGAACCATTAGATTTGTTTCAAGATTTATGCAAGTGAGGAAGGAAAAAAGTCACAACGCGCACACATGTGAGAGGATTCGTTCCCACGACCTCCGTTTCACCGAAATAGCATGTTACATAGAGATTTTGAATGTCACACACAAGTTACATTGTAATTGTAGTTAGATGCAAGTTATAGTATAATTACATCGCGATTGTACTGTAATTACATCTACCAAATTTTTGAAAGAAAATTTGTCGACAAATGTATAGGTGATTCCGAGAAAACTCTAATCTGCAAGGAGAAAGCTGATAGACGTAAAATAAAACCTGGGTTAATCAAAAACTAACAAATAAATTAGGCCAAACTTTTACTGTGAACAGATTTATTATGAATTGAAAAAAATACTCACTCAAATCCAATGGTTAAATAAAAAGTGTAGAAGCAATCTAATATCAGAAAAAAAAATTATGTCAAGGGCTAGCTACTATTGGAGTATTATCTCCCACAAGTGCAAACCAATGTACGGACGTGGGGATTTTAGATCCTGTGACTTAAGTTACCTGATATTTTCTACTGACTAACCGTATGAACTCTCTTTGATATGAACTCTAATCTATCTAACTTATAGTTCAACAACTTATTTTACTCATTCATCACGTGACACATCCAACGGTTGTAAATCATCCAACGCATGAGATCGGACGACAGCGCGCGCACGCACGCACGCGAGGTCCGCCATGGCGCCAGGTCCCAGCTCGGATCCCCATCGCGCCCGTCCGCTCCAGCCGTCACCAACTATATCTGGCAGCGGTAAAGGAGCAGTGGACGCAGCATCTTCGGTCCCCTCTACCTCCGTTGCCCGCGTGCCCTATCATCTCGCGGCGAAAAAGGAGTAGTCCACGCGGTGTCTTCTGACGGTAATCGACGACCTCGAGGTTGGTTCCTGAACAGGTTCATCTCGCACCTCTCCTTTTTCTTGAAATTACTGATTTTGCCTAAAGTACTCAAGTGTGATGAGTATAACAGAAATTTTGGGTATATGTATGCTAGGATTCATGTGGTGCAATAGCACACATTTGATGCTTAATAATATGGATTTAACACACTCTCCATTCAGTTATGTTGGCCTTTTTCTCCCGAGTGCAACGGAGGTTATAAAATACTGTCGCACAAACCTATTGTGTGTTCGCGTAAATATCCTTATCTCTTGCTCTATCGTCTTAGGGATCGAACTCCTGGTTCTGCCTTCCAAGGAGGAAAGAAGCAAATTTTAGACATTTCACAATTGGATTGTTTACATGTGACGTATTATTTTTATTCAAATTATGAGTTTCTATGTGAAATTACTCGTCTGAAAATTGTTGTGGATTTTACATCTTTCTATCCCTCCCGAATGCTAATATTAGCTGATTTGTGTCCTGACTCATTTCAATGGCTTGCAGATATACTAAAAGGAAAATAAAGGTGATGTAACTGTAACTAGCACCTTCAGGGCCATTAGGTCGGATACAAAAATTGGTGGAGACTGGAGACGTTCTGCAACTAAATCAAACTCTACTTTTTTTTTCTGAATATCAGCTAACAACATTTCTAATTTCTGATGGAGTAGATTTGTTGTCTAGTCAAATTGAAAGGGGAAAAACTTTTATATCAAATCACTGCCGGCATATCAAATTTACTGATATACATCTCTGCCATCTTATCAGATTTTGACGGCTATTATTTATCTTCATGCTTGAATTATTATTTATCTTCATGCTTGAATTCTTACAGTCATTTTGAAATTAGATTGGGCGTGGAACTTCCTGCTACTACTGCTGTTTTAATTATCTTTACTGGCAGTACAGTTATTATCATGGAATAATCTGTTTTAATAATCTTATTTTAGATCAGTATGCAAATCCATGTAACTTTACTCGATTTCACCCATTAACATACCAATCATTTCCCAGACCTGCAGATTGACAACTTATTAATTACTGTTAGTAGCTTTGAAAAATAACCCTTAGATAAAAATTAAACATGTAGATTGAAGTATTTTTATTTTTATTTAACGATGCACTGAACTTTTTACTGCATAATAGGCTGCGTTGGCGTGGAGATGCACATGCAAGTTGATAGCTGATAGCAATGAGTAAATCGAATAGCTGCTCAGTTCCTCCTCTGCATTCTAACATGCTGAGCAACCGGCGTTGAGGACCTCCTTGGCACCCGAGAAGAGGTTGTTGGTCTGGAGCGGTACTGAAGGTATGCTCTTATTGTGATTCACTCTTTAGCATATGTTATAGTATCTAAGGTGCCATATACAGAAGTAGCAAGGATGAAGCAGACCAGCAGAGATTGTTGCCAAGCAAATTTGATGGCACATGAACACAAAATTGTGATTTTTTGATAGTTTGCATTATAAATGCTCCTTCTTGTCCTGCCTCCCTTTTCCCTAAATTTAGTTTACATGCTGTAGGCAGGCAATATTTCCTAAACACTTCAAAATGGATAGAGGAATTCAGAACTGAGGGGCAGTGATTTCTATAATTGTGCTGATTAGGAACAAAACTGATCGTGTTGACAAGAGGTGAGTGGTTCAGAAGTTTTCTTGTTTTCTGTAGCCTTTTCATGTTGTCTTGCTTATCTGATGGATTTTGCTCACTGAAACTGGGACTCACTGAATTGAAGGCAAATTACATAGCTCTTGCTTATGGTCTTCTGTGTTGGAGCACATCTTCCATGGGTTTGTGGATGTGCTCATCCTGCTCAAGGTTGACTATAGTTTTGGTCAGTAAAGCGGATGCAGTTAGTTATTGAGTTAGAACAGACTTACATGTAATAGTCAAGTTAATCAGTGCATTGCTTGCAGTTTCAATGCTTACACCACAATTTTATTCCCTGCAATTACTTTCACATTTTAAGCTTTGTTTTCTTCTCTACTCCCAACCACTGAACTCGTTTTTTTAATGAAAACTCAACTTGCTTTTTGCAAGTTCTCTTTGTTTTTTTGCAATTGGAAAACCGTCACATGTTCAACACAAAACTATCACTTATAAGAACTGTAACAAGCTGATGGATGAACTTTGATAGGTTCCTTTACGAAATTTATAAATGCATCTTACAAATCTGAATGCTTGGAGTTATATGAGATGATGGATGAGTATTGCAGGGTAAAGATTATGTCACCTTTGATAATTAAATTTAATGTACAATGATTTTTGCGCATGTATACTACATTTTGTTTGATTAACTGGTACCTTTTATATATTTTGCCCTTACGATTTGTTCGTTGTTTACTATTTCAGATTGGACGGAGGCATATAACCTCTTCAAAGAACCAAGGTATCAAGGATCTTCCTGTCAATGTAAAATAAAAAAATAAACAATCTCTGTTGGTAGGTAATACTACAATGTTGAGATAATACTCCATCTCAGTGGCCGATGACAATGCAGAGGAATAGTTTCTAGAGCCAAAGGGTGAACATCAAGGTTTAATACTTCAAGGTTTAAGTTGCAACTTACGCACTACTGCACCAACCTACTTGTGCCGTTTAGACATCATTTTTTATAGTGCTGTAGATGTTAGATTATTGTCACAGAGCCAATTAAAATTTTTAAAATTTGTTTACCTCCTTTGTGCTTCAAGATTTGTGAATATGCTTTCTCCTATATCTATGAGACTGTGCAAACGCATCCTGAAGATTTAGCAGACAATGTGTTTCACTGCTGGTCAAAGGTATTTATGTATTGTATCAAACATGTCTACGTTTGACCTATTTATTATATATATCAGATTCAGATTGATAAATATTTAAACAATCTAATTCTCTTTCTTTTCTTTTGTGTGATCTTAAAACTATCTTGTGCATTATAGTCTTAATCACTAAAGCATACATTGTATACATTTTTGGTTGTTTAATTACGTTATTAAATACCACCGTACGGGCAGATTACCAGTGTCAATAATTTCTCTTTGATATGGACCCATATGTCAATAATTTCAAAGTCACCTGACTCAATCAGAGAGGATCTCAATCCCGACGCGGCGAATAGGCACAGCCCACACAGCGGTCTCGCCTGCGGCCCAACAATAGAACCCGCAGCTCAGGCGCCAACAGGAAAGGCTGCTACTTTATTGGAACAAGTTCACTTTGACCCCCCTTAAAAGTGACCCGAATCTAATGCATGACCCTGAACCGCAAAACCAGAAATCTTGACCCCCTAAACTGTTAAAACCGGTTCAATTTGACTCCCTCAGCGGTTTTGAAGAGCGGTTTTGCTGACGTGGCGTCTACGTAGTCTTCGTACTACGTGGCGTTGACGTGGCACTTAAGTGGCATTAGAATTAAAAATATATATGCGGGGCCCATTTATCATTCACAAAAAAAAGGTTGTCGGCCCCACTGACATGTGGGGCCCACACAAATCCCTTCTTCCTCCTCCCTTTCTCCCTTTTCTGTCTCTTTCTCATCGGTTCTTCCTCTTCAGCCGACGGCGAGCGCGTGAGGCTAGAGCTGCGGCGGCAGGCAGGAGGGCAGGCGAGGGGTGGAGCTGCGCTGGGCGGCGAAGGAAGCGGCGGACGAGTGTACCGGTCGTTGTCGCGGGCGAGGGAGACGCTGGCGGCGGCATCGGCGCGCGCCTTCGGGTTGCTGGTGTAGAGGACGGCGATCGGCTCCCAGATGAGGAAAAGGATGGGCTCATTCTGGGCGATGGAGGGGAGGCCGATTTGGTCGTCGAGGTCGTCGGTGTTGAAGTAGTTGGAGACGCAGAGGATCTAGGAGAGGTCGCCGAGGGACTTGTCAAACTGGTTGGAGGTCTTCTTGAAGGAGCAGGCGGATGAGGTTGTGGCCACGACAGCGGTCGAGAAGGGTGGTGGCCTTGTCGAGGGCCTTGCCGGTGTCTTCGAGGATGCGGCGGGCGGGGCGCTCGAAGAGGTCGGCGTGGACAGCCTGGCGGAGGAGGGAGGCGAGGCGCTCAACTGACGCCATGTCGCCCCCACTCTCGTCCCCCTCTGCTCTACTGATTCGCAGCGGCGGCGCAAGTGAGAGTTGGAGCGGCGACGGTAGGATGGGCAAGGGCAGGAGTGGCGGAGTGGTCGACGAGACCAGTGGCGACGCCATGTCGCCCCCTCTTTCATCCCCCTCTGCTCGACTGATTCGTAGCGGCGGCGCAAGTGAGGGCTGGAGCGGCGACGGTAGGACGGGCAAGGGCAGGAGTGGCGGAGTAGTCGATGAGACCGGTGGCGACGTCATGTCGCCCCCTCTTTCATCCCCCTCTGCTCGACTGATTCGCAGCGGCGGCGTGCAAGTGAGGTCGGAGCGGCGAGGGCAGGATGGGCGAGGACAGGAGCGTCGTCGGAGAGAGAGGCCACGACCGCCGACCGCCTGCCCCCGGTTTCGCTGTGCCCCGATGCCGCCAGCCGCCGCCGCTCCCCTCGTCCTCCCGCCACCGCTGCCAACGAAGAAAAACGAAGAAAGAGAGAATATAGAAGGGGAGTCACTAATAGGTGGGCCCCACTTTATTTTTTTAATTTATTTGATGACTGGGATGCCACGTAGGTATCAGCGGAACCACCCTCCAAAACCGCCGAGTGAGTTAAATTGCATCGGTTTTAAGAGTTTAGGGGTCGAGATATCCGATTTTGTTGTTTAGGGTCACGGATTAGATTTCGATCATTTTTTAGAGTCACGAAGTGATCTTATTCTTACTTTATTCGATTCATCTGCTGCTGCGCTTCTGCATGCGGCCCAGTTTCCCTTGACTGCTTGAGCACACTGGATTCATGATTTTTTTATTTTTTATTTTATTTATTAAAATATTTATAAAAATAATTACAGATTTATTTTAGATGCAACTGTAGCCTACAAGGCTATACGAGATGTACGTTCTCACGCATATTTTTTTTTCTCACACGGCGTCGCCAATATCATAGTACCTGAGTCATTTTGTAACGATTTTTGTAAATACATTATCTATCGATAATTTTTCTTCCAAAATATACCGTGTAGTTCTGTGGTAATGGCCTATAGTTACAATATTATAACTTTCATTCATGTAGTTTTAGACCATTTGATTTCCTCTGAGATTTGTGCAAGTAAAAAAAAACACAGTAAGCGTGTAGTAAGTACACAGGTGATGGAGTGCGGAAGCAACGTGATGCTAGCGTTGTGCTAATGCGAGTTTTTTGAAAGATAATTACATAAAATTATAGCATAATAATACATTTTTATATTGTATTTATATTTCATAACTTTTTAGAACAATTTATCGACGAATATATAGTAATTCGTTCTGTTATATTATCAAGTAACCTATCTTGGCTCGATTTCGGTGATGGAGACACGGTTGGCCGACGCGGCCATCACCCTGCCGCCTGGCGAAGAATTGGTGCCGGCTGCCCGCGTCGCATCCTCCTCCGGGAGTACCCAGAACGCCGGCCTCGACGGAGGGTTGAGCGACGCCGTGCCGCCGATCATCGTGGTCACCGCCGACAGCTTCGGGCGGTCGGCGGGGTTCGCCTGCACGCAGAGTAGGCCGACATGGATGCACCCCAGCATCTGGTCAGCCTGGAGAGAGCACTGGTTGGTGGTGCCATGGCCAGCTCTGGTCAGTGTCGACGGATCCACCAGCTCTAGAAGTGTTCCCCTGTTCCAGTGCTGCCAAATCTGCACAGTACAAATGCATTTAGGGCCTCTCTGAATCACATGAATAAAAAAACAGAGGAATAGAAAAAACATAAGGCCCCATTTGAATTGTAGGATAAATGGAGGAAAAACAAAGGAATTGAAATCCTACACTATTCATACCTTTGATTTGTAGGAATGAGAAAAGGAAAAACGTAGGAAACTTTCCTTTTCCTACGATTCTAGAGGAAAAACGTAGGAAATTTAACATCCACTCCAACTTCTTGGAAAACTTCCCTTGAGTCTATCTCTCTCATCTGAATCCTGCGTTTTTCCTGTGGTCCAATCAAACGGCCATTCCTGTGTTTTTCCTGTGTTTTGCAATCCTCTGTTTTATACTTGCATTCTTATCAGAATCCTATATTTTTCCTATTCCTCCGTTTTTTCAATTCTACGATTCAAAGGGGCCCTAAGATTCTGACAAAAATATAAGTGTAAAACAGAGGATTGCATATAACAGGAAAAACATAGGAATAACCGTTTGATTGGACCACAGGAAAAACACAGGAATTTAATGAGAGATAAAGACTCAAATGATTTTTTTTCCATAAGGTTCTACCTCTTGTTAAGGCCCCCTTTGATTCAAAGGAAATTTATAGGAATTTTAGAGGATTTCATTCCTATAGGAATTTTTCCTACAAAGCCCTTTGAATCAAATGATTGTACCCTATGGAATCCTATGAAATTTCTATGGAATGCATCTTCCCATACAAGTTTTGGAGAAATTTTAACAAGAGGTAGAACCTCATGGAAGAAATCCTTTGAGTCTTTATCTCTCCTCAAATTCCTGTGTTTTTCCTGTGGTCCAATCAAACGGTCATTCCTATGTTTTTCCTGTGTTTTGCAATCCTCCGTTTTACACTTACATTTCTATCAGAATGATGTGTTTTTCCTATTCCTCCATTTTTTTCAACCCTGCGATTCAAAGGGGCCCTAAATTTCCTTCAAAACTTGTATAGGAAGAGGCATTCTATAGGAATTTCATAGGATTTCGTAGGGTTCATTCCTTTAATTCAAAAGGCTTTGCAGGGAAAAATTCCTATAGGAATAAAATCCTCTAAAATTTCTATGAATTTTCTTTGAATCAAAGGGGCCTTAGTTCCATCTGAATTCTTTGCTGATAGTGAATCTAAGTATCTATAACTATCGAGAAGAGAGTAGGGATGGTGGTGAATCTACTATCACTTAACTCTTTAAAACTATGATATGAGGGATCTACGCGTGTTCATACCTCTCAAAATCAAATATGCAATTTTTTGAGGGAGGGAGTTACGCAGTCATGACAAATCAATCGAATCCGTTTACACCTTTTTACCCCAAAAATATAATATTATAAAAAACATCTAATTTAATTCTAAAATTAAGCTCTAAATTCAAAATATATTATTTTTTCAATGTGCCGATGTGGTTTTCTAAATTCCATAACAACTTATGGGTATTTTGCTAGTTACTTTAAAAAAAGTTTCAATTTTTACTCCCACGAACCATTTTATTAGAGCACTTCATATCCTGTAAAATTTTTTTATTTTATCCGTAAAACATTGGTTCATTCAATTACCAAATAATATTTATTTTTGCTCTATTTGTATAAGGAAAAATTTCAAATATCCCCCTAAACTTTAGATGGAAGTCTGTCTAGCACCCTGAACTTTAAAATTAGACATCCAACCCCCTAAACTTTGCCATACCAACCATATTACTCCTTTAGGTGGTTTTGGATGATGGTTTTGCATAATTTGGAAGCTTAAACAAACAATTTTGAATAACTAATATAACATATTTGCATATCATCAGTTATAAGTTATCAATTTATTTTTGTAGAGTGACATCATACTATTATTATTATGTTGGTACTTGTTTGTAAATGAAAGCTAATAATAAGCAAAAAGTGTATGACATGTGATCAAACTCATCTAGCTTATATACAAATTAGATAAAAACCATTATGTAAAACCATCTTAGGAGATTATATAAATGGTATTGTAAAGTTTAGGGGGTTGAATGACCGGTTTCAAAGTTCAGGGTGTTAGATGGACTTTCATCCAAAGTTTAGGGGGTTATTTGGACTTTTTCCTTTGTGTAATTAAGTTGTATTTTAAGCTGCAATTTTGTAGGGCTATTGGTGACACCATTAACAAAGTTCAAAACTTCTTTCATTATTACATGAACTTCATATGTACAATGTTTTAATCAATCTTAGGTTGCTTCGACCTTTGTAAACGATGATAAAAATTTCTAAAAATAATGCGGCGACGTAAGTTGTAATAAAATATATCATCATCCAATCAAATTATAGTGCAAAATACGAGTTATATAGGGACAAATAAAACAGAAAAATAGTTATATTAGGGAGTAAAGTGGATCATTTTCAATAATTTTGATATGTAAATACTAGTTTAGAAAGTATGCAGCTTAAGATTCTATCTAGGGAGCTTCTAATAAATGTAGCCATTCTAAAATCTTCAGCTGCTACTAGAATTGCGATCTCCATCTTCGTAGTACATTCTTTACTCCATTCTTAGTAGCTACAGAATTTAAATGTAGTAGTAACCGATAGATAGGTATGTTAATTCTCTAGATTATTATCAAATTGATGCTCACAAGCTAATTTCCAGCTTCAAGATAATGCCAAAGACGCGCATCCGGCGCACGCTCTACGAATGCACACACAAATCCTTGCGTGTTCTAACACATGCATCTTAGCTCTACCTAAACCATATGTATACATATGTATAGTACTCCTTCCGTTTTGTAATATACGACGCCGTTAACTTTTTGAGATACGTTTAACCATTCGTCTTATTAAAAAAATCGTATAATTATTATTTATTTTATTGTGACTTGATTTATCATCAAATGTTCTTTAAGCATGACTTAAATATTTTTATATTTGAAAAAAAAATTGAATAAGATGAATGGTTAAACGTTGGTAAAAAGTCAACGGCATCATATATTAAAAAGGGAGGTAGTATCATTTACAAATCTTCAGAGGCTGGCCGGCAATATGTTTCTTCTATCTAAAAGAATTTATAAACGTCAGAGCATTAATATATTAATTTTTGGATATGAAGGATAACTGAAAAAACATTAGAGCTTATAATTCATATTCTTAGTAGGAATATAATATGCATGGTCAAACTCACAAGGTCTAAGAGGTTGAAAGATTGCTCATGATCACTGTATGAGCCCATGCTTCTTCTTCCTGTGACAATCTCTAGAATAAGAACACCAAAGCTGAATACATCAGACTTGACGGAATATTGTCCAAACATTGCGTATTCAGGTGCCATATATCCACTGTAAAAATTGAAAACAATTATCATCTATTCTCATAAAAGGTCATAAGAATAAATAGAATCCAGCTTTATATAGGCTCATGATCGTCATTCCCATTCACTGGGTGTACTTTCTATATTATATCTCTATCGATTATATATATTGAATTGTGATATTTTACTTACTATGTCCCAGCTACTCGATTTGTGATAACATGAGATTGATCTGCTCCAAATAACTTTGCCAATCCAAAGTCTGAAATCTTTGGAGTCAAATCGGAGTCTAATAGAATGTTATTTGCCTTGAGATCGCGGTGGATGATCTTCAATCTAGACTCTTCATGCAGGTACTCTAAACCTCGAGCAATTTCAATTATGATTTTCAATCTCTTCTCCCAACTTAATTCCCTGCTTTTATCCGGATCTGCCACTCGAAGAAGAAGTATAGATATCTCTACTATGGAATTTTTTAATGGAAATAACAACTAATTTGTTTTGAAAGAAATAAACATACCGAAAAGGATGGTATCCAAGCTTCTTTTGGGCATGTACTCATACACGAGCAACTTTTCTTGGTTTTCCACACAAACACCAACAAGTCTCACAAGATTTTTGTGTTGAAGCTTGCTAACCAAAACTAGCTCATTTTTCAGTTCATTTATTCCTTGCCTTGAACAATTTGAGAGCCTCTTCACTGCTATCTGTTGTCCATCTGGAAGAGCTCCCTGTCCATGTGTGAATTTGCAAATATATATGTAAAACATGTTGTAAAGAACTTGAAAAGGTAAGCTGGCTAAACGAATGTGTGTGTTGGGGGGGAGGGGGGGGGGCAAATATTGTTTTTTTTTCCAGCAAAAGAGACAATCCATCATCTTTTCTTTGCGTGTCATATTGCTCGATTTATTTAGATATGTGTGTTCTTTGATTTTAATATTCATCCACCTCATAATGCCAAAAATATTTTTGGTAATTGGCTTAGAGGAATGCCTAGGTCTATGTAAAAGATGATATTAATTTGAGCTAGTGCTTTATGTTGGTCAATTTGGAAGTGCCGTAATGATAAAGTTTTTAATGGTAAGCAATTGTCTAACCCGATGCAGGTTATCTTCATATTTTCGTATTAGCTCCACTTTTGATCTATGATGCAACCACATGAGGAGTAGGATATTATGTGCAGTGGTGCTATACTTTTAGAATTGGTAGCGAAGGGTCTCTTATTCCAGTATGGGTGGCGTAGTTCTATTAGAATTGCTGGTTGAATCTATATGGTTTAACGCTAGTTACTAATAAAGGGGAGTAGGGGGTTTGTTTTATCATCTATTATCTCTTTTTTATTTGGTAAACAATCTTATGGTTGTGTGCATTAGGGCATAAGCCGGAGATGTAAACCATTTACATTATATATAAAAAAACTTGAAAATGAGTTATAGGTTGTGTATGAATGATAAAAGGATTTGCTTCGTTTTGTTAACTTGTTTGAACATCAAAACAAAAGCAATGACGTGCCGACAACTTCTACTATCAATTAAGTACAAATCATCTACGCCGGATTTTGTTAAATAATGTTGATACCTTGTAGACCACACCAAAACCACCTTCTCCGAGCTTATTTCGTTCATCAAAGTTATTTGTTGCTGTTCGCAAAGTCGAGAGATCAATATTAATGTCCTCCTGATTAATCAACCCTGTCAAAATGAAAATAACTATCTTAACAACCGCATATAGGATATAAATGTGATTATGTGACCTGATCAGATGGTTTTACAGACTCCCATTGAGTGTTAAAAATAACACTAAATGTGGTCTGAATGCAATAATATGTAATGTAACTTGTAGCATGTGTGTATCTTAATTCCTCTTTCTTTATCAAATTATCATCTTCTTTGATCAAATTAATACCTTTTGTTTGATCAAATAACTATCTTAATACCTCTTTTTGTTCAAAACAATCAACTCGTTGGTCCATTTCAAATTAATATGATGCCACATATTAATAAAGAAGTATTGTTGTGTTTATTTTTTGTGTAATTGTATTTTGTTGAAGTTGGTATAAATCATGAGGTGGGCATGAGTTCAAACTTTACATGAATGATACAAAACATTATGGCATTTCGTTCTTACAATTGGATGGTTGAGAAATAATAATCACTTCTACATGATTAATAGGCAACCAATAAAACAGAACCATCCTTACTAGCATTGTGGATTTGTGTTGATCAACAATATTTCCTAGCAGTTTTATAAGTAGCATGGAGAACCATGAAGATCTATTTCTCCACAGTGACTTTCTGCAGTGGCTAAAGTATTTTCATGCACATTTCCAACAGTTTCTTTACATTTCCACTCAACATCATAGAAGTGCTATATGTACGAAACCATATGTTCCATGTGGACTTTTAACTCCTTTTTTTTTTTAAAAAAAAAGAGAGGTGTGGATGTTAACCAGTACTTCCTCCGTCCCAAAAAAAACTCAACCTAATACTTTAATGAGACACATCCTAGTATAACAAATCTGAACGTACACTATATCTAGATTCGTTGTATTAGGATGGGACCCATCCTAGTACGAGGTTGAGTTTTTTTTTTTTATGGAGGGAGTACGTAAAGAAACAAAGCATCCATTGAACGCAAGAATTCTTCTATGTAAACCAGTCCCAATTCAGTTTCGTAAAAAGCATAAATTAGCAATCATTCAAACCTGGAAAAAGAAACGAAAGAGGCAAGAGGAGTTACATGATAGTGGCTCTTTTGCTCGTCTCCTCCTCCAGATGTGAAGGAAGAAAAATAAAACTGCTAAAATAGCAACAGTTCCTGGCAGTGTAATCCCAAGAATAGTGCCAATTGTTCTCGACTTTCCTGCTAGATAAACTATGTCTTATCCAGATGGAGATTATACAAAAAAAAGAAAACACAAATTCATTAAGCACCAATGTGATCTGCTCCTTCAATAATAGACTGTAACATTGCTTGTCCTGGCTACGAAATCGTTATCTCCATGAAGCAGTATATAACATGTTGCGCAAAACTGTGTTCTAATGTGGTGTTTTCAGGAGGAAAAATTCAATGAATATATTACAATAAATTTTTGACTTTTTTTATTAAAACACCTGAATGTCTTCTTAGTAAATTCTCACCAGTATGGTGTTTATCCAGTATTGGATTTTGGCAAAATCACCAATTATTATTTTTCAGCGATTAAATAGAAGATGTACGCGCATATCCACCACAACACACACCACACGTTATTTTCACTGTCAGGCTAAATTTAATTAGTGTAGTAACTTGATTCAGTGCTCCTTATTTCCCACATGCGCATTCAGCAAAATCAAATAAGAGAGGGCAATTACCTTCATGCTTCCGAGCCATTCGTGCCATTGTATCATTACCTGCCATGCAAGCAATTAACACCGTAAATTCAAAATATTTGAGTTTTCTTTTTTAAAGGAGAGGATATGCTAGTAACTAGCTAAAATGAGACATGATGCCATTTAAAAAATAAAATCTCTAGGCTCCTTTAGATAGCTTTTTCCGCATAAAGATAATGAATACAATGAATTCTATTTAGTAATATTATAGTTTTAAAAGTGAACAAGTAGGTACCCATCAAAAGTATGTAAATATATCCGAAACATATGTAAAATACAGGTAACCCTAGGTAAAGGAGGCTCATATTAAAAAATAAAGTGAACATAACCCACTATTACTAAGGATTTCATGTTTGTCCCAAAAACAAGAAAAAGAACAAAACAAAGAATACATGGAAAAAAAATTAGGATTTGAATCCAATAGATTCTTTTACCTAAATGGCCCTTCAAATAAATGATTGGGGCACTACTAAATCATATGAAATCGATCTATAAATGCCTCAATCCATCAAAGTTTTGAAGGAAATTTAACATGGTCTCCAACCTCATGGATATTTTTCTATTAGTCTTTATCTCCCTAAAAAATTCTTGTGGCTTTTCATGCATTTTATCAAACGGTCTTTTCTTTATGTTTTGTAGTAATCTATTTTATAGTATTCTAGTCTTTTCTCAATTAATCATGCATTACAAAGGAGCCCTAAAAACTTAATGTGAAATTTCTTGATGCAAAGATGGTAAGAGAGCTTTCAAAAACAAATATAAGCTTTGCTTGTGCAAAATAAGTAGCAATTAGGTATGAAATGTGAATTGTACACTTTTATGTATGTATTACTACTGGAGTCATGGGAGCATATAACTCTACCCCACAGGGTTCAATCTGATACCCATGAATATTACACATGTGGGAGTGCTTTTGAATCCATTTAAGCATTTAGACATTTAATTAGTGAGGTCATGTCAGGAGACAGGAGTTTTCCGTTGGTCCCTGTCTTTTTAAGTATGTTGATGTGGCACACTCATGGACGTGTGTGCGGTGCCGTGCATATCTGATGGTGTTTGCATCTTCCATGATATTGAAAAAAAATCGTAATGGTAAAAGAAAATCTATAACTGAATTATACTTTTAGTATTTTTTTAATCTATAGCGGATGATTTGAACATGAAAATTAATATTCTAAGGTGGTGTGCATCGTCGCCGTGAGGAAACTTCCTCAAAAGTTGCTAACATGTGTGTCCCTCAATTATGGATGTAACGGAACTCTTTCCATTTTTATTTAATTGGCATTGTTAACCGCTTTTCTAGATTCTAAATATATACTCCCTTCATTGAACAAATATGTTGTTGTTATTAGAACAAGTTTATAAAAAATAGTAAGTTTTATGGAATTACGAAAGAACTTAAGACAAATCTACAAATATTCTTGGATTTTAAATAGCACATTCTCTCGGGACATTTAGTCATAGGTAGATATGTATTGTTGCCTTGCTCATGGACTCAAGAATGCCAAATAAATGGAAACTAAAGGATTTCTTTTTAGCTACTGCGTTGTAAACACAACAGCTAGCCACAGCGTGGGCGGCTAATGGGCGCGTGCGCACTGGCTACATAAGCAACACGTACCCCCCCCTCCTCTTTCTCGTTAAATAATGGCGTTGATTTATATGCTAATGGTAATATATATAGTTCTGTTCTTTTTTTAAAAAAAAGAAATAATTTAGTTAAAATTTTTGAATTTGTAGTCCAAAGATTTTAAATTATAAAGTTGAAAGTTTTAAAAGCTAACTTGAAAATTTTGAAATCTAAGTTAAAAGTTTTCATATCTGAGTTAAAAATTTTCAACAATGGAAGAAGGAGATTGAAAAAGGTGTGCGCTTCTTCCCTACCTAGAGCCTGTTTAGCACAGCTCCAGCTCCACCTCTCCTGGAGATGGAGCTTAACCAAACAGTTTCAGCTCCGCCTAAAATGGGAGTGGAGCTGGGTGGAGCTCTCTCGCAAAATGAACTAGATGGAGCTGGGTTTTGACAGCTCCACAACTCCACTCCAGACCCAATTCCTGAAGCTAAGGGCCTGTTTGGCACAGCTCCAGCTCCAGCTCCACCCCTCCTAGAGCTAGAGCTCAGCGAAACAGTTTCAGCTCCACCAAAACTGGGAGTGGAGCTAGTTGGAGCTCTCTCATAAAATGAACTAGAGTTGTGGAGCTGGGTTTAGACAGCTCCACAACTCCACTCCAGACCCAACTCCTGGAGCTAAATTTAGGAGTTGGAGCTGTACCAAATAAGCCCTAAATTTTGGAGTTGGAGCTATACCAAACAGGCCCCTAGTGTGTACGCGCTAAATAGGACTCCTGAGTCACAACTCCCCTAAAGGTTGGAGGTTTTTACCAACCATGAGTACCTTCCAATATTAAGATTAGTTTGCAATATCTTTTGTTCATCCTTAATTAGTACTACCTCCATCCCAAAAATAAGTTTATAGTTTGCTCATCCCACACCTACCAATACAAAAGTAAAATGACAATAATACCTTTTACTTTACCAAATCTTAATGAAATTATCCCTCACTTTATTTACTTATAATGTATTTATTCCCTACTTTTATAAACTTTAATCCAACGATGACTTAAAAATAAACTCATTCGGAACAAACAAAATGGGACAAAGATAAACTTATTTTGGGACGGATGGAGTACTTTTTTTTACTACCTCCACCCCTAAATAGTTAACACTTTAACTTTTTTCAAAAATAAATACTCTTCTCAAGTACTGCTCCCTCCGTCCCAAAATATAAGTATTTTTAGAATAATGCTAAGTCAAACATTTTCAAATTTGACTATTAATAGCCAACAAATAAAAAGATCAATCATGTAAAATTGATGTTATTAAATTTATCATTAAACAAACTATTGTAATATGCAATCTTTTTATTTAAAGCATCTTAACTTTATAGATATTCAAAAACTGTGTCGAAGTCTAAAAATGCTGATATTTTGGGGTGGAGGGAGTACTAATCATATCAAGTATTTTATATTCAGGTATTTTCCTACCATACCCCAATTACGTTCTCACCTTTGACTTCTCCTGATTTAATTGAGGGTATCTATGTCATTTTTATCTTTATAGTAGTTATGTTCTTCAAATATTAGAAATGCACTTATTTAAAGTCAGAGGTATAGCAATGTACTGTTCAAAGTCTCGATGCTAGAATTTTGTCACTATTTTCAAACTTTCTCACACATACTACATTATTCAACGCAGTGTGCAATTGTTTATAGTGCAATCACTTTCGGTTTGGATAACATGTCAACACGAAATTGGTCTAAGCAGAAAAATGAGAGGTGCCCGCCAATTCACTCTACCCAGGCATAAATTTTTTCTGAAATCCTTATACGTAGGTAAAAATGAGAAAAAGAATCCTTATTATTTTGTTAGATAATCAAATTAAAGGAAGAATATAAAACGACCGTTAAGTTTCGTTAGTCTTCTGGGTTTTTTTTTTCCTTATGTGTCAATCAACTAAACTTAGGTAATTTAGAAACTACTACAACAAATTCAGTGTAACTTTTAGTTTTATTTGTTTTCATTTGCTGGATTAATCTAGATGTATTTTTATGCTTATCTAGATCGATTTTTTTAGAAAGATCAACACTACTGTACAATTTCTTCAAAAAGTTAATCTAGAACAATATTTGTCTCACTTCAACAAAAAGATGTAAGTTATTGAATGTTATAATATAGTAATTTTGAAAAATGATCGATAAATAAGAAAAATCAATCACTTGACAAAGCTTTTGTTGCTGGTTTTCACCTCTTAATCATGTGTTAGGGGAAGCATTCGCGGGCAGCATCTTCCGTGTAATCGAGAAAAAATAAAGAGAAAAGTTCATACCAGGTATTGGGACATCAAGAATCTGCCCCTGGACTAGGTTTTTGGGATCGGTTATCCCATTGATCCTCATTAGCGTGGACTCGAGGACCCCAAACTTGGCGGCGATCGCCGACGTGGTGTCCACGGCGCGGACTTTGTAAGCGAAGTGCGTGACGTTGTGGCCATCCACCTGGTCGCAGCTGCAGGGCAGCGGAATCCACAGCTCCTGCCCGACGAATATCTTATTGGGATCGGGGATGTTGCTCGCGTCCGCGATCTCCTGGTACGTCACGAAGCCGTCGAACACCTTGCGCGCGATCGCGTCGAGCCCGTCCTGCGACCCAACAAGGTAGATGGGCCGGTAGTCTGACCGGCCGACTCTGGTGGCAACATTACAGAGGCAGCGGAAGGGGACGGTGACGGTGGCCGCGGCGGGGATGGCCGTGTCAGGCGGCATAGCGGTGGGAGGGAGGCCGTTGGCGCGGAGGAGCTCGGCGAGGGTGGAGGTGTTGAAGAGGGAGAGGAGCTCGGCGTAGGTGGTGGCGTTGCGGGTCGTGTACCCGATGGCGGACTGGCACGCCGCCTGCACGGTGGTGCAGGTGAAGTTAGCGGCCGAGGCGGAGGATGACGAAGTGGCCAGTAGCAGGAGGAACAGGATGTGTATGCGCCGATACGACCACGCCGGCGGGGATCGCCGGCGCATGGCGGTCATGGAGGCGTACCGGCCGGCGCCGTGTACATGTAGCGTCAGTTGAGCTAACTAGGGAGAGAAATGTGTATATTGA